AGAAAAAAAACCTAAAAAAAACATAAACTTAAATTTAAATAAATTTAATACGAAAGAAACACATTGTACATTTAGAAAATACGAGCAAAATTATGCGGGAAATTGCAACTTTCGATACAACTCCTGGTAGTTAACCTTATCTAACCTTAAGTTTCATCCGCACCGATCTGATCCGATCCGATCCGACTCAGATCAGACTCGGGCCCGGAGACCTGCAGAAAGCAAGTTTTTGTTTCCCTCAGTTCGGGTTTTGTGGATAGTCTGCCTATTATTGTAAAGCTCAAAACACAGCACACAAAGATGCAGAAGCAGAAGTAGAATTAGAAAATAAATAACGAGACAAGTCAACATGGAAAAAAAAACACTCCAGCGGATGCTCCAGTGTACGGGCTCCAGCTGAAAATGAAAAATTGAAACCCAACAAGCAACAAAAACCAAACAAAATTCAAAATCATTGCAGCAGCAGATTTCAAAATTACCTAAGAAGCGAAGCAAACGAAATTAAACAAAATTCTCAACTGCGGTTCGGAACAGAGAACCACAACAGACAGAAGCAGAAGCTGAAGCAGAAGCAAAGGTTTTCTAGAAAAGTAAGGAAAACCTATGTAACTTTATGTTCCCCCAAAACAAAACTCTGTAAATGTTTAGATATACGAAAATCCAAAAAGAATCAAAGTAAAACAAAACAAAGAAATGAAATGAAATGAAGACACTATTTAAGTTAGGTGTTGGTGTGGCTACGACCGATTTTCAGATAAGATGTGTATGTAAAAAAAATTACTATAAAATGAACTAGATGGCTCCTAGCCCATTTACCCAAGTGTTTAGTTTTAAAATTTGCTATGTATCCACCACTATCAGTATATATACCCGTACATATGTATATGTATGTGTGTAGTCCTGATCCCCTTCCCTGAGTTTGGCCGACAATCGATCCAAGGCGATCCCTTGGTTCGGACACTTGCCCATCCCAGCGTGTGAATGTGTGAGGGGCCAGAGCGTTGACAGTTCTCAAGCCTCGAAAATAAACCCAAATGCTCGGCCAGGCAGGGCCAGGAGATCGGTCCGGGCTGGCCGGGCACCTCCAGGACATCCAGAACCGTTTCGCACCATAGAACTCAAGGCAATACAAGCAATCCAGTAAGTACGAGAGAAAGAGAGAAAGAAGCAACAGCATAAGCAGAAGCAGAAACAGAAGCAGAAGCAAAGAAAGCAAGGCAAAGGACAAGTTTCGAATCAGAATTTCGGTGACATCTTTCGGCAGAGTTTCGACAACTTTCGATTAGGCTTTTGTTGTTAATTTGTTTTTTTGCGACCACGTCTCCATAGCACACGAGCAACATGCAGCAAGCGGCATGCCACATACAGAAGCAACAGTAGCAAACAGAAGCAGCAACCAGCCACGTGATAAACGAGTTGAGCAAAGTGAAAAGCAATTTTGAAATGGGGCCACAACGTCCGATCTAAAGTGCCTTCAAGTAACAATGAAAAACAAAAGAAACCAAAAAGGAAAAGTAAACAAAAGGAAAACGAAAACAAAAATACCAAAAAAAAATTAATAAAAAAATAAAAACTGTTAATTTTTTATGTAACTAAAGCAGCGCAGCGCGGAGGGGGGAAATTATAAATAAAAATTGTATAAAGAAATTAAACGTGTAAAAAGTATAAACAAATTTAAAGAACTAAGCGACGAATCGAAGAAGATATCGATGAGAAGCGAAAGCGAAAAGGGCTCCAAATAGACCGGAAAGCAAAGCAAATACCAAAACTGCCTCACACACTCTGGCCTGGACTCACACAATCCGCCCAATGCAAGCGATCCGAACCGAACGGGGGGGCACCGCACCGTACCGGAGATGTCGCTGCCAAAAGCTGCAACCACAGATCAGAGATCTGATCCCATCACATCCTCCCCTATCCAATATCCCTAGCAAAAGTTGTAATTGACTACCTAAGTAAGCGATAAATATGTATGTATTTAGTTATAGTATGTAAAACGAATGGAAATTAACATAAAATTAAACATACACACACACACTTTATGTATGGAGAAATTAATGATTTAGAGAAGAGAAGAAACATTGTGTGAACGGCAACAAAGGTTTGGACTTATGAGAGAAAGTATATGCATATACCCCCCATATGTATCCCCCTTTTAGCATACATACGCATACTATAGCGCTGAGTTGCTCATTTAACATACACACACACACACACACATTGAGACACACACACATTAACACTCACACAAAGCGAAGCGAAGCGAAGTGAACACTTGCATAAAAGTATGCAACATTTAATTTAGATATAGAGCGAAGCATAAGTATTCCATTCCACTCAAAAGTTAAGAGAGAAAAAAAGATGATTGCAACTGAAGAACTAAGAACGAGTACGAGTACGAGAACGGCATACTGAAGAGGCGGCAATTAGGTATTATAGAGAGCGAGTACTAACATTTAAGCAGAAATTCAGAGATGCATTGCGATATGCATAAGTGTGCGTGCTGGCTGGCACACACAGATACGTATACTCGATACACACACACACACACACCACACAGTCACACGCGTGCGTCTGCTCTGCGTGCAGAGTGATGATTAATGATGATGATTGATCGCGTATATAAAATAAACTATAAGACTTTCTGGAATCGGAGGAGGCAAGGAAACCTCTACCTACGTTTCCTACTTTCGTGCTCTTTCCTACCACCCCTAACACACACAGATGATACATACACACACGCACACAACAGATCTTTGAGTTGACAAACGTCGTAATCGTTTCTTTAGTCCATGATGGGAAAGAACTAGTAAAAATTAGCAAAATTTAAAATTTAAAATGACATCCACGGGATGTCAATTATGTAACACACAGACACGCACACACACACACACACACACACACACACACACCATTATGTATATATAAGTATGTAAATTCCTTTGAGCTGAAACATTGTATAACCAAAAGATTGCGATTACAAAGACACACACAAACCCACACACAAAAATAAAAACAAAACAATACAAAACAAAAGAAAAAGAGAGAGAGACACACACACACACATCCTGTAGAGGTGTGTAAAGGGTTCTTTGCTTACAACTTTTCAAACGTATTAAACAGTTTCGGCCAACCTTTAGGATTGATACAAGATCGCCCCCGAGCAAAGGGGCTGGCTGCATCGTTTCGGTTGATGGATGCAAAACGTTCAAACGTTCAAAATTACAACAACAACAAAACCCAAATCGAGCCTAGAAATTGATTTATGTTCCATTAAGCAAAAACTAAAAGAGAAAATTTGTGAAAACAAAAATAGGAAAAATGAATACTTTTGAGTTAAAATACAACAATAGACCGGAATGATTTCCAAGCAATAGTACAAACAACTTAAGAGATAACTTTTATAATGTAATTGTAAACTAAGTGGAAGAAGAGTGGAAGAAGCGGCTCTGATTCGAGGGGCAAGAAAGCCGAAAGCCAAAACCCAGTCCTCCCCTCCGCCCAGAGCCGAGAGATGAATTGTAAGAGAATGGAGATGAAAATAATCCCTCGAATGCATATATGTACGATTTCCCCTGAGTTCCCCTAAGTTAACAGATTTAACACACATTTAGTTGAACTTTGATGAGTGCGATGAGTAAGCGAAATTAATGGACCAGGAACAGAGCCACGGAACAGAGCCTGGTGCCATGGATATTTTCGGAGCATGTGCAACAAGACATTCCCTCCTACAGACAGAAGAAAGATGCATTGAAATTCGAGTCACTTCACACACACACACACACACACACACTACACACAGTTTAAATTTATAAGTATATGTAATAACAATAGGAGACAACACCCCCCGCCCCACAGACACACAAAACTCAAACATTACTATTTACCACAATATTGAAATGAAAAACCAAAAGCAAAAGCAAAAAGCAAAAGCATACTCGTACATACGAGAGAACATTTCGAAAACAATGACTATGTCGCGTATACCAACTAGCGATAGTACGATATACTAACTTTATATGATTAACTAAGCTCATTTCGAAATGAACCATAGCGATATATGTGTATGTGTAAGCTACGTTTTGGTTACGGTTTCGGTTTCGTTTCCGTTCTACGAGTATACTTTGGTTTGGTGTACCAACCGCCCAACCCCCACAAACCCCCCTTTTGGAAACTTCAAAAATGCATTCTGGCCCCCCAAAATGATGAGATTCAAATTGAATTTTGATTCAAGCAAATTTCGAGCAACAGCTAAATCGCACAAAATTGTACATTTCGCGCAAAAAAAAAAGAAGCAATTCACACCACTCCACCACCACATCACAACACATTACATCACAATGTCACAACACACGCCACGCAGAAAGCATGATACATGATATATGATATGATAAACCGAAAATGTGTAAGAGTAAATTTCAGTATTTGGACAGACATCGTAAGCGAATATAATTAAATAAAAAATTTATATTGCGATCGAAACAAAATCGAAAATACTAAAAAAAATGTGTAACGGGAATGGAGAAATGAACAAAACACTAAAACTACAATATGACATTTTTAATCGAAAACAAAAAAAACAAAACTTATTTTATTGAAAATTATGTAAAATTTACTAAGGAAAAAATACAAAAAAAAAAAACAACACACAATAAAAGTATATTATATTGTTTATTTTCATCTTTAAAAATAAAGTTTTAAAATCGTATAAAAATAGTAATTGCCAAAGTGGAATTGTCATTTTTTTGGGAAAGTCGGCGACTTTCTGGATCCTAACGGTCCAGCGAATGTATGGGAAATTAAGGCTTATTTGGCCGAGCTATAGCTATGCCAATCGATAGGCACTTGAAAAGAGGAAATCGTAGCCGATATTTTGATCATCGCAGTCCTGCGAAAGTATATCTTTCGCTGATCTGGCCATGATATAGCAAGCACTCATTCGATAGTTTTCTGAATCGACACGTTAACCTGCACTGGATGTCACTATCGACAATCGATAATTCGATGAACACTAATATCGATGATTGCGCACCTCTAATTTACACATTACGCAAAAGATAGATTTATTTTTGTTTTTATTAGAAAAATGTCGCTGTTCAGCGCCTTTGCCAGGTAAGTGAAGAGTCTCTAGCCCATCCCCTGACTGACGGTTCTTTCTGTCATAGATTAGGATTACAGAGAGGTGGCGCAGCCGGCACAGCCGTGGCGGCACGTTGCCTGCATACAACACCTGTGCTGTGTGCCGAACCGCTGAAGAAAAAGAAGAAGCTGGACCCGCAGGTTGTCAAGCAGAGGGAGGATCGCAGGAAAAAGAAGATTGAGAAGCAGATTCGCCGGCTCGAGAAGAATGCGCGCCAGCTGAAGCCGGTGGAGGAGCTGGAGGTGCCACTGGAGCTCATCGACGAAAAGGAGTAAGTGCCCCGCCGTTGATTGGAATCCACTGGTGGTACAACCTGTTCCCATTGCAGCAAACGGCAGCGAAAATTGACGCCCCTGGGCAGCGCAGAAGTGGAGGAGCGCGCCCTGCTGAAGAAGGAATGGGCCCGCTACAAGCACGACGAGAGGGTGGCCGACTTCCAAATCATTGACCGCCTGGTGCAGTCGCAGAACAAGGCCCTGGAAGAGCTCCGCCGCGAGTCCGAGGAGCTGTATCAGGCAGCCATCGAAGTTGACCTGCAGCTGCTGCCTGTATCGCTCAAGGGCCCCGTTGCCACCCCAGCCATCAAGAACTACGCGAGCCCTGATGGCGACTACATACACCAGTCTATGAAGTGGGAATGAGTCCCATTCCGTCCCGGCATGGCTGGGTGCTGTGCATATTAGGGTGTTAGGTCAAAGATTGTTGCTTACATCAGAAATACAAAGAATAGTTAATTAATCACCCAAAGCATTTCCTTTATCTGCTCCTAGAGTCAGCACTTTTCACGCACGGCACGGTGCTTGTTTACCTCAGTCGGCACTAGGTGGCTGGCAAGTTCCCGCGTACCTAACAATTTCCGTACTCTGTAAACAGATTCGCTGCCGGTCATGTCCGAGGCATACTGTTGGCTCTTGATTTGGCTTTATCTGTTGCCCAGAAAAGGAGGCATGTAAGTAGAGGGAAGGGCCAACCACAAAAATACAAGATAAAAGACAGACATCTGGACAGGTGTTCTCCCTGCAGCGAACAGGGTCCGGCCACAAGGCCGAATTGCTCGTCGTCCTTTGGAATCCGCTGCGGCAACAGTACAAGGTACTTCTGCCACCTCCAGCTGGGGGAATACTGCACGAGAGACAATGCGGAGGACCAATGCCTGCCAGGACTGACGTGCAGCTGCCACAAGTGCATGGGCTGCACCAGCTCGGGCATCTGCTTATTGGACCTGTGTCCCTACTATTGGATGTCCTGAGCAACACAAGCTTCATTGTTGGTTGTTGGTGTCGAGATAACTGGATGCGTTGTGTGGCGGATTTATTATTATCATCTGTGGAGAACATGAATAAAGCAGGCGAGAGACTGCAATCAGCTCCCGATAGCAAGCAGGGATCGCAATGCAAAGGATTGACCGGTTTTTTTTGGTGAAGTTTTGACATAAATAGTGGAGGTGTGAGACGTAGATGGATAGCCACAGTGTACTTGTCTTACTTGTGCCTGGGTTTAGGATGGCGTACTGCTGGCGGTGGTTTTAGCTGCGGCCTGCCTCTTTTTGACGCCCCAGTTGTACACTCGCGCCATGTTCACCTCCGTTGTGGTTATTTGATCACTGCGAAATAAAAGTCAAGAAGATAGCGAGTGTTATTTAGGCATTGCGAATAGAGGGGAATCTGCCACTGACCGTAGAAAGTCCTGGTCATGCTCCACCGACTTGAGATTGCCCACGGCTGATGTGACATTTTGCTTGAGCAAGGTCTCGGCCTCGTCCAGCGGATACTCCAGCATCACGCTGGCTCCGAGCCAGAGGTAGACTGTTTTCGTGGGCGGCACCAAGGTTTTGATGAACACCTGATCACTGAGCAGGAATTGTGTCTCGCGCTCCTCGTCCTCCTTCCGCAGCACATTAACCATCTCCAGCGAGCGCTCCAGGTCGGGAATCTGCGATTTCAGCTTCCGGCGACGCGCCTCGAGGTTGTACGCCATAAATCGGTACTTGCCGTGCTGCTCGTCCAAACGCTGCAGCACCTTCTCGCAGTTCTCGTTCTCGGGCTGGGTCATGAACGTATCGATCTCCTCCTGCGAACACCAACCCAGGCAAGGATTAATTCAGATTTTCCATCGCAGCTGCAGGTGCAGTCAAGTCATAGGCTGCAGCCCCAGCCAAGAGCTAGGTTAGAATACACCCACTCACCAGGAATACTGCCTCCGGTATGCCGGCAAAGGTCTTTTGGTTTTCCGGCAATTTGGGCATTTCCACCGAGTCCATGATGCCAGTCATCTTGTTCCGCTGCTCTGTATTCTTTCAATTTACAATTAAATTTACAGCAGGAGTGCGTGCTGTCTGATAAAATATACTGTCTGACTCAGAAACATACCGAAATATACCTTGTCACTTTCGGAATACACCGTAAATATACCGAGGAAAAATACGAACTTAACCCACTTAACACCGTTTTATTTGGACAGGTGAACAACTTTAACCGCGGAAGAGAATACTGTTTTACAGGCTCCTTGTAGCTCCATTTCTTCCTCTTCACCTAAAAAAAATATTACCACGATCACTTTCACCTGAACTGCAAAACAATTCTTCAAGTTTCATAATTTTCGTGTGAATATTTAAAACCCCCCTGGTCAAAAATGGGTTAATCGGTCTCTGTCCATGGTCGGAAATCATATTCGTTGATTTTGATGTTCGGTTTAATGTTTCTAGCTAGCTGGGACTCTCAGCCCTCAACATATAATTTTATCCGACTAATGAATCAATTTTCCCCACGACTGGCTAGTATTCAGAACTCCCCTTTGTTGGATAGCTCACAAAATAAGCTTCCAACTAAAAAGGTCAAATCAATCAGCTTTAAACCCGGTTTCCGCCATGATAATGGATATTTGTACAGTGCAAAATTTAAATTCTTATATATATGTTTATGAGTTTATTCATATTTAACGGGGTGGTATTCAAGAGAAAACAAAAGCAACCAACAAAAGGAACCCAGTTAGCATAATCTTCTTATGAATTAGCAATACTTATGACTAATACTTTTAATTTTAACATCAATTTACATCGTAACTCCTGGCTTCTGCGCCGGCAATCAAAGCCTCTATGCGCCTTACCATTCTGTCCTTGGTCGAAGACTTGGGCAACTGCACACCAAAGTGCTTTTCGAGAATCTTCTGCAGCTGGGCGACTGTGCAGCTGGATAGACGCTCCTCCGCGATCAAATACTCGACATATTGGTAGCTCTGGAGTTGCTCCGCATCGATTTTAGGCACCTTTGAAGAGCTGGCTCCATCCGCGGAGGATTTGGCCGGTCGCTTCTTAGCCGGCATCTGCTCTACTTCGAAGAGCCTCTCGTAGTCGGGCATATATTTCTCAATTCGTGTGTCCTGCACCGATTTATCCAGTAAGTCGTCGATTCCCTTCCTTTCGGTTGTAATGTCCAGGGACAAGGCCAGCAAATTGGCCTGCAGTTCGTCCAGACTGGGATCATTGATCAAGTTTGGCTGATAGTTTACGCGGAGCCTCTTGATGATCTTCTGGAAGAAGTCCACCTGCTCATCGCTACCCGAATTGGCAGTGTTGTTCCAATCGCACATGTCGATGTGGCGAATGTGCTTCGCTTCCGGCAGATAGACGATCTTGAAGCCATCCCCGCAGAGCTGCGAACGATAAGACTTCGACTCTGATTTTTCCACCTGAACAGGCACTAGAACCACATAGCGCGGAATCGACTTGCGCTTGGACATGAACAGGCACAGGATGATCTTCTCTCGCTGCAAGCAGCGCTCCCACAGCCCCCGGAACAAGCGCTTCGATCCGATGATACTCTCATCGTCGGGGTACATAAAGTTCGAGGGCTTGCTGTAGATAACCTCGGGCAGGGCTGAGCGGTGCTTGAAACCCAGGAGCATCATGTGGGGCTTGTGCATGTTGCGCACCCAGTCCATTCGATTCATGGAGATTGTCAACGGTTTCGCGCCCAAATCGAACTTGTACCAGCCCTCGTTCGCCTTTATCTGTTTCTCGTGCTTAATTTCGTTCTTCTCCTCGTCGTACTTTCGCACTATGATCTGCCGCTTGGTGCTCACCACGCTGTTGTCGCGCCGTATAATCTGCACCTTGCGCGGAAGGGCGCGACGCTGGAAGTAGTTGTAGTACTGCACCGACATGGCCAGATTGGGGCCCAGGTGGAAGGCGAAGTGGCCCAGGCAGCGCCGCAAGAAGTCCTGCTTCAGTTTGCGATCCGCCAGCATCTCGCGCAGCATTGAGGCATCGGGTTCAACGAACGCATCCAATTCGATGGCTGCAAGAAGATAAATGAATCGTTAGCCGACAGTAAGGGCGGGGGCAGGGGACAGGGGCATTCTGTTGCTGTGATTTGTGAGCAGATCCAAAACCACGTCCAAATTCAACTTCACTTGGACGCGGGTGAATGATGTGCTCCGATTGCTCTGCGAAGTCTTAAAACCTCCAAGGCGAACTCTGGACGCCAATGAGGGGAACAGACTTCGCATGGGACATGACAGTATGAGGTGCAGTCACTCACCTCGCGACAGGGTTATGAACTCCTTGTAAAAGGGCGCGTAGTCAAAGTCGTCGTTCATTGGTATGACATGGAACTCGAACTCCTTGCCCTCCAGATCGATGGCCTTCTGCAGAGCCGCCTGGAACTCGTTGCTCGAGGGCAGATGCGGCGTGTCCACATCCGTCACGTACACAATCTTTGCGTTGTTCAACTTTTTGCCACACTTCTCCAGCAGCTCGATGCACAGCCTGATCATGAGATCGAATTTTCCACGCCCGTCTGGCTCCGCCAGGCCATACTCGGTGGCGAACTGATCCTCCACCGTTCCCAAAAACTCCAAATAATGCTCCACAATGGGCTTGGTCAGCTGTCGCAGCGGCAGGAACACGGCACAGTTCTCGGGCACAACGATCGTCTCCACGCTGGAGGCCTCCAGCGGCAGCGGGCTGTGCTTGGTGTTGGCAAACACCAGGCCTATCAGGTCCTTGTCGTTGACCAGCATTCCCGATATGAATGCCGTGCGTATGATGGTCAGTGCCCCCTTCAAGCGGTCCATGCCGGCCGTCTGGAGATTAGCGTCCACCACGAACAGTATGGCCTCGCGCCCATGGTAGTCGCGCTTCATGGCAATGTCCTCCTCATCCTCGGAGGAGAGCAAGTCCAAATCGTTCTCTGGATTCCAGGTGCTCATCCTGAATTTAATATTCCGCGAATTTCACAAGCGGGATAAGAACTAATCGAAGCTAAATGTGCTATCGGTCATCGAAGGCGGAACAGTGTTTGTGAACCCAGTCTGAGCAGTGCTGCGAAGCGAGTGAAGATATCACATGTAGAAGGCCGCCGGTTTATGTTTTTTTGAGCATTAATATTGATATTATTTAGTAATTAACGTGTGATAGCATATAATGTCGCTTCAATTTCAAAACGACTGCGGCGATTCGGTCAAACTGGCCATCATCGAGGAGCTGCAGAACCTTCTCAGCGCGAACACCAATGTGCTGCAGCAGGCGGAGAAGCGAATAAAGCAGCTGGAATACACGGAAGGTGCGTAATTTGGCGGGCAGAGGGCTTGGGTTGGGTGGGGTGGGGTTGGGTTTCCTCGTGCTGTGCTCATGTGGACCGAATATGGCATTTCAGGGTATGGCGTCTACCTGTCCGAGATCATAATGAATCAGTCGCATGAGCTGCCGCTGCGACAGATAGCGATCGTCATGCTGACCCGCTACGTGGAGAACCACTGGACGGACGTGAACGCGGAGGGCCTGAAGAACGACAAGGCGAACAGCTGCATGGCCAGCGAGCAGGCGAAGCGCACCATTCGCAACATACTGCCCAACGGGCTGTACGATCCCAACTCCAAGATCCGCTCCTCTGTGGCGCACACAATATCCACCATAGCCTCCACCGACTATCCGCACGGCTGGTCGGAGCTGTTCGACATCATTGTCAAGTGTTTGGGCGGCAACGAGGACTCCATACACGGGGCCATGCAGGTTCTGCAGGACTTCAGCTACGACGTGGAGCAGATCAAGGAACTGGGCCCCGTGGTCATACCCGAGGTGTATCGCATCTTCGACTCTGAGCAGAACTACTCGATTAAGACGCGCGTCTCGGCCATTCGCATCCTGAAGCCCCTCTTCACGTCCATTGCGGCGCTGATCACCAACAAACAGGAGCAGGCCACCATGATGAACTCCATCCTCAACAACTTCATGGACAAGCTGCTCCACTACCTGAGCATGAACAGCGGGGCAGGCTCCAATTTCCTGCTACGCTCCGAGATCATCAAGGGTGAGCATCCCCGAGTGGTATCCCAGTCCGTAGCCCCTACGATTATCCTCTTGCCTCCCTTCTGTTGCAGTCTTCACGCACGTGGTTACCGATTGCTCGAAGTACATCAATCCGTTCATGGAGCGCATACTGCCCATCATCTGGCAGCTCCTCACGCAGATAGCCGAGTCCTATGTGAAGGTGTCGGTGAACCAGACCGAGCCCAATCCCCTGCCCAGCGGCGACAGCGAGGACGATGACGAGCAGACCAATTTCCAAACCCTAATCATTCAGATCCTCGAGTTCATCAACTGCATCGTCACCTGCACCAAGCTTCGGGGATGCATCAAAAACGTGTTGGCGGACCTCATCTACATCACGATCGTGTACATCCAATTGAGCGAGGAGCAGCTGGAGGACTGGCAGGAGGACCCCGAGAAGTTTGTCGACGACGAGGATGACGGCGGCGTGGAGCTGACGGTGCGCATGTGCGGCCGCGATGTCCTGCTGGCCATCAACGACGAGTTCGGAGCAAAGGCCATTCAGCCGCTGCAGGAGGCGCTGGGCAGGCACTTCAGCGTGGCCGAGGCGGAGAAGGCGGCCAACAATCCCAACTGGTGGAAGATCCAGGAGGCCTGCATGGACGCGGTGCACGGCTTTCGCGACATCATTCTCGAGAGCGACTCCAAGTTCGATCTGCTCAACTATCTGACCATCGTGCGGAATCTGCTGGTGCACCAGGAGTCGCCCCACCTGGTGGGACGCGCCCTCTGGACCCTCAGCACCTACTCCAAGTCAGACCTGTACAATCCTCAGATGGTGGCCGAGATCCTGGACGTCACCCTGTGCAGCCTGTCGCCGGAGAAGTCGCACATCCTGAGGATTAGTGCAGTGCGCACGCTGACCGGTTTCCTGCAGGCCAACGAAAAGACCGAGGGCGAGAAACGCACGCTGCTGGTGTCCAAGCTGCCGGGATTCTTTGATGGCATCATGGCTCTGGTCTCGGGCTGCAAGGCCACGGTCCTGGCCCTGCTCATGGAGGCACTGACGGTCATGGTTCAGGTAGGACCAGCGCACATCCATCGCGGATTCCTAATCCCATTTCTTCCGCTTTCTCGCAGTTTGATGCGGACTTTGCCTATGCCGCTAATGGCAAGATCACTCCGCTGGCCATCGCCGTCTTCCTCAAGTATGCCGAGGATCCGTACGTGTTGGAGAACGCGCAGGATCTAATCAGAGCGCTCTGCCAGCGAAAGCAGTGCCTGGTGCTGCTGCAGGAGAAGTTCATTCCCACAATCGTGAGCATCCTGGGGCTGCCAGAGCAGCACAACTCTGAGAAGCAGGACATTGCCCTGGACGTACTCAACACGATTGTGAAGTACACGGAGCCACCGCTGAGCTGTGCACTGCTGGAGACGGCCTTTCCGGCCGTCGTGAACTGCCTCCTGCACACGGACGATCACGCGGTGATGCTGGCAGGTGGGGAGTGCCTGCGCAGCTTCATCAACGTCTCGCCCGGCCAGATATGCAGCTACAAGAACGGCGAGGGAGTCAACTGCATCATGCAGGTGGTGGCCACTGTCCTGCTCAATCCCATGAACAGCGAGATGACCGCTGCCGGTCAGATCGGCCGGCTGGTCATCACGATCATCACCAAAATGGGCAGCATGCTCGGCCCGAATGTGGACATGCTGCTGAAGGCTGTGATCAGCAAGATGCAGAACCTCGAGTGCCTTAAGGTGATTATGAATCTGGTGCTGATCTTCGCCCATCTCTTCCTCACCCAAATGGACGCCGTGCTCAACTTTCTGTCCACTGTGCCGGGGCCAAACGGGGAGCCAGCCATGCAGTTCGTCCTCTCCAACTGGCTCTCGCGCCAGAACTCCTTCTTCGGCATGTACGAGCGCAAGGTCACCACCATGGCCCTCTGCAAGCTGTTCGAGTACGGCGTGGCCACGCAGGACAACCGCCTGACGAGCATCACCTACAAGGAGCTGGTGGAGGACCCCAACGATTCCCGCAGGCGCACCCGCTCCGTGACCGCTGCCAATCAGAAGTGGACCACGATTCCCGCTCTCGTGAAGATCTTCAAGGTGCTGATGTCCGAGTACCAGCACTTCCAGGAGAGCAAGACGGACGAGCCGCTCACCGAAAGCGATGAGGAGGATGCCGAGCCCGAAGATGAGGCGGCCAGCTCGGCCAAAACGCGTTTCATCTCTGACCTGTACGTGGTGGAAAGTGACCACGATAATGCCGAGGACGATCTGCTGCTGAAGGAGCTGCTCAAGGAGACCAACTACACGGGCGACATAGCCGAGAATCTGCAAAAATTCCTCACGAATTTCACTCAAAACGAACACTTTCCCAGCTTCTACGAGCATCTCAGCGAGGCGGAGCGACTCATTCTGCTCAACAAGGTGCAAGAGCAGCAGCAGCAGCAACAGCAGCAGCAGCAGAAGTAGTCGCTGCTGTGCACAGAGGAGGATCCATCACGGGGTACGCAGAGCAGCATTGTGTTAGTCGTATTTATATATTGTTACCTAATCCCTTTGATTAAACACAGTTGTATTTTTTCTACGCCAAGCACCAGCGCGAGTACGAGTTCGGGTGAATAGTTAAAAAATTCGTTTAATGATGGATTATCTACAATTGGATGCTGCGTGCGGTGTTCTCCAGGATGTATTATACTTCAGAGAGCCACCTCATCGTTGCGGAGCTTGCGCTGTAGTGGAATGTCGGGTTTGTAGGCATCCTAAAGCAGAGCAAAAACAACAGACGGCATTCAGCATTCGAATGAATATCAATCACAGCGGCTAAGAGGTGTGTGCTACTTGCCAGGGGCTTGTCGCAGCCAAAGCTGAAGAACCTTCGTATGCAGGGCGTCAGCAGTACGGGATCCACTTTGTTTGGATTGTTTCTGCCGAACGCCAGAGAGGCGATCAGTGCCACAATAATGGTGATGGAAGCGCCAAAGGTCGTGTACCACATGTACGAGATGCGGTACAGTGGAAAGATGTCCCTTTGGGCAGTAAGAAGTTAGAATGGAAGCAGCATATAATGGGGGAGAGGCCGAGACCCTTTGGCTTACTCTGTGGCCGATCCTGCCAGATGCAGGCTGCTGTTGGCCGCACTCGTCGTGGTGCTGGTGAGGTTGAATCTGTAGTCGCACTGCTCAATGTTGAGCGGCTTCGTGTGGTAGCTGATGGCACCCGAGGCGATGGCCCACTGGGCATTCAGGCTCACCCAGGACATGGCTATGACGCCCATGATGCCGCCCAAAAGTGCGCTCTGTGGCAAAGAATTGGAAATTATCGTAGCCTGGGGCCAGGGGGCACTCCACTCCACTCACATTCCCATTGATCCAAGGCAGAAACAGGCCAATGGTGAAGATGCCGAACAGGGGGCCGTTGGTGATGGCCTCCAGGCTCATGGTCAGCTGCAGGACAGTGCCCATGTGCTCCACCACATAGACCAGGCAGACGCACAGGGCACCCACACCGACGACCACCAGACGCATGATCCAGTTGGTGGACGAGCTGGAAAGCGGCTTCTTCACGTATGGCTTCACAAAGTCCTCCAGCACCACCGCCGACATGGAGTTGAGGCAGGTGGAGAGCGAGCTCAGGGCAGCACTGAAAACGCCGGCTATGAAGAGGCCCGTCATGCCGGGCATTTCGCCCAGCGTGTCCATCACGAACAGCGGCAGGAGCTGATCCCGAGCCTTGGCCAGCTGTAAAGGAGATCGGAGACTAGCAAGTGTGCACCCAGGAGGGGGGAGTAGGGCTGATCTTGCCTTGGTGGTGAGCGGGTCACAGTTCTGGTAGGTGGCATAGATGAGCAGTCCATTGTAGCCGCACAGGGCCATCAGGATGAGGACGCCCACGCAGAAGATGCACAACGCCTTGCGAGCGTCCGCGAGTGTGGGCAGTGCGAGGTATCTCTGGATCATGTTCTGGGAGACGGCATTCGTCTGTGTCCAGTACACGATTCCTCCGAAGAACAGGCACCAGAACGTGTGACGGACTGTGGGATCTATGCTGAGGCTGCAGCACAAAAGTGGAGTGAGATTGAGATTAGTGTTTGCAGCAGTCAATGTCAATCCTCCACTTACTCGGGCCCCTCCAGGCGATCAGAGTTCCAGGCACGCTCCAGGACAACGCTCACGCCGCCAATGTCAAGGCTACCCTTGATGGCCACCAGGCAGAGGGCTCCCAGCATGGAGACAGCCTGCACCACGTCCGTCCAGACCACCGCCTTGAGCCCGCCGAGGCTCGTATAGAACACACAAATGAGGCACACAATCGGCGTGATCGTGTGCACACCGATGCCAGTCACCTGGTTGAAGGCCAGCGCCGGCACATATATCACGATGGGCAGATAGGCGACCTGTTTGGATTGGCATTCAACGGCAACCTTTCAAACGGAATGCAACGCACATACTCACATTCATAACCGCAAACATAATGGCGCCGTACAGGCGCAGCCTACGATCGAAACGAACTTCCAGATACTGCAAGGATAAAGATTCATAAAAGATTCATTCTCTCTCTCTGTGTGTGTGTGTGTGTGTGTGTATCCTTGCCTCGTAGGTGGATGTTATGTTGAGATCGTGGAATACCGGCAGATAGAACACGCCCATCACAATGCCCATGCCAACGACGCCGCAGGCCACGTAGAGATACTGCACGCCGTAGGAATACACCTCGGTGGGCAGTCCCAGCAGCGTAATGCCCGATATGAAGCTGGCCACCAGGGAGAAGGCGATGGGAATCACCAGCATCTTGCGGCCGCCAAGCATGTAGTCCGCCTCCGAAACGGACTTGTTCATGAACCCAAAGTAGATGCCAATGCAGATGCATAGCAGGAACATGGCCACAAATGCCGCATAGTCGGGCCACGAGAACCGCTGCAGCTCCGCCAGGATCTGCTCAATGTTGTGCATTTTGTTTTGGGTTGCGCGCTTTGCTAACTAACGAGGAAAAAGGATGAGAGGAGGAGAGGAGTAGAGCAGGATATTGTATGTCCAACGCCTAGGTCTGTCTCCGATTAACTAAGCTCAAGCCCATCTAATGCACACACGGGCTGGCTCCTCTGGCTGTGATTCAATTCAATTTCGCTCAATTATCAATTGTCGAGCAATTTAGTTTTTGGACACAGGCACAGGCACAGTCACAGACATAGCCCCACAGCAGCACCACCAGCAGCAGCAGCAGCAGCACCCACACCAAAATCCGTGGCGCACATGTGCCGAGTAGCAGGCAGAATTACGACACTTCTGTCTCCAGTTGAATCATGGACCCGCCGACCCTAGAAACAAGCGCTGTGATTCCGGGAATAGTCAACATCAACATCAAACAGTGCTCCCAGCAGACACCGCGAATTGGCATAATCTTCACGAATTAAGATCTCCCAGAGATCCCACAATGACGTACAGCGATTCGCCTTGTAAACAATTATGTCACAGATTAATCTACTCTGAAGAACTGATCTTGAAGAAAAAGCACCCACACAGGACCCACTTAATGCACGGCCAAAATCAGAGATGACGACGAGCCACGCTGGCATCGACCTTCAACGTCATAGCGAAACACTTTCGGAATTATTGCCACTTTCGGGAATCGGAAAACGGAAATAGGAAATATGACTACGCTACGCTCTACGTTTGTCTGGTCATTGCCACCGCGTTGCACAAGAACTGAGCGTGGCGCACGCGGAGCATCCATTTTATAGTCATTCATTAAATGGCCCAACTGGCAGCGAGCCAGGGCAGCGCCAGAGCCGAGCAGAGTAGAGGAAGATCAAGTGCAAGATCAGCGAGAACAATGGCAATGCGAATCGTTTGATAACTTTAATACTCTTTCGCCTTACATTCTCTTTGATTACTTTGATTGGGTGCCCTCTTGCAGCTCGCTCTTCAGTATCCAGGATGCGGCACGCATAGCAATGGCGGCGATGACCGTATTGGGATTCCCCGAAACGGGACGAGGCAGCACGCTGGCATCCACCACTCGAATATTGGGCACACCCCGAAATCTGCAAAGGGGACATCACTAGAGAGAGAGAGACGAGACACTCCAGAGAGTGGAGACCCACCTGAGTTGCGAGTCCAGCACAGTGCCCAGGGCACAGCTGCCACCTGGATGGTGCGAGCTCAGGCCAATGTGACGCATTAGACACTCCAGATACACATCCGAGGGCTGGTGCTCGAGGAAATCCCGCTCAAAGGGCCCAAAGTTGGAGCACTCCTGCAGCTTTGGCCAGTGTATGAAGGGTCGCAGCTGGGCAAACGAGGATGAGGTGACCATCTGCCGTACACAATTCTCTGTTATTCCATTAGAATGTTCACTTCAATAGTCATTACTCGCCTTTACAGCACTTCGTATGGAGGCCATGGTGCAGGCCACATCATCGTCGTGGCTGAGATAGTTCGGATCGATCAGGGGATTCCTGCGCATGTGCTTGTTGAGGAGTCCCACCGAGCCCCTGGACTTTGGCTGCAGGCAGCTGGAAATCACCACGAATCCCTCCTGCGAGGCATTGTGGTACCGTGGAAAGAGCGCCCGAAAGGCGGCTGCTTTGAAATTGGAAATGGACATGAGCGCAGCCTCGTCTATCGCCCCCGCCCCAAAGAAGGCGATGCCAAAGGGCGAGGGCTCCTCGTGGCTGGCCACATGGCCCAGCACTCCAAAGTTGCCGAAAGGACCCGTGCCCGAGCTGAGGAAGTTGAGCACGCTCGTTGGACTGAGGAGCGTGCGCTGGTTGAGGCTCGGCCCGGTCACACCCATCGAGACGAAGAGCGGCAAATTCAAGTGGTCGTGCAGATTGCGACCCACCAGTGGGGAGTTGTGCAGCACAGGAATCCTCAGCTTAGCCAGCGTTGAGCCGTTACCAATGCCAGAGGCCTGGAGGAGCTGCGGTGTCTGGAAGGCCCCGGCGCAAAGGATCAGCTCGCGTCGCACCTCGATGCTGAATTCCAGCTCCTTGTTTTCGGCATCCTTCAAGCCCACCAGAACGGAGCTGGCACGAAGAGTGGGGCTGGACGAGAGCTGTATGCGCTTGACCAGCGCCTCGGGAAGCAGCCGGAGATTGCGATTCTGCAGCACGGGCTGCAGGAACTGCTGCACCACCGAGTGGCGGAGTCCGTTCCTGATGTTATAGCGCGAGCGACGGAACACCCAAGGCTTGTGCGTGAACTGGCGCTGGGCATCGTCGAGAGCCTCCGTAAGCTTCGAGTAGCCACTGGGTATTTCGAACATGTCGCAGGGCTTGGCTGTGGCGGCCGCCATGAAGGGGCGCATGTGCGCCCAGCTCCAGTCGCTCAGGTTGTGCAGCTGGTGCCAGGCGTCAAAGTCCGGGCCATGTCCGTCAAAGTGGAGCATGTAGTTCAGGTTGGCAGATCCCCCGAGGCCCTTGCCCCGCGGCAGACACTGCCGCTGGTCGATGAGACCCCTGGAGGAGTGCATCTGGGGCACTGAGAGGAATGACCAGTCGTTGATGCCCTTCTGCTGGAAGGTGGTCAGCAGCGGAATCCGGCTGAGCAGTCCAAAGGCGCTGCCGGCTTCAATGAGGAGAACGCTGCCATTGCTGTGCTTGGCCAGCAGCGAGGTGAGCGTACTGCCTCCAGTTCCAGCCCCAACTGGCGGAAAAGCAATCAAAACATAACACCCGGGGCAACGACTGTAATCCACTCACCAATCACGTAGTCAAACGCAAACTGTCGTTCCTCTGGCGCCAAAACATTCGGTATCGACTCCTTCAGCAAGCTGCCGACCAGCATGGCTAATCCGGAGAGGAGGCCTATCACGATGCTCCCAAGTAGCAGGATCTCTGCAACGGGAATCTGGTTAAAATCAATTTTTTTTTTTGCTTTTATTTTTGGCAATTACTTTGGGTATGCTGCCCCATGCTGTTGTTCGCTGTGGATGATGAAATTCAACTAGTTTAGCGGAGGAAACAACTGACTGACATCAGCGTTTGGTCTAATCCAATTACCGCGAGTTCTCACTTTGGGGAATGGGACGGGCGGCAAATTTGAATTGAAGTCAGCGAGGGCATCGGCTATCGGTTCGACGATAGCTTTGTCCCACTTTATAGCACTGGCTAGGTAGGCACCGGAACGGACCAAAATCCCATAAAAATAACAAACAAAAAGCGAACCATGCGGGCCGTTATACAGAGAGTGAGAGCCGCAAAGGTTACGGGTATTTATTGCGGCAGTGATTTCCATCTTTTGGGTGCGCTCACATTTGTCTTTCCCCAGTGCTGGATGAGCTGGTCTCCGCCATCGGGCCGGGACTGTGCGTGTTGATTGGAATTAAGGCTGATGACACAGCCACAGACGTGGAGTATATGTAGGTAATTCCCCGGATTGGATACCATTGTTTGAATACACTTTCATTATTGCCCCATCAGGGTGCGCAAGATACTCGCCCTGCGGCTGTTCGAGGACGAGGGCAAGCGGTGGCAGAAGTCGGCGAAGGACCTGCAGCTGGAGATTCTCTGCATCTCACAGTTTACACTGTATCACCGACTGAAAGGCAACAAGCCAGATTTTTCGGCGGCTATGAAAGGAGACGACGCCCAGAAGCTGTACAAACATTTTCTGGACCGCCTCAAGCAGTCGTACGACACCTGCAAAATTAAAGGTCTAGAATCTCTCCCAGTATGGTCTTACCCTGACTCACATTTCCCCAATTCATTTATCTGCAGATGGCAAATTCGGGGCGAACATGCAAGTGCAAATAGAAAACGACGGCCCCGTGACGATCAACCTGGAATCGCCCGACAGGAAGCAGCCGGACGACTGCGTGGACAAGTGAAGCACGAAGCATTTGACCAAAATATACACAAGAGCTACCATTTATGTGCCACGGGGTTTTCGTTAACTATATTCTCGTTAGCAGCTTAAATCTAAATCAGTGTACAAGTCCTTAGGCTTCTAACATTTCCAAATCGTCTATGCCCATTCCCTCCTCGAGACGCTTCTCCAACTCGCGCGCGTCCACATAGGTGATCTTCTCTTCGGGCAGATCGTCCTCGTCCATGAGAGCCGCCTCCTCGGCCTCTTCCTTGGCACGGCGCTCCTTGAGGCCGGCGGCGGGCGAACGAATCAGTGACATGTTACGTTGCACATTCTTGACATCCATCTGGATCTCAATCTCACGGCCCTTGCGCAGACGCTCCATGACAAAGTGATCCTGGCGACGCTGCTTGATCTCGGTAACCTTCTTGATGGCTTCCAGGGCCTTCTGCCAGGTCTCGCGGCTGTATTTGACGGGCACATTGCGACGCTTCTCGAACTCAAAACTGGGATCGATGGCCAGTTCCTTGCCAGCTGTCTTGCGATGTGCCTTAGTCCAGCCTACCTTGCGTGGGTTCTTCTTGCGCTTGAAGGCCTTGTGGCATTTTCCACGACAGAACTTGAAGATCTACACCAGCGCCAACACAAACAGAGAAAATGTCAGGTTTCATGTGTATACAAACATGGCTGCGCAATAGTCGAAAAACGCATCGAACTGGGCCTCACCTTGCAATCATTTCGTACGAAATCTACCCCATGGCCGGGATATATTTTGCTGGAGCAAAAGTAACACGTTTCGATGCGCATTTTCACAAATTAAAACAAATTTGCGAAAAACAAAGCGCAGTACTAGCACGTGTGCAGCTGAAGAAGAGTGTGACCGCGTATTTATTGATGAAATATGCCGTCTGACGCTCAAGAATATACCCAAATATACCTTCGCATTTCCAAAATATACCGTAAATATACCACGGAAAATCATATTCATCAAATTTGAGATTTAGTTTAATATTATGAAATGTTATACATATGTCGATGAATATCTGCAAGCGTATTGGCGGGTGTTTGGCATTTATTTCATTTGCGTTTTCCACTTTAACATTTGCAACATGTCTCCTCAAAAAAAAACGAAAAAGACGTCCAAGCCGAAGCCTAAAAGCAAGCAGTAAGTCTACCAACAAATTGTGGAAGTTCGCTTAGCTCGAGCAACAATACGAAAATGTATTCTCCCTGCAGGGATAAAATTAGTCAGCCAATATCATATCAGCAATTTGAAAAACTAATAGAGAACCTGCCGGACATTGCATTTGATGTTCAAAGCAACCAACGTGAGAATGATGTAGGACCCCAGAAAACTCTGGACGAGTGTGCATTATGGTATTACAATGCCTTCTACAGGGACGCCACTGTACGCGAGCGATACCCCTTCAAGCTGCGCGCGTGTCCCCAAAAAATCAGGGACAAGTTGCTGACTATGCCGGGAAAAGCAAAAAGCAGTGAGGATGTATCGCCCAAAGAGTGTGCGGATGAATCGCCCAAAGAGTGTGCGGATGAATCGCCCAAAGAGTGTGCGGATGCATCGCCCAAAGAGTGTGCGGATGAATCGCCCAAAGAGTGTGCGGATGAATCGCCCAAAGAGTGTGCGGATGAATCGCCCAAAGAGTGTGCGGATGGTGGTGTAAAGGTCGGGGTGGACAAGTGAGTACCGTACATTTTCGGATTTTCGGTTATCCGTGTTTGAGCGCTTGGTTGTGTGAGTGCATTTTTTCGTATGTATGTAGCAACAATGGAGTCAAACTTACTTATTAACGATAGGATGTCTCCTAAGCCCATGGCGCAGCGTACTTAGTGGCCGACTGCAAAGCGAAGTTTTAAGCGAGCTCAAGCCTCACTCGGTGCAAGTTGATTAAAATTAATTCTTTTTTTTTGTTTTGTTTTGCTCAGGCAAACATTTCCAGAATTGATTATACCATCGCCGGATCTGAAGCGACCCCGAAGCCCCAAAGTGGTCACAGAAAGGGCTGTTCCACCTGTACGCTTTGGCTTTTTCAAAAAGTACATGAAGAATCTGGATGCAATCAGCGATAAAATGCGGAGCTGCGACGAGTATAAGCATCTATCCAAAAAAGAGTGTGCCAGGGAGTACTTCTTGCAGTTCTACAGTTCGCGAGATATGCGAGAGCGATTTCCGATCATATTAAAGCCATGTCCTGGAGTGGTGCGCGAAAAATTGCTGAGTCCGCCGAACTGCTTATTGCCCGATGTCATTGCCGAGAGTCCTAGCGAACCCAAGGAACTGTATAGCTCTGGTCAACCAATTCCAAAGACCAAAGATCAAAGCCCATCGTTAGCCAGGTCGTCGAAAAAAGTTAAAAAGGCACCCGAACAGATTCGAACAGCTCCAATAGTGGCAGTCCCGTAAGTATTTCTGTTTTCCTAGTTTTTGTAGTTTTCGACTGTTTAATTACGTTTCTATTTATGTTTTTAGCGAGCCCAGGATATTGAAAGACAGGAAAGTGGCTGAAAGGTGTGTGGAGCCCGCAGTGCAGTCTGAAAACATCCCGCCTAAGAATTTGATGTAAGTATTTTAGCTAGCACACTGCTGGATTAGAGTTTGAACTTACATTACCTTCTTTTAGTGTCACATCCAGCCAGCCGACTTCGTTGAGCTCCGCGAACCAGTATGATGTGATTGTCAATTGGGAAAGGTAAGACTCACTCTCACACTCTTTCTGGTACACCTCTTGTGTGTGGGTAATAACTCTCATGTTTCACAGCAGTACCTGTAGCTTCCAGTATCCCGTGTCGTTTGAACTGTTCACGCGTTGTATAAATTACGACGAGCTCATCGTCACCTTGCTGAGACAATCGATCACAAACAAGTCGCGGCTGTCGGTCCTGATTGCAAAACCGAAACACCATCAGTGCAAACAAGTTTTCAATCTGTTTTATCACTCGTTCTACGTTTATCCCCGTACTCGAAGACAACACAAATACCGATTCGAGTGTGGGGGAGACAAAGAACTCCTGAAGAAGCTGTGCGAACATGCCAAGCCATTGACTGAGAGTGCTAAGCAGAAAATGGAAAAGACGTCGATGCGCCAAGGACTTCAAGCACCCAACAAGGCAGACAGCCAAAATAAAGATCTCTGCATCATCGTGGATGATATGGAGTACAAATTTCCTGTTACATTTTCTACCTTCCTGATGTGCATCAATTACGATGAGCTGAAGGTGCATGTGGTCAACGAATTCACCGAAAACGAGCAGCGAAGGGCTGAGATCCTGCAGGAACAAGATACCTGTTCGCGACTGATCCGTAGCTACTATCTTTCGTTCTATACCTCCAAGAAGTTCCGAGAAAAGTTCAATTATAATTTCAATAGAGCAACGCCAGAGCTTCGTGCCAAGTGTCTGGAGTTTGCACCAATCGCAACCGATTTGACAAGAACGAGAGAGTCGGCGGATTTGGAAAGATTGTATGCGGCCAGGGTAGCCGAGGTTGAGAGGTAGGTAACTTGAGTTTCCTGGCAATTGAGAGTATTTATCTCTCCTTCTTTCAGCAAACAAAGAATTAATGTAGTTCACTACGAGTCCCACGATCTGACCGCCCACTTAGCTCGTATGAGCATAATGAAAAAAAACAAGGACTTAAATGAGGCGGTGGCTATCAGCAGGAAAGAATCGGATACAGCCAGCCAGTTAAGGAAAACTACAGCACCGAATCGTGCAGAGCCTGCACAATGTCCAACAGGGACAACAACAGCTCAGGCAACAGCAAGCAGCACAGCAGAAAAAATCCATTCTGAGGAATCTGCACTCACATTGAGCAACCCGATTAGTTTTGAACAAATGATGGGAGTCTTTGAGGCGCCGAACATTCAGGTAGGATAGGCAAACAACTGCCATTGGGGCAAACCAATACTAATCCCGCTTGTCCCTTAATAGAAACACAATATCAAATATTTGATCTACGGTAGCCAAGGCCTAAGGAGGACGATTTGGCGCATACTCTTCCAGCTTAGCCAAGAAGAGTTCCGCACCTACACAAGCTTCTACAACGGCGAGGCTCTCTATGATAACGAGAGCTTTCTACAGCAATGTCATCATCTGGTTGTGGACCAAGGCCATTGGCCACTCAATTTGTACGTAAAGCTGACCATGTTGCGCTACCTGTTGCACATCAAGGGAGTGGAACTGCAGTCGCTCGAGCTGAGTCAGTTGTCGCCGATGATCTTGCACTGGCGAGATCTAATGCTGCACACCGATTTCGATGGAATAGTAACGCAAAATTACACGGATCGTACCGGCAGGAAGATCGATGATAATGAATTTCTGTCCCACGAACGTGAGGAGCTGTATGCTCGCTGCTGGACGCACGATCAATGGATACACCAAGTGCCGCAGATCACGAATCCAGCAATAAATGAGGCAGTCATTGCTGATGCTCCTGCTCTTGCAGAAGTAAAATTAAGTGAGTATTTTATATTTGGATATATATTAGTGGATATTTCAAGTGTTCATTTTCTTGCCAGAACCCCTCTGTGGTGTTCAGAGCCAGGACACGGACATAACTATTGAATCAGTCAGTATCACATCCTCACCATCTGGTAAGTTGTTTGTTTGCCCAATTTGCTTGCCCACGCACTCACTGTTCTGCACTTAGTTACCGTTGTGACCATTTGCCCGCCCACCGAACCCAACGCTCAATCTACCAGCTTTGTGGACATGGACGAAGTGGATCCGGCCTCCCAGATCCCAAACACACAGAACGATCCGCTTATGGAGAGCATGCGGGTTCAGGTCAAGCAGGAGCCAATCACGTTTCTCGACAAGATGCGCGGCAGCTGCCTCAACAGCGAGGATTTCCTGTGGGAAAGCATTAATACGGAAGATCAAATTATTAAATTGGACGACAGTCAGAAGTCGCTTTCGAACCTGGCCTGCTTTGCCATTCACACAGTTCCGACAGCAGTTCCGCCATTGAACGCAGTTACAACTCCACAGTTTCCAGAAAGTGATGAAGAGATCGCGGAGACACCGCCTGTTCCACCAGTTGTGGAAGTTAAACAAGAGGAAGAACTAGACACTCTGCCTGCAGCTATCCATACAGAATTGGATGCGGCGGCGCTGCCTCTACATGAGCCCACAAAACGCAAAAATATAATGCCAGTCGCAAACCCAGGTTGCATCAAGAAGCCGCGTCTGATAAAGGAGACGGTGCCACAGCTGCGACACGAATTCCGGGCCCTACCACTACACGCCGTGGTACGCATCGAATTGCCCGACTTTGATTTCGGCTCAGAGAATGAGCAGCCAACGACATCCTCGGCACAAGTTACTGAACAGCCAAGCACATCCTCGGCACAAGTTGCTGAACAGCCAAGCACATCCTCGGCACAAGTTACTGAACAGCCAAGCACATCCTCGGCACAAGTTGCTGAACAGCCAAGCACATCCTCGGCACAAGTTACTGAACAGCCAAGCACATCCTCGGCACAAGTTGCTGAACAGCCAAGCACATCCTCGGCACAAGTTGCTGAACAGCCAAGCACATCCTCGGCACAAGTTGCTGACCATGCCACGGAGATAACAGTAACCCCTTCGCAGGATTTTGCCTCGGGAAATTCTCTTCTAGCATCCTCCCAGCTCGACGCCCTGTTGGATGCTCCGAATGTGACGCATCGCAAGGTAAATACTGACAATGTAGCAGGTAGAGATACGGATAATATTATCGACAAGGGGCCCCCGCCCGTGCTGCAGTGCTGCATTATATTTCGCTGCGTGGAGCGGTATCGATGCTTTACGGCACTGAAAAAAGAAGAAATAATGAAGTACATGATCGAGGGGCATATCGAGGGCAGTTTGTATCAAGATGCTTTAATTAAAATCAACGGAAAGTTGTGCAACTTGCGGGGCCCGCTGATCGAAACGATCTTTCCACACATGTCCGCCCGACTGCGCTGTGATTTTCTGAAAATCCTCCGTGACCTGGGCTCATATGTCTACAATAGCCGCAGGAACACGTACAAGGATTGCACGGAGGACATTCGGGTTCGGGTTTTGTCCATTTTTATTGATGTGGCCCCCAAGTTTGTATACTTCTGCGCGCAATTCGAGAATGCGACCCGCGAGTGGGCCACCTGCCGCACAATGGATCGATGGGACCCGAACAACGTTCGACGATCGCCCAAGTGCGATGTAGCGGCGGCGATCAAGCCGGGCATACTCCAGCGCATGAAACAAATAAAGAAGCAGATTTGTTGATTTTTGTTTGTGCTTTGTTCTTAATAAAAATTGTTCTGCATTTACTTTAAGCCTAAAAAATTGTGTTTGTATCTTTTCAGAAACGCTAACGCCAGACTTAAAAAAAATGTTAAATTTTTCCAATTAAAAGTGCCTTTTTAGTTAATTTTAGAAAGTCGCGCCAATATATTTTGATAGCTGAGTATCGAAACATCAATGCGCTGCTCTAAATAAAACCAACTGTGTTTCTGTTGATTGTTTATGAGGTCCTTGATAGGGGCCGTCTACTTAGATCCTCCGCAAAGGAGCTTGGCCCAGAGGCGGAACGTGTCCTCGGGGCATGTCGCCTCTATACAAGTCCGCGCTAGCAGCAGAAGACGTTGAAGGTGAACTTTGTTTGGCATTTGCTAACCGCGGAATGGCACTGCAAGAATACGGCTACCACCAAGAGGTCTACGACGACTGCGCCAATGCCATGGAGTTCGTGTATCCCAGAAGACTGCAGCACAAGATAATTATACGGCAAGCTCACTGTGCCTCACTTTTTCTCAAACGGAGCGCCTCACAGTCATCAATCTACCCTATCTGTGGTAGCTAGGAGAGGGACGCTGGAATGCATTTAAAAGTTCTGCCGCACTCCGCACTTAATGTTTAGAAATTTAATTTCATTTATTTGGTTTAAAAATATGCTTGTAAAATATAATAATATACACCATGTGTGCACTCTGCCATTTGCTATACACTCATAATGTACTTGAAGTTCTCTTAGTATCGGCGAATGTGTGAATCCAACCCGCATCGTATCGCATCGAATCCATTCCTATATATATCCCTATTCCTAATACTATTTGTCCGGCAATGGTTCTAGACAACAACAGATAGCAACAATTAGGCGGTAGTTGGGGTGAAGCGACTAGAACTTAGAAGCTATCAAAAAAATCAGCGGAGCGGGAAGTTCAGCCAGCTTAAACCAAAGAAAACAAAAATAAGGGATTAACAGAAACGGCAGCCAGAGTACAGACTACAGGATACTATTTACATTTACTCCGGCAGCTGCACGGGCGGCAGCCAGGTGTAAAAGAGAATGTAGGCGGCACTCGAGACGACATTCGACGTGTCCAGCACCGAAACCACTTGATCGTCAAACTTATACCAGCGTCCGTAATTGACGCTCTTGCAGAAGGCCGTGTAGTGGCCGCCCTCCATGGTGCCGTAGTGATTCGAGACGGCATACAGCTGATAGGTCTTGGGCGTTACAGCACGCGACTCGGCGCGTGCAATATACGGATTCATTTCCAGGTTCTGCAGGGGAAAGCGCAGATAGTTTTGCTTCTTGACGTAGGCGCCCGTGTTGCTGGGATCCGCATAGAAGCTAAGGTGGAAAGATGCATGAATAGGGAATGGATCCATTGCCGCGGCGTCTACTTACCGTTTCAAATGCACCACCAGCACGGGCGGCAGCCTGGATATATCCAGCTTCTTGATTGCATCCCGCTTCGTCTTGCAATTGGGACAATTCCAGCCGTGGATGCGCTCCCCACTGAAGTACATGTCCATGCACTGGTTCAGCTGGCACTGGTTGGCGTTCGGCGGCAGCTCGAGGCTGAGATTCGAGAAGCACTCGTAGGTGGCCGACTCCTTGTGGCAGGCCACGCACTTGACGGTACTCTTCATTTGTCCATAGAATAAATGCAATATAATGCTCTCCTTGGCCTTGGTGAAGTCCAGCCAAGCCTTCTCTGCCGCGCCGATCGTTTCCCGCATTCGCGTCACATCGAGCGTCTGCAGGTCAGAGTGCAGCCAGTCCATCAGTATGGTGAGGAACTCGTGCGAATCCTGCTGATCAACGCCGCGAAAGATCTTCTGGTACTGCCCCACCACATACTACAAGAGCCAAGAAGTCGTGAGGTGGAGGTGTGATGTTTCCCAAAGTTTACCAAAGCTCACCCTCAGATCCCGACTGGCCACACACTTGTATTGGCCATTCCACAGCTCCTTGAGGAGAGCTGCCACCTCCTCGATGACCTGGCCATTCGTCTTGTTGCTGCGACTGATGTAGTTCTTGTATTGGTCCGATAAGCAGTACTCCGCCAGGTGGGGCGTGTTGCTCAGGCACTGCAGAATGCTGTTCATGTAGCAGGTATTCCCCAAGTTCTTCAATCCCGTGAGACCCCTTCCCTGCAAACACACAAGAAGAGGGATTAACGATTGGAAGGCCCAAAAACAAAGGGAAAACATTGTGTTACACGTCGAAGGGGAAAGATGGAGCTATAAATGCTGTAGGGAGGCAAAGCCTTTGGCCGCTGAAACTTGACGCCTGCCACGGAAATCATTCGGGGATTCCGATTCCGAATCCGAATCCGGGTATATGCTGCTGTTGCCAAACAGTTTCGCGATTGTACGTTGCTTTAGCTTGAACATGCTTCGAGTGCGGACAGCGAGCGACTGCTGTGGGGGGCTTTCGTTGGGCGTCTTCAAAACGTGACCCTTGGCTATTGATTTCCCCCTAGTAGGTGGGCGGGGCTATTTATAAGCCGCGAGTGAGTCAAGACACCCACAGCCACACACCCCCTTCTAGCGCTAGCCATATTCCTAGCCTAGTCCCATTTTCATCCCCCATTCGAACATTCTCCACACATGCAAATCACTCACCACATTGTGGCCTACAACGGGGGAGAAATCACGATCCCGTGACGCTGTCCTTTCCTCACTCCTGGGCCTTGCCGTCGGCTTCGTCGTCCGATCGAACGTGGGCTTGTCGGCCAGACTCCCTTCCAAGGCCAGATCCAAATCGGCATCCCCATCGGTGGGCGACTTGAGGAGAGATTCAATGCTTCTCGAAAGCTCCTGTGTCGGTGATGGCGGTGGCGACGGTGGCTTGTAATGCTTCTTGGCCGCGCGGGCAATGGCCAGCTGTTTCTCCCGCTCCTGCCGTTCGCGCTCGTGCTGTTCGTCCAGCCGCTGTCGCTGCAGAATCCCCAATTCGATGCGCCTGGTGGCCTCCGCCTCGTTGGGGGTCACCTGCTGCGGTGCCACCGTCTGGGACGTCTTTAAGCGCTCGACATCGTCGCGCAGGCGATTGTTTTCAATTTTCTGTCGAGCAAAGAAAGATTAAGACAAAGCGTCGATTCGCCCTGCGGCTTCACTCACATAATCCTCGGCTTGGTTTTCCAGCTGAAGGATCTTGTAGAGCAGCTGCTGCTCCGACTCGCTGAGGTCGCCCGAGGGACTCTTCCGCTGGATGAGGCGCTTCCACGACTTGGCCGCATCCTCCAGCTGCTCGTCGTTGTGCTGCGCCCGCTGCAGGAACTCCGCCTGGTCGCGCATGATCTCGGCTACGGGCTTGGCCTGATCGTAGGTGCGCAGAGCGGCCTGCTTGCTGGCCCGATTGATGTCCGGACGAGGCCTGAAGTCCCGCGGACTGATGTCCTCCTTCATGGTAATGTCATTGATCGAAGGATACTCGATGTCATCGATGGTTTCGATGTCGTTGTTGTTCTGCTGCGGCGCCTGTACACTGGGATTGGTGCAGTTCGCGGGATACATCATGATGAAGTACTCGTAGCCACCCTCGACGATTTGTATGGGCGAGCGGTAGGTGACATCGGGATCCCACTGCAAAGGAGAGCAAATCTCTGGTTACATCTTTCATTTTGGGATATTTTTTCCACATTTTTACATTTTTGAGTATGTCCAGGAGCGTGGCTATCGCTGTATTTGCCGCTGGCTGGGCATCCTTGCTGTTCCAGTCCATCAGCACCACCGATTCCTTGACAGAGCGCGACGCCCACGAGGCCTTGGCGCTGCTGCTAAGCCGAGCCTGCAATCTGCCAGCCGACATTCTGCACGGGATTACAGAGAATGAGAAGAGACGTCTTTTAGTGCATATTCAGCACTTACCCTGGCGCTATAAGATCTTCGGGCACATTGAATGCACAAAAGTAGGTGAGGTGCGAATCTTCGTAGTCGGCACTGGAACGGCAGTCCATCACCAGCACGGACTTCTCCTGCATTCGTCGGAACAGCTCCTTGCACGAGACCACGCCCAATCGAGCATAGTCAGCGGCATGTGTGGTCGCGGCGCCATTTCTGAGAGGCTCCGTCTGGTTGGGCAGGGGGTTCGACTGTTTCTGCAGCTGGCTGTAGCGCTTTGAGAGCGAGTCGGTTATCACCTCGAGGGAGTCCATAATTCGACGATTCGCTTCGGTGTCGCCCAGCGCCTCACGCACCTGCACTTTGTGGCTCTGATAGTCGGGCCTGTGGTGAATGGCCGATATCATGTTGAAGTACTTCACGTAGTTGATGTAGGCCAACTCCTCGTCGCCATCCAGTCGATTCTCCTCCGCCACCATAAACAGTTTGCGAGCAGTGCCGAGTAATCTAGGAACGGAAAATGGAAATCATTAATTTCATTGATGATGGAAGTCTTGACACTTACATTTTCATGCTCTTGCCGCGCAAGTCTATCTTTATGTCGGACAACTCCTCCAGGGTACCAAGGTTGTCGGTCATGTGCAATTTTTTCAATTGGGCCATCTTTGGGGTGTCTTTTTTTCCGTCTCTGTTTGTTGGTGTTGTGGTGGACGCTACGTGGAACTGGGAGTGGTGGACAATGACGCCGCTGTAGGGGTCATAGCAGCAGGAACTTTTTACGACCTGCGGGCTGGCTGGGCTGCATAAAACAATAAAAACCACTTGCTTCAGCAAAAAAAAATTCCCAGAAACTACAATCGGTGCAACTATCGAATGTAGCTATCGATTAGTTGCTATATTCGATGATTCGCCCACTCCAACAGCTGATTGGAAGATTGTTTATTTACAAACTTAATTCTAGTTTTTTAATTGTTTTCAATGGGCAAAGACATCGAAGGACAAACGTGATATATTCTACCGCCTGGCCAAGGAGCAGGGATGGCGGGCGAGAAGCGCTTTCAAGCTGCTGCAGGCCGAGGAAACCTTTCACCTGCTGGACGGTGCGTCGTAGCCTCGTGGTGAACAGACCGAATCTTGATTTTATTTATTTTCTAGGAGTCACACGTGCCGTGGACCTGTGCGCCGCTCCCGGCAGCTGGTCCCAGGTCCTCTCCAAGCACTTGTACGAGCCACGTTCGCCCGAAGAGCGGGAGAAGGTGAAAATCATTGCCGTCGATCTGCAGGGAATGGCGCCCATTGACGGCGTGCATCAGCTGCGGGCAGACATCACAAAAGAGTCCACTGCCGAGGCCATCATAGAGTACTTTGAGGGAAAGAAAGCCCAACTGGTGGTCTCTGACGGCGCCCCCGACTCCACGGGAATGCACGATTTCGATGTGTACATGCAGGGAGAGCTCGTCCTCTGCGCCTTGAGCATCTCCACATTCATTCTGGAAACGGGCGGCACTCTGGTGGCGAAAATCTATAGAGCAGACAACATCAGCCGCCTGTATGTGCAGCTGCAGCGCTTCTTCAAGGATGTGTGCGTGTTCAAGCCCTCGGCATCGCGCAACTCCAGCATCGAAGCCTTTGTGGTGGCGCGCCAGTTCTGCCTGCCAGAGGGCCACAAGCCCTGTAATCTGACCACAGAATGGCACCAACATCCCGAAACGTGGCTAGTACAGAGAACGGGGAACGAGCCAAAGCCCATTGTCCACGTACCCTTTGTGGCCTACAAGGGTGATATGGATCTGGATGCGGATCGCAGCTATGCATTGGTTCGTACATCTCGCACATCTCCCTACCGTTGGCACGTTTTATTATGTGTGTTTCCAGGATGAGGACTATGTCTATCAGGAACCTGTTCAACAGCCCCTGACTGCCGCGTATCAGGATGTGCGTAGGAAATTGGGCACCACATCCGTTAAATATAAACCCATCATTGTCATACACGATGAGCAACTGACAAAGGAATGGAGGGAGGAGCACAAGGAGCCTGCTGAGGAGCCTGCTAAGGAGCCTGCTGAGGAGCCTGCTGAGGAGTGACCCATGCTCTCAATAAATCAAATTCCATTTCATACATGTATATTTCTACTAGGAAACTAATTAACTATTTACAATTCCATTGGCAGGCGGACAGGCGGCTCTATAAATGCTGCGTACTCAGCTTTTCGGCTGGTTTAACGCCGTATTTATAAACCTTGTTGAGGCTCTCCGGGAAATCGGGCAGCAGATTGTTAAAGTTCTCCACATGATGGGTGTGCTGCTCCGTCCAGATGCCATCGCCGGTGAAGTGGAACTCCGATTCGATTAGATAGAGGATGAGCGTGAGAATCTCGTTGTTGCTCAGATCATAAACGTCGGACACAGGCAGCTGCAGTTCCTCCTGAATTTGGCCCGACAGCAGCAGCAAGAGCTTCTCCTCAATGCGTTTGCTAGGCGAGAATTTGCATAAGAAATGGTTTCCATTTGGAAGTATTCCCGAGCTTACATGGGATATAAGAGCAAGTGGATGTTGTCAAAGATCTCCGACAGCTTGAACTTCTTGCTCTTCAAGTACTCCAGGCACTGCTTCACATGCAGCAGGGGTATGTGGCACCAGTTGGGGTGGCGGGAAAGCAGATTGCGCAGCACGTGCTCTTCCTTGGACATAACATTGCCCAGGTAGACCACAATGTCACGACCCTTGGTGCGATCCGAGCCATCTCTAGCGAATCTGCACGGGACAGAGGTGGTACAAGTATGATTAGATTGGATGATTCTTCTCCACTTACTTGGCAAACGCTTCGGAGCCGCAGGAGAGGATGTGCAGGGAGGCGCAACGCACCTTCAGCTGCGTCAAGTAATCCAATCGAAGGCGAGCCTTGTTCTGGTAGTGGACCAAACGCAGTACGCGCGGATTGGTGCCCAGCACCTGGAACTCCTCGATCTCCTGTAGATCCCGCAAACGCTCCAGCACTGTGTCCGGCCCCAGGGTGAGCACCTCCAGGCAACGCAGCACTGCGCCCTCGTTGATGCCAAACGAGCGGACATTCTGGAGGGTCTGCTTCAGGCTGTCGCAGGTGGACATTAGGATCTTTGGCCGGCGGTAGCCAATGTCGCGTATGTCCTGCGAATCGATGGTGGGTATCTCCTGGATGATGCGACGCACATTATCCGCGTCCGCATGCAGCAGAAAACTGTTTTTCCGCAGACGTTCTGCGGAAAACTTCAGCTCTTTGGTCAGCAGCTCAATTGTGTCCTGCACTGAGCGGAAACTTTTGTGCCGCACACGGGAGTAGACCCTCCACAGCTTTACGAGATCGCCGTCGTCCATCTGCAGTCGCTCGCGAAGATAGGCGTTCAGCAGCGATTGGCGGAGGATCTTCAGGGTGAGACTCTCGCTTTCCAGCTCCAGCGTGGGCAGCGGTAGGCGGATGTCCGTGAAGAGGCCAGCCAGACGCTCAGGCACCTTCACGTCGAAGGGTATGAAGCCATGGGCCTTCAGTATGTCGATTGGCTTATTGACCACCGTCACATACTTGGCCAGCGTTTGGATGGTCACATTCTGGAAGCCGCACTCCAGCAGTACGCTGTGGCGATTGGACAGTGTCGTCGCTCCGTAATAGATGATCATGGGCTTGGTGATGATGTCGTCCACGCTGTACTGCAGCGATTTTAGTATATCGTAGGAGTTGAGCAAATCTTTGCGCTTCACCGTCTTCAGCTCGGGATGCTTCTCCAGTGCAACGGCCCAGGCCCGATAGTTGCTACCTATTCAATTAAATGATCATTACTGAACGATTCTGTATAAAGCACGGCATAAACTCACCCAGAGTCTTTGACAAATAGCTGGCATTTAGAGACTCTTCCATGGGCATTTCTATAGACGACGGAGACTTCAGTTTTGGCTTCTCCTTTTGACTGGTAGCCTTTTTCGCCGTGGCCGCTCCTCGCGATAGCTGGCCCAGGCTTCGCGCCAGCAGCTGCGTTTGATGCTTACCGTTCCTAAGCATTACTTCAGCATTGCCATAAAATAAACCTTTCAAAAACAATAAAGAGATAAAAATTAAAAACATGTAACTTTAACCCGTTGTTGACTAGTGGGTATTTAATTTAAAAAACTCAAATTATGGAACTTTAGCGCAGTTCAATTAAAAGATATTGCAGTTTTTTTTGGAAATAATGAGGATGGATAGGATTGATTTACAAGCTGGGTTTACATCAGTGCTATTTTCCGCGGTTTAACTCAAGATGTTCAACTGGTTTGCATAGAGGTAGTTAAGTGGGTTAAGTTCGTTTTTTCCACGGTATATTTACGGTATTTTGAACATGAAGGTATATTTCGGTTTATTTTTGAGGTTTGGACGGTATATTTTTTATTGATAGCCGCGGTCCTACTGTTCTACACGTGCGTTCTTCGGGTTTTTTCGAAATTGTAATTTTTTTCGTTTAGTTTTCAATAAAGAAAGCACTTAAAAATGTCGCTGTTACGCATCAGGTGAGCCTTAAATCATGAAATTTAAGAAAATAGTTAAATTCAACTAATGGAGCTTTCAGGAAACCCAAAACCCGCAAGGGAAAGAAAATATTAATGGCCCGGGAGCCGCAATTGATTGAGTCGGCCCGCACAATGCTCTTTGTGGATGGACGAAAATGCGGTGGCAATGTAAAGCAATGCATGAAGGATCTAAATCAATTGAAGAAGCCACTGGTGAAGGTCCTAAACCGCAAGAACGACATAACGCCCTTCGATGATCCTTCCTCCTTAGAGTTGTAAGTGAAATGTGCAGTAAAAAGTTAAAATTTCTCGTTTATCAAAAAATTCTTGCCTTTAACTTTAGCTTAACCATGAAAAACGATGCGGCACTGTTCGTGTTTGGTTCCACGTCCAAGAAGCGTCCCGACAACATTGTTCTGGGGCGACTCTTTGAGAACGAAGTCCTGGACATGTTCGAGTTGGGCATCAAGCGGTATCAGGCCATTTCCGAATTCAAAAACGAGAAGATCGGCGCCTGTGTGAAGCCCTGCCTGGTCTTTAATGGACCCCAATGGGCACAAACTGAGGAATTGAGGCGTCTACGCAATTTGTTCATCGACACGTTCCAGCGTGAGAAGGTGGAGTCCATACGCCTGCAGGGCGTGGAGCATGTGATGAGCTTCACGGTGACCGATGACATGAACATCTTGCTGCGCTCCTACAAGATCCTGCTGAAAAAGTCGGGCCAGAAGACGCCACGCATCGAGCTGGAGGAGATTGGACCCTCGGCCGACTTTGCCATACGCCGCACAAAGATTGCCTCCGAGGATCTGTACAAGCAGGCCCGCAAGCAGCCCAAGCAGCTGAAGGAGGGCAAGAAGAAGAACATCAGCAGGGACGCCTTGGGCAACAAGAAGGGACGCGTGCATATGGGCAAGCAGCTGACGGGCTCCATTCAGACGCGCCGCGTCAAGGCCCTGCGGAAGACGCCCGAGGAGAAGAAGGAGAATCGCCAGAAGAAGAAGGTGGCCCTGAAGGCTGCCGCCGCCGATGCTTTGGCGGCATCCCAATGAGCAACGAACGTAAGCCGCCCCCTGTCTATCTTCTAGTTAGCTTTAGTTGTAATAAATTGGTCCAGATTAAAGTAGCGTTAAAACTACTCCGAGTATTGGAAACTTCAATGAATGCCTTCGACAATGTTGCGGATGCGCCGCGTCTTCGACTCGGCCAGGGCGTCCTCCAGTGTTCTGATCATGTACAGCAGGCTACTGATGTCGGTCTGAACTAGCAGATCCTTGCGATGGCGTCGTTCATCCTCCTGCATGGCCGCCAGCTCCTGCTCGCTACGTCCTGATTCGTCTACCTCCAGCAGCTCGCGGTTCTCGTTCTTCGGCTCTCTGTGCAGGTAGAGCTTCATGGTGATCACCACACTGCACTGCTCGAGCAGGGTTCTTGATGCCGTGCGCACCTCCAGTCGCCAGTCCAGGTCGACCAGTCGATAGGATCGTATATTGGCCGACTTGATCGACCCCTCCACAAAGTTACGCTTGCTCGTCACAAACTGTTCCAGCACCTCCAACACATCGTCGCTGAGATCGGGGAATGTCTGACGCAAAACTGCCTGCATGTCCACGCCACTGCCACCCACGCGGGTGGTCACGCTGATCAACAGCGAAATCAGGGCTTCCACTGTCCGCTGTACTGCCTCCCTGTCGACGGCATCTGTCGAGTACTTCTTGGCCAGCGTTTCGTAGCGGGTGGCATTGGGTCCATTGATTAGGTAATCGAAGGCCGACTTGCACAGCTCCACGACATCGCTGGCTGGTCGCTGAAGCAGCGTCAGGTGATCCTTTTGATGCTGGGTCAGCCGCAGCGAGGACATTTGGCTTGAGTTAAACTGAAAGCAAGGGGAGTTTGGATCATTTCAGCACCACGGGGCACTGCGTAAATGCTTACCATCAATAGTTAAGATTCAGGACTATGTAAGGATTTAGGCACAGGCTCATGACGCAGCTAAATTAAACTACAAGTCAATGAATGAATACAAATACCACAAAAATGATTCTCATTTCTCACCTCTCTGCATCTGTTTGACCACTGGTCATGGAGATTCAGACAGACCTTGGCACTTGTGGAGATTGTTGGACACCCTGGCTCCTACTTAATTGTATTTCTTTGCCTTTATCTTGCAATTATATTATTTATCACTTTTATTATATTTAATTGTTGGAAACAAAAAGAAAAGATTGTGCGCCGGCTCACATAGGTTGGTGTTGGGCAACGTCTTTTGCGTTTCACGGACAAGAACGTAGTGCTGCGAAGTGTGCAAAAGTGGGCGCCCTCACCGCAGCAACACCAGCAGCAGCAGGCGACTGTTGCATTTCTTGTTTGTGTGTGGAAATTGTTTATTTATTGCAACAAATAGGAGGATATAAAAAATGGAATTCGATAGTCCTGAAGAGAAGGAGTTCCCGGGGCTGTATGCCGCCGAGGCAGCCGATTCCAAGTCCAAGAAGAGCAAGGAGGAGAGCGATTGTGAGTATGCTGCAATGCGTGGGTGCATCCAAAACGGCGGAAAATCAATTCCCGGGATCTTTGCAGTCGACGAGGACCATGAGCACAACAAAATGGACCTGCTTATAGGCAAGCGAAAGGACAAGAAAGATAAAGGCAAGGATCGTGGCTATGCAGCGCTCGAGGGCGAGAGTTCGCCCGAAGAAGAACTGGAAACAAAGTAAGGTAGTCGCCCAATCCCGACCAGAATGTAACTAACCCTTGGCATCCTCCTGCAGGAGTCCCTCGAAATCAAAGAAATCGAAAACATTCAAGTTCGTCAGCTCAAAGAGCAAGGAAAAGCGTGAAAAGTCGCGCGACAAGGAAAAGTCCGTGGAGGAGCCGGCGCACAAGGCGAAGGACACGGATAAGGACAAAGACAAGGAGCGAGAGCGTCACGATGAGAAGGAGCTCAAGAAAAAGGACAAGAAGAAAGACAAAAAGGACAAGAAGAACAAGCAACTGTCGCAGCAGCAGGACGAGGACGCCGAGGAGGAAGAGCTGGCCATGGGCTATCCGGTGTTCGGAGTATCCGTCAGCCTGGCCACCGAGAGATCGCGCTGCCACGACGGCATTGATCTGCCGATGGTAGTGCGGGACTGCATCGACTACTTGCAGGAGCAGACCCGAAACTTTGTCATCTACAAGGTGGAGCCCATCAAGGCGGAGCTCCTCAACTTGAAGCGACTCTACAACAACCGAGAGCACGATGCTGCGTTGGCTCTATTCAATGTGCCATTGGCCTGCAGTCTCCTGAAGCTGTTTCTCCGCGATCTGCCGGAGCCCATGCTGACCACCGATCTGATGTACGACTTTGAGGACGTTGCCAGAAATCGAAAGGGCAAGGAGCAGCGGATTGGACTGCAGCAGCTGATGGAGCAGGTGCCCAAGTGCAATCGAACGCTGGTCGGTTGGGTGCTGCTCCACTTGTATGCGGTGACCGACCAGGAAAGGTACAACAAACTGAACCACGAGTCGATTGCCGTGCTACTGAGCCCAACGCTCCAGATGTCGGCGCAACTGATGGTGGCGCTGCTCCGTCACTGTCGCACGCTCTTTGCGGACATTCAGCTGATACCGTAAGCAAACATACGCTTGGATTGAGATAAGATTCGCGGCAGCAGCAGCCTGGAGCAGCCGCGCATCTCCTCTGATTAGTTGGTTGACGAGCATGAGCTTGGTGCCCCATAAACGGAAGCGCTTGGCGCGCCTCGTCAGCTTCCTAAACAGGCAGAGACTCATTCCGAGAAGACTATACCATACCAACTAACTTGACTCTCTTGCAGATATGTACCGCCACTCACGGCTGCTTCCAAGCTGCCTGAATACCCGGAGGACATACAAACGGAGTTGCGGAAGCAGGACAGTCTTCTGACCCAAATACACAGCGAAATGAATGCGGGCTTCATCACCAAGCAGCGCGAGGAGCAGCTCTGGGAGGTGCAGCGCATCATCACCCAGTTGAAGCGAAAATTGCGCAGCTTCGAGAAGAAGCAGGAGAAATCCATCGAAGAGCTGGACGTCAGCGCTACGCAACCTGTACCTGCAACTGCACCTCCACCCGTTCCCATACCTGTTGGCGAAGACACCACCGACTCCGGTCAGCCACCCGCTCCCCCCAGTTCCACGGTGACAACCATCAGCACAGAAGAGCACAAGCCGGGCAGGCGGGCATCCAGTTCCAGTCCAGTCACACACAACATAGACGTGTCCGACTGCATCCAGGTGCACAGGAACGAGGAGGAGTCGTCGAGTCCCAGCCCACCGCTGTACACCATTGACGGAGAGTCTGGCTTTGTCCTGTTGCCCGAGACGAATCCCCACCGCGAGGAGCTGCTGCGCCTTCAAATTGAATACGATGAGCTGGTCGCCTTGCAGAATGAGCTCAAGGCGCGCATCATGACCGAACGCAACGAAGTGTATCGCTTGAATCGGCTGTGCGAGAAGCAGCTGGCCAAACCCCAAGCGGCCGCTGGTTCACAGCCTCCAAAGGAGGCCGACTACGAGCGAATAATCGAGCACTATAAGCGGGAGAATGCACTGCTGGAGCACAAAAAGCAAATGCTGGGCAAAGAGCTGAAGGAGGAGCGTCGAGGCGTGCATTGCCCTGCAAGTGGAGCTGCGACTGCAGCAGTTTTAAATTTATTAACCAGTCTAGTTTTACTCCTGTTCAATCTCAATGTGCGTTAAACGAACAAAAAGCTGAAAGAGGATAGGTGTGGTGAGGAGAGGAGAGGAGAGTAGAGCAGCGTTGGGGGCCTGCATAGCCCAGCAAGTGGATGGATGGATTATCATATGCAGCAATTTTAAATGTATTAACCATTGAAGTTTTACTTCATTTCAATCTCTATATGTGGCGTTAAACGAACAAAAAAGCTTACGTTCAAATAAAAGCTCAAATGTTTGAATGGCGCGTCGACTTAAGTTGGCAGGGCGAGAACCACCACCAGCAGAGAGAGAGCCAGCAGAAGCCGCTAATAGCCTTGCGTGCTTTGCTTGGCTTTTCGCGAAAGCTTCTTGCTCCATTGGCTCTTGGGATTTCGCTGGTGGCGTTGCTAATTTGATTGTGTTGTTTAATATATTTCATAAATAAATCATCCGAAAATGTTGAAGCAAGTAACCAGGCAATTGGCCCTCCAGGGAGTGCGCAACTTCTCGGTCAGCCAGCAGGTGAGAGCGCATTCCAAAGCCCACACACACACACAAAAAACAACCCAAAATCTGGCTGCAGCTGTTTACGTAACAGCAGAGAATGCATCACCGGAAAGGCAAACTGCAAAGCCTCTAATATTACAATAGTTTCCCCTGCCCCCACTGATTTTAATGCTCTTGTGGGCTTGATTTCTCTCCACCCCCGCAGAACAACTACAAAGTGACCGTCTGCGGTGCCTCCGGCGGCATTGGCCAGCCCCTGTCGCTGCTGCTCAAGCAGAATCCTCTGGTCACGGATCTGTCCCTGTACGACATTGTGCACACGCCCGGTGTTGCCGCCGATCTGTCCCACATCGATACCAGGAGCAAGGCTGTCGGATTCATGGGCGCTGACCAGCTGGGCGAATCCCTGAAGGGTGAGTAGAGGGCAGCAAGTGAGGTTATGTTCGATGGAAAATTTACATGAGCAGAGTGGGGGAGGGGTGTGGTATGCTTCTTGGATCTCCACTTGCATGGAGAGCGAAGAAATCATGCTCTGTGATAAGATAGTGGAAGCAGTGGAACCGTTATTGGTATATATGTACATACATATGTATGTATATAGCTACGTAATCAGATTCAGTCCACTGTCCGTCCACTTATCAGCAGTAGCCGCCTGCGTGGATTGCAGCCCATGAAAGCGCAAAGCTCAAAATGTCAGCAGATTATCAATAAGCACCTTTCCATATCTTATTCCCACACAGGCTCCGATGTGGTTGTCATTCCCGCTGGCGTTCCCCGCAAACCGGGCATGACTCGCGACGATCTGTTCAACGTGAACGCTGGCATCATCAGGGACATTGCCAACTCCATTGCCAAGAACTGCCCCAAGGCCCTGGTGGCCATCATCACGAACCCCGTGAACACCTGTGTGCCAATCGCTGCCGAGATCCTCAAGAAGGTAATGAGTATGATGACGGTTGCCCATCCATGACAGAACATTAGCTTATTCCAATACCCTTCTTTGTATTCCATCCCAGGCTGGTGTCTATGATCCCAAGCGTCTGTTCGGTGTCTCCACCCTGGATGTGGTGCGTGCCCGCGCCTTCATTGGCCACGCCCTGAACGTGGATCCCCAGACCGTGCAGATTCCCGTGATCGGCGGACACTCGGGCGTGACCATTCTGCCCGTGCTCTCCCAGAGCCAGCCCGTGTTCAAGAGCAGCCACGATGTCATCGAGAAGCTGACTGTGCGCATCCAGGAGGCCGGCACAGAGGTTGTGAAGGCCAAGGCTGGCGCTGGTTCAGCCACCCTCTCGATGGCCTATGCCGGCGCCCGTTTCGCTGGTTCCCTGCTGAAGGGCCTCAACGGCGAGAAGAACGTGATTGAGTGCTCCTACGTGCAGTCTTCCGTCACGGAGGCCACCTTCTTCTCCACCCCGCTGGTGCTGGGCAAGAGCGGTGTGCAGGAGAACCTGGGTCTGCCCAAGCTCAACGACTACGAGAAGAAGCTGCTGGAGGCCGCCATTCCCGAGCTGAAGAAGAACATCCAGAAGGGCATTGACTTTGCCAACGCCTAAGATGTTAGCATACCACCATCCCTCCATCCATCCATTCGCCCCACGAATTCCTCTTGATTGTGTACTTCATTAGCGCCTATGTCAAGTGTGGCCACATCCCCGGATTGGCATACTTCCAATTAGCAAATCTTTCATTTTAAGTCGGAAAAGTGTGCAACGCTTAGCGTGCCAGATCTGCGCTCTGTGTGTGGTAAACAATGCAACCTGTTGATATCTGAAATAAACAAACTATGAAATTGGATATAGCCATTAAATAATTTCTCTGGCAGGATCCAACTGTAAGCGCCTGCTCCAAGTCCTCTCGATAGAGACGCTTTCGATTAAAGTTCGATATCTTTCCTTACACTGCACGAAATGTTTATAAACTCTCATTAAAATCTGTCGATAGAGTCGCATTGCAACCGTTCGATATTGCCGAGTGTTGGCAATGCCCACTGATTTCTCTCTCTCTCTCAAACAAACAAACACAATGCTCTCACATACACACCCATACAGTTGCATTCAATTAAGCTTCGTTAAGATCAATTTAGAACTCTGCTGCCCGCATGTCATGCTCTCTCCCTCTCGTCCCTTCCAGCCCGGCTGCCCATGGCTGTGTCTCAGCCTCCGGCCAGTGCCAGTGCGTACGCATTTTGGAATTTCTTATTCGATTTGTCTATATGTATGTTCGGATGGGATGATTATTTTATGATAGACTTTAGATAATGGAATTTTTTGGACTTTAGTTGGAGCAAAAGTATATATGATATTTTCTTTGATATTGGATAACACGCTTTTGCTATTCAGCAAGTTTCAATCTATTTACACCTTTGGCTTGCATTAGCAAACAATAAATGGCTGGATTATGATGTCTTCTGGGAGTTTGATCGCAGATCAATGTTAAGTGATTCGAATAATAGCGGTAAGGGCGAGCTTTTATTTCTACAACCGTTTATCGATCATTTCTCAATCCCCAGTGGTTTTGTTAAATTGTTTACATTCCCTTAAACTACCTTTAAGCGATTGATTTGCATTGATTTGCCCCACGAATGTATCAATCGCCAGGCTTCAATTGAATGAAACACCCACTCCTCAATCGTTTGCACTTGTTTCATTCCATCAATTAAAATGCTTGGCCACCAATAACACAACTGAAATCAAGTCAATTGGATTACTATTAGACAATTTGATTTTGTTCATTAAGCCACAGAGCAGACGCAGACGCAGATGCGATGCAGACCGGCCCAGTTTCAATAATTCTAATCTATTTAGCCACCAACCAACAATAAACGAAAAGTCCCATAGAGGGAGGGGTGGGGAGGGGAGGAGACCAAACACACCCCCCACACTTAATTATCGACGATCAAAAGGCAACGATAACAAGACCAAAACAATCAATTGATACAATTCCCATTCATGAAATCAAATCAAACTGCAAGCGAAAATCACAGAGCAGAGCACTCAAATGGCCGCAGCGCAGAGACAATTGGATAGGCCAGGCGCAGAGCTTGGACTCGGAATTGGCTCTTCTTCTGGTCTGGTCTGGTCTGGCCAATTGGCAGAGAGCTGCTGCTGCTGCTGCTCTGCTCTGGTCTCTTAATGAAATAATGAGCAGGAATCAATTTCCAGACGCCACACGTACTACTCTCGTACGTACAATACAAATTAAATTGCCGGCCGGCATTTTATATTAAAACAAATTGGAATCCATGGATTTACCAGCGCCCAAGCGCCTGCCTGCCTGACTGACTGCCAGCCTGGCTGCCTGCCACTGTAATCGACCTTGAACAATTTTATTTAATTACAAACAATTAGGTCGGCGCACAGGCCGCAACGCCAAAAACGATAAGCGACGCCCACCACAATGCCACGGCCGACTGCAGCAATTAATTTATTAAATTTTAGCACACAAAAAGATTGACAAGTTCATGCATAAATTCAAATTTAAATTCCAATTGAATCTCCAGTGCAATCGTGTGTGCCTATCGATCGCCAGAGCGGCTTAAAGCTTAATCCAGCGAGTTGGCAGCACCGCTCGTACTAAGCCGCGCTTTGAGCCCAGACTCAAATGTTGTGGCCTGCCACAAGCATCGATTTCCATAAGCCCATAAATTGCACTCTGAAAATGATCTGACTGCCCCACCCCCACCCCAACTCTCTGATCCCGCGCTCTAGCCCCGTTTTGACTGCATTAAATGGCGCCTTTGCCTTAAATAAGTCACAATTGTCGGCAATTAATTTGAATTACGCGTACTGTGTTGCGATTTTTGTGAATCGACAAGACCCAGAGCCAATTACATGGCCCAAGCCCAGCGGTTGACATCTTCAGTTATCTCTGGTTGCGCTCTATACGAGAGTTACGGGTTGTATGTATGTACATACATATGTGTTATGTGGCGATAGCAATTGTCCGATTGTGATTGGCTTTAATTTATTGGCGTCTTTGCTCACTTTCACTTTGATTGCATTAAGCTTTTTGTGGGCTAATTGGTGGTGGGTGAAAGTGAGTGTGGATGTGGGTGGGACAGGGGGAAGGTATGATACGAGAGAAGGATTTAATACTCTAAATCAGTTTAAGAATCGATTAAAAATCGATTACAAATTAGGGAACGATCGATACTTTTGGAGAATCATCAAATACCTGCATTCCTTGCTTCTTGATTCTTGATTCTGATGATGATCACCAAATTCCTTGAGAATTACAGAGCCCAGAGTACGATTCTTGGATGCCAAGCATTTTGGTACAGTCAGTCCCAAATAAAATCTCATGTAAATGATGGCAAGAAATCATAAAGCAGCACAGAATGGAAAGCAAAATGCATAAAACAATTTGAGTCGACATTTTGTGATCGTCGCTCGTCGCTCGTCGCTCGTCGTCTGGGTCAGATGTCAGATACGACGTCTCCCCCACCCCACCCCACGCTAGTAAGTATCATCATCATCATCATGTAAAGGGGGTAAGTAGTAAGTAAGTACCAGGCAAGTGTGGACCCGGACCCGGGACCCCAAAGTGCCATGGAGAATTAACGAAACAACAAAAAACACTATAAAAATCGTCGTCAGGGTAGAGCCACAACCAGAGCCAGAGGCAGACAAGAGTCCGAATCCGAGTCCGAGTCCGGGTCTCGACTTGCAGACATTGTCTCGGGCTTGTGGGTTTGTGGGCAGTAGATTTCGAAATTGTGTGTGTGTGTGTGTGTTTCTTTTTGTTTCTACTGCTGCTGAAAGAGCGAGAACAAATAGCGGCGGCAGCAGGGGCAGAAATGGAACTAAAATACAAAAACTATTTGATATTTTATGCGGGATTTTAAATTGATCTTAACGAAGCTTAATTGGTTGCACTGGTATTGGTACTCCCAGCTGGACTCTGACACGATCTTCTGTGTGTGTGTGTGTGTGTGTGCGTGCGTGTCTGAGCTTGAGAGCGCACGCCATATTGGAATTCTGTTTGTAGCCGCAAGGCGAGGCGAGGCGAACCGAACGAGCAAGCAGATCACAATCGCCGAACCAAACCAAACCAAACCAAAAGCAAAAAGCAAACCGAATGGGCAGGGAAAAACATTGCAGATATATGTACAGATATATGCTATGCTGTATGTGTATGCTATGTGCATGTAGATATATAGAAATGCATAACAAAAAGTCGTGACTGTCTCCGTTCGTATCGTAATACAATGGTGATAATGTCGCCACTGTGGATGGGCAATGGGCAATGGGCATGGAATGGGATGAGAGAATATTTCTCGCTGGACTAGAGGATGGACTGTCACCACGAGACGATGATGCTGATGATGCTGATGATGATGGGTCTGAGTATCTGTCCCTCTGTGTGTTCGTGTGTGTTTTTTGTATATTTCTTAATGGTTATGGAAAAAATATGAACAAATATATTCAACAAAAGCTTAGGCGCTCACTTGGCTTGGGCAGCGACAACTGTACCAAGTACATTTCCAAGTATTTTCCACAGAGAGGATGCTAGCAAATCAAATGAAAGAAACACACACAAAATACACAGATTTGAGTGGCATGTAAAGGGTTTCGGGAAGGTTGCCTAACGAGCCCGATTGAAACCCCAACAAAAATGTTCCCTTACATTGCAAATCTTTTTCGGTTCGATTAAGATCCCTCGTCCTATCCCTCATATATGTATGCCCCGCCATCTACCTTTTGCCTTTCGATTACCTTGGATCGCAGATTTAAACCCATTCAAGTTCAAGAGTCAATCGTAATTAACTTTTGATCTTATCCGAGATGCCATCATCGTCGTTTGACTTCTTTGCACTGCGGGATCAAGACATCCCATCCCATCCCTTCCCCATTCCCGCTGCTCCCTGCATGTCCTGGCAGCCTCAAGTCCTCAAGCCCACATAATTGGCGCCGTGGCAGTGGCTAATGCAAAATATTGTCTGATTATTCACACGCAACAAGAGTTCCGTTCCCCCCACCCCACCGCACTGCACTACCCATCGCTTGCCACATCCCTCCCATGCCTGTCAGGGACGGGGACTTGGACTGGGTCGCGACCCACAGTATGGGGTGTATTTATTTGTTTTCATCTTGCGCTCTGATCGCGTGCCCTAAGTCCATTCCATTCTCTCATGACTCGCCTCGCCTCGCCTCGGCTCGGTTCCGTTTCCGTTGCCCGCATTTTCGAGACCTGCAAATCGACCAAAAAGTATCGAATTGTTCGGATTCGGATTCGGGTTCTGTCTCTGTCCCTGTCCCTGTGCCTGTCCCTGTGAGAGAGAGAATGAGATTTTTGTGTAGTTTCTGTTTGGAATTCGATGAGTTTTCTTCGTTATGATGGGAAAAAATTGGCTGATCCTTCAGAGGGGGGACCCTGGGAAGCAAGGAGGAAGTTCTTATGCTGCCAAGATCAATGCGGGTTCTGTTTGCTGGATGGATTTTAGCATTTTATTGGGTCAACAGCAGAACTACAGGGATCTGCAGCAGAGGAATCTGAAAGTTGATTAGTTTTATGATGTTAATAGGATCCATATTGGGGAGTAATTGTTCGAGGAATCGTAAACTTGTTAAGGATTTCTAGCAATTAAAGTCATATTTTAATTTTATTTTCTATTGTCTGTTTTCTCTGCCAAGATCTTTGTTCTATATATCTTCTTTCTATACCCCCACATGCATCCACCTTTTTGTCTCTTTGCCGCGTGCCTGCCCACATGATTCTACTGCTGCTTCGCTCTGTCCCATGCAAATTCCCCGTGAAATCTTTGCCCCTAACCTAACCAAATGACCCATAACTTAACGCTGACTAACTTAACCCCCTGGCCCAGCCCTGTGGCCGAGCCAAGTACCAGCATCTAGCCATCTAGCCAAAAGGTCGCACACGCAACACAACACGCAAAAGTGAGCCGGTCCTTCAGAGGGCAAACGAGTGAGATTGGCTCTGAGGGGTGACACGCGCAATTGGAATGAAGAAGGTCGCGTCGCGAGCGTGCCAGCCGATCCTTCACAGGGGTTGCAAGCCACTGTCTATGCTTCACCCCCATGCGTGCAACTCCAATTGGAATCTCTCTCTCTGTCTCCAGAGCCGTAGCTGTGGGCATTCCTCTGCAGGGAGAATGCGGTAATCCGTTGGTTGCAGGGGAAGTTAATTGTTGGCTCAACATGTGCGCACATGTAGGTGGATTGTTGATGGATGGATGGATGACCACAAGGCAATAAAGTGGCAGTTGGAAATGGGAAAAATAACACAACTATTGGGAATCTAGGAACCACAGGAATGTGCAAAGTTCTCTTTTTACGTATTCAGATGGTAGCAGAATGTAGAATTTAATTAAAGGAGTAATATGAGAGGAGAAATATCACCTTTCCAAAGCTTATACATATATGCAGCAAATATATAATGTCTATAGATATCACTTTCAAGAACTTTTTAATTCGGATACTGAATTCTAAGACACCTAGGAAAATCCCACACAATAAATATAAATGCACTTAGATAATACAATTTGGAATATTAAAAATATTTCGCTTAGTAGTTTCCTCATCCTCATGTTATGCCAGAGGATTCCCCATACTCTCACCTTCCACCATCCGTCATATCCATGGAAAACCCAATAAAATCCGTAAAGAAACCTTTCCAAGAGTAGTAGATCAGATCCTCTGTTCCCACTAAAAAAATCCCGTTCCCAGGACCTCCCATTACCCGTGCTGTCGAAGCTGTCGGAGATCTGCTGGTAGCAGTCCCAGAAACTGGACACAAGCAGCTATACCCAGTCCAGCGCAGCAGCAGCAGCAGCACGAGAACCAGCAGCAGCAGCAACAGCAGCAACAACAGCGGGTGGGAAGAGTAAACCACACCCCGAAAACCCAGCAAAGGCGCGCAAAAGTCACACGCGCCAGCATGAACATGCATCTCGCTCTGGCGGCAGGGGAACGTCGGCCATTGGCGGCACCGGATTGGTCGCTGCCGGCGCTGCGGCGGCGCTGCCAGTCGCGCCGGTATAAAAGGGCAATCATCGCCAGTAGCGGACTCAATTAAGGCCAAGACTTGAGCGGTTGACAACCGAGAGAGAGCAGGCTCAAGGAGTGTGACAAAAATAGAATAACAAAAAAAAGAACAGAAACCAAAGCGAAACGGAAAGAAATGTTGTAGCCAAAAGTTAAATAAACCCAAAAAAAAAACCAAATCAAAGCAAAGGCAAAGCAGCCATATTTGATTCGATCGAAGTTCGAAGTTCGAAAGTTCGGATTGCGAAAGCTTAAGCTGAGCTTGCAATACGCTGTTGTGTCTGTGTCTGTGTTCTAGTGTGCTAGTGTGTGTGTGATTCGTGTGAGCAGGATGGAGCATGACAGCTTTGATGATCCGATCTTCGGGGACTTTGGCGGGGGCCCCCTAAATCCGCTGGGTGCCAAGCCCCTGCTGCCCACCTCGACGGCCATGCATCCCGTCATGCTGGGCAGTGTCCACGAGCTGTGCAGCCAACAGCAGCCGCAGCAGCAGCAGCAGCGTCTGCCCGACTGCAACACCATACTGCCAAATGGCGGCGGTGGCGGCGGCAGCGGAGGATCCCCCAGCTATGTGCCGAAACTGGATTTTGGCAACAAGATTGGTTGCTACTCGCCCAGCCAGAAGTACGAGTACAAGCTGGTGGATCAGCATCAGCAGCACCAACAGCAGCAGCAGCAGCAGCACCACCATCACCACCAGCACTACGCCGTCACGCCACCGCCCAGCCACAACGGCATCCTGCACCACAAGCAGCAGGCATCCTCGAACCAACAGCAGCAGCAGCTGGTGGGCATCATGGACTACCATCCGCTAAACGGAAAACTCGACTACTCGCCCAAGGATCAGTACGAGCCGCAGCCGCAGCAGCATCCGCAATTGCAGCACCTCTACGGCGGCAGTCCGCACCACCACTTGGACCACCTGGAGCACGGCGATGGCTTGATCCAGGACTCCACGCCCGTTTTGATAAACGGCGGTCCTGGCTCGGCCGGAGGCAAGCTCAAGAAACCCGACGAAATGTGCGGCCAGATGCAGGATGCGGGTGGCTCGGGCGTCACACCACCAGCCACCACCTCGTCGGGCATCACCAATGGCGGGACGCCCAATGGCAGTGGCAGTGCCAGTGTCTCTGCTGGGGGCCAGGGCGCCGCCTCGGTCGCAGTTGTGGGCGCCGCTGGTGGCGTCGTTTCTGCCGCCGCTCCCAAGAAGGATGGCGGCAACAGCAGCAAGAAGAAGGGCGATCCCAATGGCATCAAGAAGAAGAAAACGAGGTAAGCATCCCCGCATCCCTGCATCCCCATCCATTCAGACATTTACTCGCTGATATCCTGCCATGCCAATTAATTTAACGACGGGAAATCAATGAAGTTATGTGGCACATGATAATAATTTCCTTTCACCATCTATGGGGCAGCGAGCCGGGGGGCGTATGCTTAATGGTGGATAAAAGAGAGCAGGAAATCTTTGGGGGGCTAATTATAGATAAAAACGTATTCCTGATGCCTGGGGATGAGCCCGAAGTAAATGTCCTCCAAGGATGTTAAGAGAGAATCAAATGCAGAATCCGGGACAGTTCTCGGAAGTATCTTTGCTTCCATAGAAGTATTAGAGGAAAATCTTTGGGATCCTCGGCCAAACGTCTTCCAACTGCCAGATATTTTGGGGGAACTTTTAGTTCTATAGTTCCCTAGGAGTTCTGTATGGAACCTAGGGAAAAGTAACACTAAGCTCTCATTTCAATGACTCATAGATCTTTGTTAGCAGATCCTTACCTGCTACTCCCACTTAGCTCCATTGCCTAATCCGCAAACCCTTCTTTGATTTGCAGAACCACCTTCACAGCCTACCAGCTGGAGGAGCTGGAGCGCGCCTTTGAGCGTGCCCCTTATCCGGATGTGTTTGCGCGCGAGGAGCTGGCCATCAAGCTGAACCTGAGCGAGTCCCGGGTGCAGGTGTGGTTCCAGAACCGACGCGCCAAGTGGCGGAAGCACGAGCCGCCACGCAAAACGGGCTTCATCAAGACGAGCACTCCGCCGACGGCAACGCTGAACAGCAGCCTGGCGCCGCCCTTCACCAGCTATCCGCAGACGACGACAGTGACGCCGCCGGGCAGCATGGACAGCTGGACCAGCTACCAGACGCCCTACGAGCTGACGCCACAGTTCAGCCTGCTCTCGCCGGCGGCCAGCCCCTATGGCACCTACTCCGGCCAGTACGGCACCTATGTGCACGAGAGCCAGCTCTTTCCCATGCGACACTTCGACTACGGCAGCAGCCCCAGTCGCATGGAAATGGGCGCCACCACGGGCTCCGTGGCGGGTGTGTCCGGCGGCGAGGAGGCAACGGGCAATGGCAGCCAGTACCAGCCAGCAGAGCTGCAGGCCACACAGCAGCAGATGGCCGACGGCACGCTGGTCACCCTCATACCCGATCACGCTGATCCGCACCAGCAGCAGCAGCAGCAGCAGCAGCAACAGCAGCAGCAGCAGGCGCAGGCGCAGCTCAATGGTAAATATCTGAGCGCGGAGCAGGCCAAGTATGTGCATCTGCAGTGCCATCAATCCTCGACGGGCCTCGAGCTGAGTCCCGGCTCCAACTGCCATTTGGTGGAGGCGCAGACGCAGCATTATGTGACAACGGGCGCGGGCTCTGGGGCGGGTGCAGGGGCAGGGGCAGGCAATGGTAGTGGCAGCAGCGATGACAACGACAGCGGCCTGCAGACTGTGATCAAGAGCGAGGAGTCAGCCCAGCAGCAGGCACAGAGCTATGTCCTGCCGCCTTTTTTGCACTAAGAGAAATGCTCTCACACCGTCGCCAGCAGCAGCAACAACGACGCTGGGCATCGCCCCAAACTCAAAGCGCAGCACGCAGCTTCCGGCGGCCATTTTGAATGTGGTGTGTGTGCAGCATTTCTAACTGTAAACTGGGTCGTCCCTAACCTAACACGTGGACAGCAGAAACTACCAAATACTAGTGGACTGAAAATACCAGAGTGCTGGTAATTTTTGTGGTTTTCTGAGGGTCCTAGCTAATGTTTTCAATCTATTTATGTACGCTATGCCATAGGTTCCTTTTTAGTCTTTAGTTTACGTAAGTTGCAACAACAACAGAATCAACAAGTCTTGCCAAAACTTAATGCGGTTTTTGTTCAGTCGTAAGTGTTAGGATTAGTTCCTGGGTAGGGTGCGCGAACCCGAACCGTACCCCCCAGCATGCATTCCAAATGTGCCTTACGGGCGACGGAGGAGCGCAAAGAGAGTGCTGCGTCCGTCCCCAAAACCAAATTTAGCTATAGTCAGCCTTCGTCTCTAAGTTAAACCATAAACTGTTGTGTAGTTAGACAATAAAATGCTTTTTATATTCAATTCTATTTTAGCTCATTTGGCTTTACAAAGTTTACTTTACTTACTGACTAATTTATACCCATAATCGTATTCGTATTCAAACAGCATTTTTGTATATCAAAATTATTACATAAATACGCCTGGATTCTAGCCTAAATTTTATATATTTGTAGGCAATACTTTAGAACATTTCGCAAATGTAAATAATAGATATTAAATAAAGCCTATTTTTTAACAAAACAAGCAACGAAAACTATAAAACAAACGATAAAGGATATATGCCATGCCCCCTACAAAGGATTTGTTCTATAAAATACTGGATTAAATAAGCAAAAAAAAAAGCACGGTAAATGATCAAAGAATATTTCGAATATTGAGAAGATTCATCAATAAAAAAAACGCCCCATCGTTGTTTTGTCTTGTCCTTAGATGCCGCTTTCCAGCACCACCTGCCAGTCGATGCCCTTGAAGAAGGGATGCCCCTGCAGCTGCTCATAGTCCAGACGCAGCTCCGGATTTAGCTGCAGCAGCTGCTCCAACAAGTCCCGGGCATTATCCGAGATGTCTAAGGTTTCGCTGGGATACTGGACACAACCGTAGAGCTCCAATTGGCCAGGATGCGTGGACTTGTAGGGCTAACAAAAGCAAAGGGCATGAGAGACAGAGAGATAGAGATTGACTAGAAGAAATGCCATTCCTTACCACTCCCAGCAGAAGCTGGTAGAGCACCACGCCATAGCTCCACCAATCGGAACGGAAGCTCAGTGGTCGCTCGGGTGCCACAAAATGATTGGATATAGCCTCCAGACTGAGAGCCTTGTGCACGTAGTTGTCGTCGGAGCTGAGGCCCTCGTTCTGGTAGAAATACGTGAGCAGCAGCTGTCCCTTGGAGCCCAGCAGAATGTTGTTCATGTGCAGATCCCGCAGAATCACACCCTTGCCGTGCAGACTGTGGATGGCTGTGGCCAGCTCACAGGCCCACTGCCGCAGGCACTGCTCGGGAAGGACACGGGCTTCAGTTGCAGCCGCCTTCTGTCGCCTGGGCGTAAGGACGCCAGCCTGCAGATTGCTGAGGGTCTGGGAAACCGATTTGAGCAGCTGCTGGGAGCTGCGCACCAGGTCGCTGACATCGCTGTCGGCGGTGAGGGGCTGCTCCACTGGCTCCTTCTCCGCTGGAAAGAGCTCGCCATAGTTGATGGTCTTGGTGCCCGTGGGAATGTAGCTCTGCAGGTAGTCGTACAGACGCCCGCCCTCGGCCTGCCTGAGCAGCAGGAAGATCTTCTGGTCCGACTGAAAGTAGGCCAACAACTGAGCCATGTAGGGTACCTGAGCGAGTGGCTGGCCGGCTTCTCGATGCCCTTCATGATGGCCGCCGGCTGCTGGGGCGTCGTGATGCACTGCACCTGCATCACGCGCTCGTCGAGCACTTGCACCACCTTGTACTTGGCCAGCTGGTTCCAGGAGCACTCCAGTTGCGCGACACTCGCGCTGTCCGCCATGTCCAGCGACAGCTGGAAGTGCAGCTTCTTGGCGGAGTTGGCCAGGAAGTTGGCGTGTATCTCCTCGGCGCGTGCCAGGTACTTTGATATCTTCGCTTTGGCTATGAACTTGCGCTCTTCGTTCGAGTCGTGCTTGGCCCCAACGAGCAGCAGATCCACGCCGTGCTTGTAGCGCTCGTGTGCCTCGGCGTACTCCAGATTCACCTCCGCCTGGACGGCGTGACTGAACTCCAAGGCCGCCTCGTAGATGTAGTCGCTGTCGTCACTCTCAATCGAAGCCATGGGCGTGAGCAGTCGCAGGTAGTCCCGTTTGGCCTGCCCCTCATCCGGACTTGTCTTTGGCTCAGCGTCTGTCTCGGCCTTGGCATCTGGTTCATCGTTGCAGCTTACGAGCTGCTGCAGCGGCTGCTCCTTATCGCATCGTGTATCCAGTGGCAAGATGCCACCAGCGCTGTGCGGGTCATAGGGCAGATCAAGTTTATCGCAAATGTCCGCTATGGCGCCTGCCCCCGTCCCAGTCACGCTGCCAGCCCCTGCGCCACTGCAGCTACCCTCAGAGTCTGGGCAGGTCTTCAGCTTCAGGGAGCGCTCCACATAGAGCTTCTTCAGCGGAGAACCATTCGGCGAGTGCGCCTCGCTGAAGAAGTGAGTAAAGGTGTTGCACTTGTATAGGGCCGGATGCTGGGCTGCAAAGTCCAGCAGCTGGAGGATGTACTCCTTGCGACGCTGGATGACGACCGCGTCGAAGCGCTTGAAGTAGCTGCTGTCTGTGGGCACGGGCAGCTTGCCGGGCAACTGGAGACTCTTGTGCCGGCGACTCAGCTCTCGATGCAGCCGCTTGATTTCGTGGAAGCGCTTCCACACAACCAGACACGTGAGAGCTTGGGGCACCGATCGTGGGAAGACCTAGCAATGAGAGGCTTTTCAGTAAAACCACAGTTTCTGCCACCCACCATGTTTCGTACTCACGATCGAGGTAATCTTGTAAATTGTGTATCCTCCTTTGTGCTGCTGCGTGTCCGTTACGGTGAAGCTGTGGATCCAGCCCCCCAGGTTGAGACTCATTGTGGCAGCTGCTGCGGTTATATTGCGTTATGTGATAACCATATTTCCTGTATTATTTATTGTTTTCCCCCCACTTTTTTCGCATATTATTACCAGCGGCACCAGTGTTGGCAAACTACCATTTCAAACGGGGCGCCATCTGTCGGCAGTTACGAAATACCGAGGATATTATGAAATTGAAGATATTTTTATTTTTATAATATGTTTATGTTCCAAACAATGGAACAATGGATTTTTATTGTTTAATAAATTAATTTTTTTGGTTTTTTAAATTCATAAAATTTTCCCGCTCTCCGTCTGGAATATACAAAAAAAAAACAAGTTGAACAAAAAAATACCAATGTGGTGTGGTTGAGCCGCATGTATCCTACGGGAAAAATAATGGAAGCTTTATTAATAATTAATTTATTAATTAACTGTGAGTTCGTCAGTGTCTCTTTAAAATGTAGATAAATATATATAGTTAATAGTTCCAAATGTGTAGTTAGCGTGTAGGTACCATGTAAAACATAGACTTTGCCATCAAAATACCATTTTCAAATGACCGCCAAACTCCATTTAGCGCACAAAAAATACCGACATTTTTCGCTCTCAAATCGTGGTGGTTTTTCGTGGTGAAGAAATAGCTTTCGTGGTGACATTCGCTCTTTTTCGTGGTGTGAGCCACATGTATCTAACGGGAACCGTAGCAACATGGGGAAATGAAATAGCAGCATTGTTGAGCAACTTTGGCACGGAATGAGCAACAATCTGCATACCTTGGGAAAATGGATATTATGGACCTGAGGTATTGTTTGTAATTTCAGGCTCCAATTAATGCAGAAACTACTCAGTCTCTGTTTTCAAGATATTAACGAAATTTGGCAGCTCACGGGTTCCAATAATAGGTATCAGAACCGGGATAAATGTATTTATAAAACACAAAACATATACATTAAGAGATAAAAAACATGTCAATCTAGGATAAAATCATAAATAATGTTTCAATGGAGCTTGGAACAAAACATTTAACACCAATTAAAAGAAATAAGGTATACAAAAGTACATACGCATAGAAGAAACTTGGTTGACCTGCAACATGTGACGTCACATTTAGTCAACATTTGGACGAATTTCATATCCAAAAACACGGTTTGGCGCCCGCCGGCGGGCGGCGCCGCCAAAGACGACAAACTTTTATCTTTTTGTTTGAACCTTAATATGTAAATAATCCAATAAAAAGGACTTCTAAAAACTTGCCAATCTCTTAAAAAATGTATGTATCTATCGGATAAAATTATTTGCTTAGGGCTGAGATGGCCAACTACCTTGTAATATTAAACGGAATATTAAAATTGATGAATATGATTTTCCTCGGTATGTTTAAGGTATATAATGAAAATGACGTTTCTGAGGTTCCAGTCACAATCGAAAAAACAAATCAAGTGAAATATTTATTTTTCCAAATATTAAGACACATTTCAAATTGACCGCCAAACTCAATTTAGCGCACCAAAAATACTGACATTTTTCGCTCTCAATTCGTGGAGAGTTTGCAAAAGTCGCTCTCAATTCGTGGAGAGTTTGCAAAATTTGCTCTCAATTCGTGGAGAGTGCTCTCTTTTCAGTGGAGAATAGAGTGTTTTTGTGGAGACTTTCCCCTCATTTTCGTGGTGTGGCAGCATGTTGCTGAAATTTTTCCCATACAAAATCAAATGTATCTTACGGGAACGCGTATGGAATAAAGATTCATTGTTGCGTCATTCCATACGCGTTCCCGTATGATACATTTGATTTGTATGGGAAAAATTTCAGCAACATGGGGAAATGAATTAGCAGCATTGCTGTGCAACTTTGGCACGGAATGAGCAACAATCTGCATACCTTGGGAAAATGGATATTATGGACTTGAGGTATTGTTTGTAATTTCAGGCTCCAATTAATGCAGAAACTACTCAGTCTCTGTTTTAAAGATATTAACGAAATTTGGCAGCTCACGGGTTCCAATAATAGGTATCAGAACCGGGATAAATGAATTTATAAAACACAAAACATTTGCATTAATATGTGAAAAACATCTGAATCTAAGAAAAACACAATATTAATGTTTCAATGCAGCTTGGAACAACAAATTTCACATTAATTAGAGGAAATAGGGTATACAAATGTCCATACGCATGCAGAAACTTGGTTGACTAGCAACAATGACGGAATGTGACCGGAGTTCACACTCACGTTTTATGCTTTGGCCGTTTTTCTTTGAACCTTTTTATGTAAGCAATGCAATGAAAAGGAGCTCTGAAAACTAGCCAATCCCGAACAAAATTTATTGAGGAATTGAATAAAATTATTTATTAAGGGAGGAATGGGCTAACTAGCTAGTAATATTATACCGAATATCAAAATCGAGGAATATCAATGCATATTGTCAAGACCGTCAGTATATTTGCGGTATATTTTGAAAATCATATAGTATATTTCGGTATATTTCTGACGGTCAGGCGGCAGATTTTATCATAAATCCCCGGTCACACTCAGAGTAAAAAAAAAAGGCGACGGCGACTGCAGCAAAAAATTTCGACGCCGCACGTACCGGGAGCATTTAAATAATTTTTTCTGTGGATTAATTTAACTAAAAAGGATTAAACATAATGACTGAACGCGAGAATAATGTCTACAAGGCAAAATTGGCCGAGCAGGCCGAGCGCTACGATGGTGAGTAGATGAAAAATGCAGAAAGAAAAAATTTTCTCGTCCGCGGAGCGCCAACGTTGGGGAGGGGTCCGTTCGGTTGCGTCGTCGCGTGGTCGCTGAAAAATCGCCCCGATTGTCCGCGTCTTGTCCAGAAACTGTCTCTCGCCAAATCAGCGCAGAATTGTTGGCTATAGCCGCAGACTGTGGAAAAATTGGAAATTTTCAATTTGGCAAAGACATTTGTGTAGGTGCAGCCGCTGAAACGACATAGCGTCGCGTCGCAGCGCCGCCGCTGCCCGCAGCCGATGAGTAGTATTTCTGCGAAAACGAAAGACCGAATCAAGAGAAACGGCAAGAAGAAGAGCGCGCAGCGCTGTAAGAATGGCCACAAGAAAGACGAGAAGAAATGGAGAAAAAAAAATGTTAAACCTGATTTTTACCGGCAAAATTTCGCGTGGTTTTCTCGCTGGCTTTTTGCGAAAAGAGAAAGATCAAATTGCGTATTAAAATTTACAGTAAGGTGGGCCAAATAGTATATAGTTGGGTATTCCCAGGTTCTCTGGAGTAGAGAGGGGCGCCCCCTCTTCCATTTCGAGTCGAAATTTTGTGTATTTAGTGTTGCGAGTGAGGGCTGCGCGGAGCGGCGCGTTGCTAAGGGCTGTTTGTAGTAGTAGTAGTCTGTCGGTCGGTCGTTCGTTCGTTGTTGTTGTCAAGGCGAATCTTTCTGGAAGGAAACGCAGCGTCGTCGTACACTTTATTAATTTTATATTTAAATGTCGGACGGCGGCCGCTCTCCACGCCCAAAATCAATGGTGGAAAAACATTTTGGGGGAAGGAGTGGGTCTGGTCTGCTGTCTCTTTTTTACCCCCCATCCCCCCATTTTATTCGTATTTTCTGCTCAAAATGTGCTTTTCATGCGCAGCAGCAGCGGCGTCGTCGTCGTCATCTGCGTCCGCCGTTGGGCTGCGAAAAATCGATGAATGAATCGATTGTGTTCCGTGCGACGCAGAGTTGTCGCCGGCTACTGCTTCTCCGACTCCCATTTTTCTCCCCTTTCCTTATTTATGCAAATTAGCTGCTGGGATAGTTTATTATATTTCTTTTTTGGCATCGTCGCTGAAATATTAGTCCAGCCAAGTGGCAACTCTGCCTGATAGTGCAGAGGGGAAGAAAAAAGATTTTTCTGTTGCCTTTTGCATTACTCATGCTCACGCGCATGTGTGTGTGTGGGGGTATGAGTGTTCGGCGGCGGGAGCTTTCATTCTGGCTGCTTATTTAATTAAAAATACTCCAATTAATTAAAACGCTGCTCAAAATGCAAAGAGAGTAGAGCAGGAAGAGAATAGCATAGCCCAAGCGGCAGGGGGGGAAGCGTTTGTGAAAAAGCGCGCGCTTGGCAATTCCCGAATGCTGCTGCATGCGTTAAAACGAGATAACTAGAGTGTCGGAGTGATGTCGGCGACGCTGCACAGTGCCTGGCAAAAGTTAGCAAACAATGTTCTCAGCCGTTTTGGCCAAGTACATTAGCAGTAATAATTGCAGCAAAGACAATGGCAATTCTGCTGATAATTGTCTGCAAAACTGACAACATTAACGGGCGGCGTCTCTTTATCGTGGTTGTAGCTGCCGTGTGGCTGTTGCCGCAAAGAAGTCAATCAACTATTAGCAGCCACTTCGCACACATACACATGGACGTTTTTGTGTCTGTATCACATGTTTGTCTTCTTATTTTCGCCTGCGTGCGCTCCAAGGCAGAGTATATGAGAGCTGCGACTGTGTATGTCAGTGCCTCTGTGTGTGTATGCATGGAGCACTTGGGGTTGGCCTTGTCGCACTCGGACAGTTTTGGCTGGGGTCTCTGGCTGGAACACCAATACAGGCGCAGGGAGCGCACAGGCTAATGCCGCCGCCAGCCGGCAATGTCTGCGCCCCCAATCTGAACTTGCCCGTTCCGCTCTACCCTCCCACCACTCCCCTCCTACTGCCCTTTCCATATACACATTAACGTCAGCCTTTAAGTGTGCTTTCTCAGGTGCTGCCGCTCCCGCTCCCACCCCCTGCATCTCGTCTTGTTCTATCTACATTTTTTTCGAGGTCGCGCACTGCTTTTTCAGTTGATGTTCTCTCGTCAATGTCGTCGATATGCGAAAAAAGAGCATACATAAAGTATAAAGTTGATAGATGAGCGGAGCGGTCATAGCTGTAGCAAGAAGTGGGGGGTGGTGTGGGGTGGGGGTGGAATAGGGGGAAAGGTGTGTTTTGTTTGTCTGCTTTTTGTTGTGTGCACCATTTAACCGCTGGTCAAATGGTCGTCGGCCAGCAGCCCGCTGATGCTCCACTCTGATGTTAGTTTTTCCTTTGTCTAATTACACGATTCTTTGTTGTAACGGTATGTGCGCATGTTTTTTCAACTGCCGCTGCTGCTGCGCCCTTATGTCACAAATAGACACACCCACAGGCCGTTGATAAGGGTGGGAGGAAGAGCGTGATAGAGGGTGGGAGAGAGGGAGTGGATCCAACAACCTCCTTCCTCTCTTTTATTCAAAACTTTCCTTCCTTTTGGTCCCTCCTTTGCCTTAATCTTTGAATACATTTCGCGTGACGCCTGCCGTTTTTTTTTTTAGGTGTGGGTAGATTGTATGTATGCGTGTGTGTGTGTGTGTGGGTTGATTGTGGGTGGCGGTTGGATTTATGTGGTTAGCTTTTCCTCCCGTTCTTTTTTTGGGCTGCATTTGATTTGTCATTTCATATTTTGGGCCGCCTTTATTGATTTTCGCTTTATACGCTACGCGATATTCTCTCCCTCGCGCATGTCTCCTAATTCGTAGTAGATTGAGTAGACTGAGCAACATGTGCTGCAGGAAGATGGATGGATTTCTCCCCCATCTACGAATGTATGCTGCCTGCCACCTCCCTTGCCCTTCCTCCGATTTCAAGTTCAATTTGCACGTTCTGTTCTGTCCGTGACAGCCTTGGCGTTGGCAGTGTTGTAAAGTGCAATGTGCACATATATATACACATGTAGAATGTACGATGTGCCAATGCCAACAACCGTTTTTGAAGTTCAACAGAAACATCAGCGGCAACGGCAAACGGCAGCAGCAACAGCAACTACAGACGGGACGCATGAATCATGCAGCCCAGCCATGCCAACATTAATTCCAATTTTCACATCTACGTGCCACACACAACAACAGCAAAATGTCCCGCTGCGTGTGAGTGTGCGTGCCTGTCTGCCTATTCTGTGACTTTGGGAGTGCGCGCTGCTGCCAGTGTGTGTGCGTGTGTATGTGGGGCGAAATACGTCAGCAGCTGACTGTGGGTAGCGGGAGCAAGGGAGAAGACACGAGGAGCGGAGCACACACCGTTGAAATGCAAGGCAAGCAAACGGCGACAAAAGCAACAAAAACGGTAAAATTACAATTTTGTAGCTCTGATTTTGTTTTGTTATCAACACTCACATAAACACTGGAATCAAAAGCAGCTTGCCAGCTGTCTTTCCCGGAGTTCCAGGCACGTGATTCATGACACGGTTTTAGGATATGATGATGGTGATGCAGGCAGGCAGGCGCGCAGGAAGAGGAGAGAGCCAGCAGGAAACCGTTATCACCATTGGCTGGTTCTGGTTGGCTTTGTGGTATGACAGAAGCGGCTAAAACAGTCCGAGTTATGCCTAAACACCTGACAAAGCCAGACAGAGGGAGGTGGGGTTGGGTGGGGTGGAGTAGAATAGCTACCCTAGAATGCTTCCTAGGTATTTTCCATCTCCTTGGACCACATAAGAATCGATATTAAGTAAAGATGCCACTTTTAACCGCCGCATTTCTTCCTTCCGTTAGAAATGGTCGAGGCCATGAAGAAGGTCGCTTCCATGGACGTCGAGCTGACTGTCGAGGAGCGCAACTTGCTGTCCGTCGCATACAAGAATGTGATTGGAGCCCGTCGTGCTTCGTGGCGCATCATCACCTCGATCGAACAGAAGGAGGAGAACAAGGGGGCCGAGGAGAAGCTGGAGATGATCAAAACCTACCGCGGCCAGGTGGAGAAAGAGCTGCGCGACATCTGTTCGGACATACTGAATGTGCTCGAGAAACATCTCATTCCATGCGCCACATCCGGCGAAAGCAAAGTATTCTACTATAAGATGAAGGGTGACTACCATCGCTATTTGGCCGAGTTCGCCACCGGCTCGGACCGCAAGGATGCGGCAGAGAACTCGCTGATCGCCTACAAGGCAGCCAGCGACATTGCCATGAACGATCTGCCCCCAACACACCCCATTCGCTTGGGCTTGGCATTGAACTTCTCGGTGAGATTTGGCCTTGCTATCTTATCTGAAATTCGACATTGCTAACTTGTGGTAACTTCTCTTGCTATTCCTCCAGGTGTTCTACTATGAGATTCTCAACTCGCCGGATCGTGCATGCCGCTTGGCGAAAGCCGCTTTCGACGATGCCATTGCCGAGTTGGATACACTGAGCGAAGAGAGCTACAAAGACTCGACACTCATCATGCAGCTGCTGCGGGACAACCTCACATTATGGACGTCCGATATGCAGGCAGAAGGTAAGCACCATAGCACCCCTCCCCCCCAATTTGAATAATTTAATTGACGATTTTAATTTTTATGCTAAGAAGTAGACCCCAACGCAGGTGATGGCGAGCCGAAGGAGCAGATTCAGGATGTCGAGGATCAGGATGTGTCGTAATTTAAGTAAACCCCCGCCCTTCCATTTAAAACACATAATATACCTTCTAAAGTAAATATAATACCATATAATATATATGCATACATCAAAACACAACAACACGACAACAGAACAACAACCAGAACCACAAAAGAGGTCGCAGAAACCACACTACGAAACAACAGCCGATCCTTTGGATGTTTGACTATCGAGAAAAACCGATCGATACTCTACGCTTGGAGCATTCAAATCCACAGAAACGGAAAAGCAACAGCTACAAGAATAACACTTAATCCCCCCAACCAGAAGCAGCCCCAACACGGACAAGCACAAACAAAAAAAAGAACACATTTGAGGCGTCGGCGGCCTGGTGGGCGGCGGCGTGGTTGTTTGCAACGCCATCTCCAAACACTCCTCGGTGAGCGGCAAGTGTGCTGGCAACCTCCCAACAGCAGCAGCAACATCAGCAAGAAACAACTCTACTAAATTTAACATTTTGCATTCGAGAAACAAGGCATTATATTATATTTAAATAAATATTATATTTAATTATGAGAAGCAAAAAACAAACAAATAAACTCATTTAAACCACACGAAAAACACACACGAAACAAAAACGATAACGAAAGCAAAAGCAAGAAGAAAAGATCGGAGAGTTGAGAAGCAACAATCAGAAAGTAAAGCAGAAAAGAAGGCAATTTCAACGAGCGGAGTGGCATGTGCGCATTCATTTCGAAACTAATTCACGAGTTGGCATGCATTAATTTTAACAAAACTAATACAGCAGCAAATCCACATCAAAAGAAGTTTAATAAAACACACAGAGAAAAACAGCAACACTTAAAATACAACTTTAATTTTAAGCCAATAATAAAACGAAAAAGGAAGAAAGTATAAAAAAAAAACAATTAATAAGCGCAAACGTAAAAGTAAAACATTAAAAAGTCGAAAATGTAAGGAAAAATACAGCAATTAATTTAAATTTAATACAAATAAAAAAAAAGTTTAAAATGAGAGAGGCAAAACAAACGGAATAAGAATAGAGAAGGAATGCGAAATAATGCTAAAAACTATATTAAACGAGAAAAGGGAATGTTAGTTAAGCGAAATTCAAAAAACGAATTCTTAAGCTTAAATTTGTATGTACGTAAGTGTATTGTTCAACACTGACACTGACACTCGCACACTCACCTCACCAACACACAACCGTACACACACACATACACACGCAAACTCACTCGCATACCGAACCGTTTGTTTTCTCTTTCTTACAACACTTATCGAACGGTACTTTAGTTGATTTCCGTTATTTGCCTTTGCTTCCTGTGTTTTTCCATTTGCAATCGCAACCAAAAGTTTTCTCATCTCTTTCCTTGCGCCACAAAGAAAACATATTAATAAATATAGAAAAGTATTTGTATTTGTAGTTGCTAAATACAAGAAAAAACAAAATACAAACAAAAAAACACAACGGTACATATATATATTGTATACATACATATATACTTGTATATTTTCTATGCCCTACCACTTATGTAATTTGTAGAGATTTCGAATTTTTCCAAAAGTCCCAAACAGCCCCGCCCCGCCCCCTTACCATACACACCCACTCCTGCTCCCTGCTCAGGCGATACAATGTCTGCAATTCAACAGAAACTCCTTATACAGAAAAAAAGCCGAAACAGATGAAATATCATTTTATTTAGCCAACAAATCGAAAAGAACAAAAACCATCATTATCTGTAGGGTGTTTTTGCGTGCTTAACGAATGAATGGCAAATAATAGCAAACCCAAAGCTAGAGGAAATATTTTCGCACGAGCTTTTTCACAGTTCATTTTATGATAAATGAGGCGCGCAGAAAGTGTGCGAGCGAGCGAGCGGGAAGACAGACAACAAATATTTCGCAGTCGCTAAAAAGAAAAGCCCGTGCAGAAAGTTAATTAAGCATAAATCAGGCAGCAACAAGAACAACAGCAACTACAGCAAACAAACATTCTTGAACGGAACAGCCAACACCAGAAAACCAGCAGCTAAACTGACATTCGTATTCATTTCAAATAAAAATCATAAGAAAAACAACAACCATTGCGCATCACAATTTATTATTAATTGAATTTTGGATAGCGGGGTGCTGAATGGGGAGGGGGGAGCAGGGTGCGGTGTCCAATCAAGGCGAGAGAGATATGATGAACAGATACTTGGTTTTATCAGGCCCAAATATATGATGTTGATTGCTTCCGAGGGGCACTTCTGAAGGTTAACCACAAACGATCCAACTGTTTTTTTTTTGTGTTTTACTTTCCACGAACTGTACGGTAAAGCTGCATTCCACATTCCACCCACTCTCCACCAACAGATCCAACTACATGATACTACAAGATTTGTGTGACGTCACGCTAAATAGAACTGTTTTCCCCTGTCGACCAATTAGGCATAACTATGTGACGTCACGCCGCACTCAATTCTTGTGCACACACTTGCCGGCACCTTAGTGCGTCCGCACCGTGCTGATAAAATGGCGGCAGCAGCTAGGAATTGTTGAGGAAACTAGGAATTGACAATGACGCCCAGCAAACTGTGGGTTGTGCCACACATTTTCTGCTGCTGCACAGCGGGCAGCAGAAAAGAACGAACACGATGACGACGCCTCTCTGCGTCAAATCACAAGTGTCCACTTAAGCTCAATGTCATTTTGCCAGCACTTTCATTGGCCCGGAAGCAACAACAAATGTGGGTCTAGTGGCCATTGTTTTGCATGCACTGCGGCGCACAATGGAAATACAAATGCTTAAATATCTATATTTGAAAATCTAGAAAGAAAATGGGGCAAAGACAGACGGGCAGAGACCGTAGCGTCCAAGCAAGGCTAGGCCCAGACCAAACCAGACCAGACCAGCGATTTAGTTGTGAAACGTTGCTCGAGTCTCGGAGATGGCACTGCAACTGCAAATCGAGAAGCTCAAAGGTTTGGACAACTATAAGGCCTGGTCGATGACGGTGCGGGCCTATCTGGAGTCCGAGGATTTGTGGTCAGTGGTGGACCAAGGTCCCGAGAACAACGAGGAGGTGAGTGTGGCCCGAAGCCCCTTTCTCAACTGCTGCATCTGCATCTCTGTTGCAGTCCCTGCTCAAGGACAAGCGCGCCAAGTTCATCATACTCTGCCTGATCGAGACGAAGCTGTGCCAGTTCATGGTCAGCATCCGCACGGCCCGGGATCTGTGGAATTATTTGCGTACCCAGCACTCGTTGCGCTAAAATCAAATCGATCGAATTCCAGTCCGTGTATTGCAAATATAGGAGTACAAGAGACGTTTCGTTTACATGCAAATGGGAGATTCCTGGGCTTCGGGAAGTTCTATGATGACTGGCTGCTCCTCGGGGTCCTCGTCAAGCAGTCCCTCGAAGTACCAGCCCAGCTTCTTCTCAAGCCGCTTCCTAAGACGCTCGGCACTGACGCTCAGTCCGCCCTCATGCAGATTCACCAGCAGCTCTCGCACATCCTTGAAGACGCTGTTGTGGGGGCTGGGAACCATCAGCTCCTCGGGAAGGTAGGGCAGCTGGTGGGCCAGCACCTCGCTGTACTTCATGTAGGTGAGTCTGTGCTTAGACACTGCCGCCTCCGAGTGGGCCAGCAGGCCAAGCAGCTTGCGCCAGTGGGCCAGCGACTCCACCGAGTAGCCGACCAGAAAGAACACGTAGGCCAGCTGCAGTTCCTCGATCAGTGCATCGGAAGAGCCGAAGCTGTCGATCAGGTCATCCACAGCTGCAATGCAGTCCATGGCGTGACGTGACACATCCGCTGGCAGAGCATCGTGTGGAACGCGCAGGGGAATCGCACTGAAACGAGGGGCTGTACCCTCCACGGGCTTGAGGTCGGGCAGGAGTTCGCTTTCGTCCAGGAGCAGCCTGACGGCGGCGTTGCGCTTGCTACCGCTGCTGGAGGCGGCTCCGGGTTCGCCTCGTGGCCTGTCGGCATCTGGGCAGGACTGGAGCTCAACGTTTGTGCGTATGGTGCCCAGGGTTGGGCGGCAACGATCCACGCACGGCTCCGTCACGCTGCCCGTGAGATCCTTCCACGGGCAGACATAGCGGTAGTCGTAGGCGGCCAGCATCTTCTCCAGCTGGCCCAAGTTCTTTCTTATGCGGTCCCGCTCCACCTCTGGCTCGGCAATCTGTCGCGGTCGCAGTTCCTCCAGGTCCTTGTCCCATTCGCGCACAAGAATCTCGTTGGGATGGAAGAAATGAACGAAACCGACACGTGGCGCCGCATCTCCATAGAGTCCCTGGGAGGCACACCACACATAGTGCACGCCGGGCGGTATCATCTTGACGCCTCTGAATTCCGGTCCAATCGTGTAGGCGCACAAATCTATGCCAAACTCTGTGCCCACTGGTACGCCGGCTATGACCAGGACGGCGCCATCCGCCAGCAGGCGCAGGGCCAGCTGCGGATCCATGTTCATGCTGCTATTGTCCTTGTTCATCCTGAAATCTGTGTCCGTGGCTTTTTTCAATTTAAAGAAACCAAAAAGCAAAACAGAGAACACAAAATTCGATTGCTGTTATCGATAAGGGCAGCTAGTGGTGGGACTGGGGCGATGTTTGTAGGCGCAAAAGCGGATTTTCGATTCGATTTTATTTTTCAGACAATTTTTATGATTAATTATGCTATAGTTAATTGTAATACGAATTAGTATTGCAAGCTACGTTTAGTGCCGATATCGTCCAGTATTTGGCGTAGCTCCTCATCCTCGAAACGACCCTCCAGCGACGGTATCAATGCCTTGGCCTCCTCGGGCGCCTCCGGGCAAAGATTACCCAAGGCAGCCAGCTCGAATTTGTGCAGTTTCTTCTGCATTAGCAAGCTGAGAATATAGAATATAATATAATACAATAAAAACAATTGTTAGGTATTAATGGTTACCTGCGAACGGACATGATGGTCTCCTTGTTCTTGAACTTGCGAAAACTGTCCGTATAGGCATAGGTTTTCATAAAAACCTCAGAGAACTCCTGCTCCTCGTCGGCGGACTCGTTTTGTCGCTTACGATGGTCGAGCAGCATATGCACCTCCGATATTAGCAGCGTTTCGGCATTCTCAAACTCTGAAAATAGCCAAAACCATGCGATTCATTAGGTCCTTGGATGGCAGGGGGGGACAGGCATTGTTGCTGGTTGGACAATTTACAAGTGAAACATTGGGGCAGAACTAAGGGCTAGCCATAGGACGGGGGCCTGCTGATGTGGCCATTCTCCAGCAGGAAATCATAGACCTGACGCGTCTTGTTCACGTCGATCTTGATGAGACGCCGCGCATCAGCCAGACGCAGATGCCCAAGCTTTGCCTGCTCCGAGATGAGTTGATTCTTAATGTCCAAATAAGACTGTGGCACCAGACGGACCACACTGCATAGCTTGCGCTCGGCATCGTCCAGCTTTGAGTAACCGGGAAGATCTGCAAGATAAACCAGAGTTAGATATCCTAATATCGTCGTATTATCACCGATATTTACCTCCAACCTCCATGGGACTGGCCTTCTTGCGCGTGTTCTGATAGATTTTGGAGCCGAGGCCCGCGGCCAACTGTTCGGCGTTCCCAAAGTTCCTGCAGTTCTGCACAATTTGCTGCAAGTCGAGGGCATTGCTTTGCCTTTGCCTGGCGTACTCTCGCTGCGACTCCTGGCGCTGTCTGAGCAGACGCGCATACCGTGCCCCCCCGGACAGTGTACGGACACCCTGCTGGCGCAGATCGTACAGTTTGTACAGGCGGTTGTGCAGTTCGCGAAAGTAGCGCAGCGACTCCACCAGCATGTCGAAGTGCATGGGCTCGCACAGCTGCATGAAGCCCAGGAAGCGCATGCAGCTGGCATCGCTGCTGAATGCGTGCACATATTTGGTGATCCAGCTCACAGTGCGATTGGGCATAATGAGACCGTTCTGCCGCATGATATTGTACCGACGCCTTCGCTCTCTGTGGGATGGGCGCAACATTAATCCAAGATTTTAGTTAAATAGGCGGGATTTTCTTACCTCAAGCGATTGTTGTAGGCACGCACCAGGCCCAAGTGCAGCACCTCGGTCAGCTGTCTTTCCCTGCTGCTTACCTCGTGCTGATCCTCGCTGCTGAAACTCTCCTCAGCCACCATAATGGAGAGAAGGCTCTCGGCGGACGTGTCGTAGGGCGTATCGAAGTCGCCGCGGGCACAGCGATAGCCTGCACTCAGCTTGAACTGCATGGAGGCGATGTCATCGTGACGCGGCGGGTCCAGGCTGCGCATCTTGAACACGTAAGGCATTCGCTCTGGCAGGTAGCTGTGCCGCGCGTGCTGCAGTCCCAGCAGACGCTCAAAGATCCCCCCAAAGTAGCAGTCGTGGTAGTGACGACGAATCTCTGCTTGGCTGTGCCGCTGGCCCAGAGCATGCGAGACCGCCTCCCAGTTGCCGTAGCCCTGCGTACGCAGCGTTTTCAGCAGGACACGCTCGTCCCGCGCCGTCCAGTCGGGCTCGTCGGCAAACACGCGAATGTCGTCGCGTACTATGATGTAGGCGTGGCAGTTACGATGCGTGGCTATCTCCCGACCTCGGGAAAAGCACTGCAGGCACAGCAACGTGTCCAGGCACTCGGAGCACTTGATGTACGGCTCGCTAATGTGGCAGCGACACGTGGCACAGCTGGGGCCGCCGGCGTCGGCAGGAGGAACACTACAGTTGCTACTCTGATCGCGCGCCCTTTCCTCCAGTTGATCCAGCTGCCTGTGCAGGGCATTCGCCTGGTAGTAGACGGTGGTGCACTTTGTCTGGCCATCGTGGCGGGCACGTGCAAACTTCACCGTCGCACGCTGGACCTGATCGGCTATGAGTTTGTCTAAAAAAAGGTCATTCAATTGGTAAACATGTGTGAGGGCGCCCACCCCGGTACTAGCATTTAGCTCTGCCTGCTTGTGTCACTTGTAATTTGGGAATGCGGTTAGTCGGAGGGGTGTATATTACCTTTGGGGAACTGCAGGTCGGCGGCATCCTCATCCACCATGTCCACGGGGTTCATAAACGACATTTTCTGATATTACTTGATAGAAAAGTTAACGAATTTAAGAAATGCCGCTGTTTTTGCTCGCAAGCACTTGGTGATGGGCGTCCACCGATAACTGTCGTGTCATCGCTCTTTGCCGATATGGCAGCACTTCCACTTTGTTTTATGCTCTGCACAACACTTTGCGCGCAGAGGGTCTTCTTCTTCCTTTTTCCGGAAAATGTTTTTGCGAAATGAGCCAAGAGCGCGAAGTTGCACCGTCGCCGCAATATACAAACTTCTTTGAGAGCCTGCTGGTTGAGGAATTGGTGCTGGAACCCAACTACCTGAAGCTACACTACGGTAAGTGCGCAGTTATTGGACGTCTCACCGTGTTGGCGGAAAGATACCGGCTCGAAAACGTGCGTGTAAAGAGCTTGCCACGGTAAGATATTGCACAGTTTATACGTGAATCTGTTGAGACTCCTCCATTGCACCCTTTCAGAGAGTGTTCTCTGCCCGGAGGCATTCTTTCCGTGCTTCTTTTGGGCCTAGACATCACCAAGGTTAGCAAATTGAACCTGATCAGCGGCTGCCATTGCATTGTGCGTGGCGAGGTGGTGCTGTGCTGTTTACAGTCCCCCAACAGCCCCACACTGACGTCCGGCGGTGTGTTCAATCTCCTGCAGGGCATGACCGATGATGAGGCTGCCTGCAAGCGTTACCTGGAAAAGCTGCATCAGACTCACATACCGGCCATCGACGTGTGGTTCGCGCATCCCATCGACAGTTTCGAGCAGCTTATAGACAGCAGGTTGCAGATTAAGCAACTGAGTTTTCACGACAGCCGCCAGTGAGATGCATACACACTACCTGACCTCATCGCGTACCAATCCACAATTCTACATATTCACACAGCTCTTTGAGGCTGAACACACTGATAGCTCGCCGTTCGATCTGACCAGCATACAGGAGGCGAGTTGGCTGGATTTCTGGCAGCGCGAGGGCCACCAGCTGCTGGAGGAGAAGTGGAACAAGAGGTTTCCCGAATACAAGGACATCGGCGAGGCTGGTGGGGACTGTGACGAGGCGGAGAGAGTCAGCTGGCAGGCGCTCTGGGAGGAGCATGCCAAAGAGCTGAGTGCTCGCTTTTGGCACATATTCAGCTGCGCCTTTGAGAACTATCAGCACGAGCTGCTGAAATCTCTATCTCCCATCGATACAGAGAATCTAGAGGAGGTTGAGCAGGAACTGGAGCAGCTGGAATTAAGCGGTAACCAGCCCAAGGGCAAGCGAAAGAAAAACAAAAAAATCGATGCAAAAGAGCCTTATTTGATTTCCAACGACGACCCCGAAGAGGCCTATTTGAGTGCCAACGACGATCCCGAAGATATGGGAGAGGCATGGCGGCGTAACCTCCACGGCCTGCCGGACTCCCTTGGCGCCAAGTCAAAAAACTCCACACAACGTCAGCCAAGAACAGAGTCCTGGTTTGAGCAGTATTCCAGTAGTTACTACGACCCCGAAGACATTGAAGAGGAAAAGCAGCGTAAACTCCTTGGCCTGCCAGCCTCCTTTGGCGCCCAGGCCAGTAACTCCAAGCGACGCAAGCCAAAAACAGAGTCGTGGGTTGAGCAGTACTCCAGCAGCTACTACGACTCCGAAGATATTGAGGAGGAGGAGGTGCAACGTAATCATCCCGCCCAAAAACTTCTCGCCTCCTTTGGAGCCCAGGCCAGTTACTCCACGCGTCGCCAGTCAAGAACAGAGTCGTGGCTTGAGCACGACAGCAGCTACTACGACTCGGACCTAGACATCATGACCAGCGACGAGGAAGCAGAGCCCCTGCATGGCGTGCGGCGCGGCTTCATCAAAAAGAACAAGCCAAAGAAGAAGAAGAAGCCCAACAAGAAACTCGTGGCCCAGATGCCGGAATTCATGTTAGAGAACAAAGGCAAGCTCTTCAAGTACTGGCTGAAGCGCTTCTCGCTGTTCTCCCGCTTCGATCAGGGCATCCGCCTGGATCGCGAGAGCTGGTTCTCGGTGACACCGGAGAAGATTGCGAAGCAGACGGCTCGTCGTTTGGCCTGCGACGTGATCCTGGACGCCTTCTGTGGCTGCGGCGGCAATGCCATCCAGTTTGCCGCCACCTGCGGCCGCGTCATTGCCGTGGACATCGATGCGGAGAAGCTGGCCATGGCCAAGCACAATGCTCGCATCTACGGTGTGGCTGATAAGATCGAGTTCATTCACGCCGACTTTTTGCAGTTCGCAGCCAGCACCAAGCTGCGTCCGGACGTGGTGTTCTTCAGCCCGCCCTGGGGCGGGCCCAGCTACATAAATCAGGCAACATTTGACATCGAACGGAGTCTGCTGCCTGTGGGCGCCAGCCATCTGATGCAGCTGGGCCGTCGGCTCGCCAACAGCGTCGGCATCTTTCTGCCCCGCAATGCCAACATGAGTCAGGTGATTGCCCTCAGCGGCGTTGGGCAGCAGTGCGAGGTGGAGCACAACTACCTGGATACGCGCCTGGTGGCCATTACGGCCTACTTTGGCAGTGGACTGATCAAAAATCAGCCAAAACTCAAAACTCAAACTGCAGCAGTAGGAAATTCGTTCCTATAATTAAGCAGGAACAAACCATAGAAGGAAAACAGAGTAAGCTGTTGCTTAAGTTAATCCTAAGGCATAATGCAATACAGATTGCACTTTTAGAAGAGCGAACTTCATGTTTATGGTTAGATCAAGTAGAGATCCAGATTTTCTTAGATGTAGCGACCATTCGATAGATAAATGAACGAGAGGAGAAATGAATACTGGCAGTGCGATTCAATTAAAGTATTTAGACTGTAAGTAATACTGAAACCACCTTCCCATATTGACATGGGCTGGTTTCAAAAGGTTACACGATTTGTAAGAAATATTTCTGAATATTTGCTAAGTTCTCGTGAATGTGAAAAAGCAGAAGGAGCAGAGAATACATCGAACAAGAAGTAGACTTAAATGTTGTCTTAGTTTATCTTTAGGGATAATGCAGTGCAGGCTGCACTTTTGGATGTAGGAATTTTATTTTGTTTGTTACTGAAAGCACAAATTATTGTTTTACTTTATTTAAATGTTGCGACCATCCAAAAGGATATTGGATGGTTCAAATTGTCGAGAGAACAGTCATACATTAACTGCGTATACCACGGTTTTTCCTTCAATGAGAAATTAATACTTGCAGTTTGATTAAATTTAAGTAGTTTGTAAGTCAATTATAGCTATGCTGAAACCACAATCCATATGGATATGGGCTGGTTACAAGATTTGTAAGAGATATTCCTGAATATTTCCTAATTTCTCTCACTACGAAAGTCCTTAATTTTTAGTTTGTCTACTTTCGGCTAAGAACTACTTCTAGCTAATCTAGATGTACCAAAGTCTTGTAATCCCTGACTTTTGTAAGCGCACCTGAAGCACAAAAAACTATTTCCTTTTTATTTGGTTTGCCACAACTGTACGTTTTTGCGTTTCTGTTTCTCTGCCACAGGCAGAGGATAAAACTTGACTAATGAATAAAGTCGTATCCTATGTAACACACACAGCACACACGATGTCCACTGTCCACCGCCCCCCGAGCTGGGCCCATCCGCACTGGGATTGTTGCCAAGTCACCGCCAATGTCAAAAGAGTCCCAAGCTCTTTAGCCAATTTAGAGAGCTTAACAAAAGCTCAACTGACCAATGGTCATAACCATAACGCACTCCATCCATACCATGCCAGACCCCACCCCCCCCCCCCCCCGCCCCATTTCCCTTTTGGACTTTTAATTAAAAAGCAAACGAAACAAAACGTGCGTCAATTTTTAAGAACTTTGTAAAACAAGTCTAAGCCGGAGACGGCGAAGGAGAGCAGAGCCGTCTGGTGGGACCCAACCAGAGACCAGAGTTGAATCCTGAATCCTGGCAACGCAGAGCGGTGGCAATTAACATGTTCCTGTCACAGCAGCTTCTCGCTTCTCCTGAATTCCAGCGCAGACACAAGAGAACCGAACGGATGGGGTGGGCACACACACAACAACACAACAACACAACTCACAACCCTTTTGCATGGCTAACAACATACTTAGGGACCAGGCCATGCCATGCCATGCCATGCCCAGCTGGAGTACGGTGGTACGGGGGGGCCGGTACGCATTTGCGGAATTTATAGCTGGAATATTTTGGCTCGTTGTTTCGGCTTGGCTTGTGGCAAGTGGCTCTGTCTGTCTGCTCCACCAAACTGCTGCAATTAGTTTGATTAACTTATTAGTGTGCGGCGTTCGGGGAGCGAACTTGAGCGAAATTTAGAGCATACTTTTCAGCGCTGATTTGTGGCCAACTTGAGGAAGGAGCGCAGAGCAGAGCTCTGTCCTTAGAGCTGGTAAAGGAATGGCTATAAAGATGTTTCTTGGGTGATTTGTTTTATAACCGAAGATGCGCGATGCGATGGGGATAGCTGGGTGCCCAGGGAAGTTCCCTGAGGGAAAAGATACAAAATGGAAGCTTGAGTTTCGCAGTGTTTTATTAACTCTACAGCCCTGCCATAGATTGCCATCGATTAGCAGCACTAGCAGCAACGCTTATCTATCAAAGGGTCAACTTATCCATGTACATCCCATTAATGGGAGAAACTTGTGTTCCCTGTGATTAAACGACAGCCCTTTTTATCGTGCAAATTGTTAATAAAATACCAGCAAATAGCCCGTCACGCGTCAACCCATGGATTATCAGCCACTTAAATCGAAGCTCTCCCTGGCTCAACGGGTCTCCGGTTTTCGACTCTAACTCCGTCGCCGTCGCCAGCTCTCCTGCCCTCCTTCTTCCTATATTATTAGATACGCGTAATTGTCGTTTTAACTGTCGCTAGCGCAAGCGGGACGGGGCGAGGCGGGGGTTGGTTGACAATGCCAACAATTTCAATATCCTCGACTGGCGGCCTATAAAAGGCAACGGGACGAAGCCCAAGCCCAAGCTCTTTAAATATATAGAAATATATATTTTATTGCAAGACAAACACGTGTTCGCAGCTCATCTCGATCCTGTGTGCGGGCAAGTGCTTTGCCTTGGGTTTGGCTCGAAATCGGGGGCGGGGGCGCAGGGGGAAAAAAAAACAAATTAAGTCACCCTTTTATGACGCTATTTAATTTGCAGCGTAATGTTGTCAACCTTCCTGACAAATGGTCACCCAAAACAACGGAGCAGCAGCCCAACCCCCATTCCCATTCCCATTCCCATTCGATGGCATGCCCCCTACCCTACCCCTGGAGTAGCTGCATGTTTGATCTGTAATTTGTGCCACTTGATGAGAGCAGGACGAGGAGGAGGACTTGCTAAGCGGCGGGGTGGTTTATTTGTGCCACAAGTAGCGACAATGCCGAAATGCGATTACGCCGTAAAGTCCATGGGAACACTGTGGAAAATGCGATTGTTCAGCTCCGGCTGCAGGTGCAGGTGCAGGGTGCTTCACAGCACATCTAATTAAGCGGGACGAGGGCACGAGGGGATGAGCGGGGATGAGGATGGGTGGTGCAGAGTGACGCCAGAATTTGCAATAATTGTCCAATGATTTATGATCGATTCTCTACGAATCAACCACTTTTGGGTTTAAAGTTTGACTCTGAAGCTGCGGCTGAACATGGAATGGGTTTGCTCAAGTGAATATATTTTATGCACAGGTATTTCTGGCAAACTTTTATCATTAAGCTGAAAGTTAAACCTGGCTGTAAGCACTCAAGACTAATAGTTCTAATGGAAGCAGAAGACTAATAGTTCTTATGGAAACAGAGGACTAATAGTGATGAAATAAACTTCATTTAAATAGTTTCTAGAATGAAATTCACTGGAAGTACACAATAAAGTGGAATACTTTTTATAGCTGCCCACAATCAGGTATGATTTTTCATACAGACACACAGACAGACAGTCGAATTTTGCCTCACTTCACAGAGAAACTTTCCCCCAAATGTATCCATCCCCCCCAAGTGCTGCTGCCCTTCTTCTTCATTTCGTTTCGCTTTGATTCGAACAAAATGGCGACACATTTAACTTATTGATTAACCGTTATTCATTTGGTGGCAGCCATTAAAATTAATAAACGCCACAAGGACACAAAACAGCGTTACAACAGCAACAGCAAGGACTCGTAACGGGGGGGACAAGCACCAGCAGGAAACAGAAAACAGCAAAGCAAAGGAAAGGACCAGCAGCAGCAGCAACAGCAGCAGCAGCAGCAGGAGAGAGAAGTGGAAGCGAGATACCAGTTATCCGCCCACTTTGCCCATTGATGGGGCAATAAAAAAAAGAAGCCAAGTAAAGCGCAAAATAAGAGCAATAATATTTAATAAATGTGCACATACACACACACACACACACACACACACACACGTGCACCCTTCAGAGGGCTGGAAGGGGATGGATACAATATTTATATGTACATATATGAATGTTCCATGGCTGAGCTGATATTGTGGTTGAATGCGAAAAAAAAACACACATAAATAAATATACACACATCCAGCAGCTCTGTGCACACCCACTCTTGCCCCTTTTGTATAGGTGGGCGCACAGGGTATAAAAAAGCTAAAGGTAAGACAGCCAGTAAGAAGTTGAATTGTTCTTTGTGTATCTGGTTACAAGCCCAGGATTGCCTTGCCTTATATTTAGCATAGACTATTGCCATAGTCGTGTCTCACCTTCCTTGCAGACACACCTTGGCACTGCCTGTGTGTAGGTGCTCTTGTTTGTGTGTGTGTGTGTGCCTTGCATTTTTGGTTGAATATTTCAGAGAGTGAGTGAGAGATAGCCGCAGAGTACAGCTAACTTACAGCGTACAACCCACTGTCCCACTCCAACCCACACTCCACTCCACTCCACAGCCATCCCCCTCCCCTCCCCTCCCCAACCACCCGCTGGGAGCAGCAGCAACATCATTCTTCATGGCATTTCGGTGCAAAAAGAATGCTTTTGATCTTCACAAGCGAATGATTTTTAATATGACTCTTTTTTGTTGTGCTGAGGTTGTTGCTGCTCAGCAGAGGCGGTGGGTGGGGGGCTACTGAAATATGCTTATCCACCCCGAGGGGTGGGAGGGGAGGGTGGAAAGTAAAGCAAAGTAAAGTGCGTTGGAAGTCAATCAAAAGCAGCTACAACAAAAAAATATGTTTTGCATTTTTATTGTAAATTTCGTAATTACCATGATAATTAATTAGCTTAATTAAATACCAATGAACAGTACACACACAGAGAGAAGAGAGAGGGAGATGGAGAGAGATGGTCAACCGCAGCGCCTAAAATTAGACAAAGTCAAAGCGTGGCGTGGCGTGGCGTGGAGCTCCATTTGAGTTTCGCAAAGGTCAGTCGGCAAACGAACCTCTGCGGTACGTACCCCAAGGAGAGACAGAGACAGGGCTAGGCAGAAAGAGAGCGAGATATATATGGAGTGCTGGCTGGGGGGGTGGGTGACTGCCACTGCCACCGCACACGCATAATGACGGTAATTTGTTGGTTTTGGCAAAAGAGCAGCAGCATCCTTGGAATTTCAATTAATTTCCATAATTTCCAACGCTTTATGAGCAGCAGAGCAAGACAGAGACACACAGTGAGAGCGAGACAGCGAAAGATGTTAGGCGATATCACACAGAGCAAGCGAGACAGAGAGAGAGAGGGAGAGAGAGAATAACGACCTCGCGAAAGGGGATGATTTTTGTGACCCACACTCCAAACGCTGCCTGTCATGGCGCTGATTCCTTGTTTGTGCGGGGGGCCCCTGCTGCTGCTGTCCTTTGTGTGTGTGTGTGTGTGTGTGTGTGGGTGGATTCAATGTCCTTTCCCTTTTAGGCAGAAACATTACTGGATTACTGGGAAGACGTGGCAGAGCCGCCGCGACCCAGCAAAGGTAAAAGAGGGAGGTGCTAGGCGCAGGAATTGAGGCAGGATAGTAGCAGATTGCTGAGCAACATAAGAGAAAGCTTTAAATATAAATCAAAGTCACATGCTTAGAAATAATAATTCTGCAGCAATTGTAGTGGGCATAAACCTGTAATTGAGATACTTAAGAGAGAGAATATTGCTCAGCATATTGTTTTTAGTGAAAGTTCCACTTGAATCTGACTCATAGAGAGAGGAATGCCTTTCAGCAAATGCCAGCACTTGGGCAATGACCACTCATAATCCCGCGAATGATTCAAATCTGCATTCCCAACGTCAAAATTTTTAATTAAAATCCAAACTAATCTAACCTTTTGGGTCGCCCTGGCTCCGCCCCGCTCCCCGGCAATATGCAATTAAAAACGCAGTTATTAGAGCCGCGAACATAACCAAATAAATTTCCAATTAAAACAATGACAGGACGGACCATCGCAACCTTCGGAGAGCGGACTGCCAGCGCGATGGAATCCTGTTTAGGTTTTTGCATTATTTTTGAAAATTAAAATTAATTTTCGGCTGCCCCGGAAACAACGGTGGAAACAACGTTTCGAGTGGCTCGCCAGCGGCGTAAAGTGCAGAAATTTGGCCAAAAAGCCAAAAACCAAACGAACGCAGCCAAAAACTCATTTTGAATATGATGGGGGGGGGGGAGGTGGGCAGAGGCACAGTCGGGTCTGTGTTGTGTGTCGGAGGGGAGTGGCACCACGCACTCAAGAGCCAGAGTCAGTGCCGTGTCCATGTCCGTGCTCGTGGCATGCCCCTCTCTCTGACGCATCTCTGGAGCACCGACTGGAATAACAGGATTTAATTAAAACCCAAAATGGCTGCCCTTTTACCTGATTTCCCATTTGTATTTTGCGGGCCAATTGAGAAATTTCTAATTTGCCTCTCATTATAAGTTTTGATTTTGTAATTAGTTTTCGGACCAACCATTCCGTGATCGGATTGGGTTTAATTTGGGGCTTGGCGCTTGGGCTTTTCGGGGACCTAAATCTTCTGTATCCATTTGTATCTGTATCGGTATACAAATCTTCTGTATCCCCAGGAAAAGTTCAACCAAAAGCCAGGCTGGGGTGGGGTGGGCCATAAAAAAGAGATTAACATTTCATTTATTTCGACCCATAAAAGGAATTCTCTGTGAATACATCAAAAAGAAAAAAAAGGAGCAGGAGAAAATGCGAGCAAAAAAAACAGGACGAGGAAATAAAATGGGAAAAATCAACATTATAAACAACATTATTAAAAACATGCCGCAAATGTTTTGCTCCTCTCAAATTTTTGAGTCCATTTTGTTGGCAGCCACTGACCGGGCAGAGGAGCGAACAGTAAGGAGGGGAGGGGAGGGGTCTGGTCTTGGCTGTGTGTTCAACCTCATGATGATGTTCCTCCGGCCCTGGCAAATGAATGCCTTCCAGCAGGGTGGGGTGGGGGCTTGGAGAAGTGGCAGCAGGAGGCTAATAAAATTAAGCTCTGTCAGGGAGCAAGAAGAGAGGCAGAGAAAAGGCAAACGAAAAAATATGACCAAGAGGGGAAGGCGGCCACTTAGGCACTTTGTGTACGTCGCTGTGTGCCTGTGGCATGCAACAACCTCATCCAGCTCAATAATAATAAAAATATTTTCATTAAATGAGAAAGGGAGGAGCCAAGCCAAGCCAAGCCAAGCCAAGGAGCGTTCCTGCAGGAACAGACCTCACTTTATAAGCCAGAAATGGCATACCAAAAGTGCTTTGCTGGGTATTCGAGGGAAATTTCGACTTATCCAACTTAAAGGTATAGAAATTTGGAAGTTTATAAATGTCAATGGCAGGAACACTACCATTATGCCAATTAATGTGCAGGAAATTATACCAAGAAGTCAATCGAATCGTTGGATCCTGTTGCATCCTTGCATCTTGTAATGAAACCCGCAATGCAGCCCTGGGCACGGCATGATGGGGCAAACAACGGTAATTTCGTTTGGCATTTTGCCCAGCCTTCTGGCCTGCTCCCCCCAGCCACCCATTCCTTATGCCTTCAGCGTAATAATTCATAATGAAAAAAGTTTTCTCCCCGCTTGTTTGGGCTTTTATTTATTATATTTTATGTGTGTTTAAAAATAAATAAATATTATGGCTATGGCTATGGTTATGGTTATGGGCAGGGCGAAGGGACATCATCATCATTATGCCGGGAGCAGTGGGAACAGAAGGAGCAACAGCAGCATAAGGAGCAGGACTTGTGGCAACCGGCCACCATTCTCCATCCTCTATTCTCCATTTCTTCTCTGCAGAGCAGCAACGACGATGACGACGAAGTTTATCAAAAGGCCAGCAGCAACAAAAAGCAACAATGGCGCTGGCAGGGTATATTTCAGAGAGGGTAAGGCGCTGCCAGAGAGCGGCCTCCATGGCGGAAGCTTTAAGCGGCTGCGAGTGAGTGATAGAGAGAGTGGCACAGAAACAACGGCACCTTTCCATTTATTTTCACTTTGCTGCTGGCAGCAGCGACGCCGGCAGAGCTGCTAACCTCACTCCCTCTCTTGAAGAACATGCGCAGAAGAGAGCAAAGAGACACACACACGTATCACAATGTAAGCGGCTGTGTGTGGGTGGGTTGTAGCGGGGATTTGGTTGTGTTACCGTTAACTCGTTGGCCCAGGCAGCAAAAGTTATGCAAAAATATTAAAATTGTGGTAAATAAATAAAAAATAAATGGTGTACATAAAAAATACTTGTACATATGTATGCTTGTATGTACCTCCTATATATAATGGAGACAGACCAGACTTTAGTCTCTGAAAGCGCCGCCTCCCACCGCCTATATCTCTCTGCCGCTGCCCCTGCCCTGCCTCTGCTCTCTTTTCGCTGCTGCTGCTCCCGCTGCTGCTCTCTCTTTCTCTCTGTCGCTCTCTGCGGCCATCGTCATTGCGATGCCAAGTGGCGCCCAATTCCTGTGGGTACATTAGGACTAATGATGATTGAAACGACAAACGTGACGCCCGAAGCAGCACCCGAAAGGATCCTCCGTTTGCTGCTGGCTGCTGCTGCTGGCTGCTGGGTAGTGCCTCCCTCCTCCTACCCACACACTCTCTCCCCTCCACTCGTTCTGCCTGCAAATTCCTGACTTTGATTTTTGAATTTGTCTCTCTTTTGTAGTCTGACTGGGCGGGGGGAACGAACGGCGAACGCATGCTCTTCCTCTCCTCTCCAGTTACCCACAACGATTCATTTCATTCCCTTTTGGGGTTTCGTTTCTCTGCTGCTTACTTTCGTCTCGTCTCATCTCGTCTCGTCTCCTTTCGGTGCCGTTCCATTCTCCTGCATTGATTTACTTTGATGACCCGCTAATTGTGTGGGTAGGGTGCCTGCCGCCGCTCCCGTAATGATCGTTGGCATTCCGCGTAGTTTATCAAACGGTAAATTGAAGACGAGCAGCGGGGAATTTCCCCCATTAGCGGAGAGTGGGTGCTAATTAGGGTTTAGTTGGGGTTTTGTCTGTGGCCAGGGATAGTTTGCTCCTCTGGTTAGGATTTTAAGCAGCGCAGCTCCGTGCACATCTCAATGGGATATCAAAGTAAGCACAAGGCAGGCAAGAAACTAGTGAGTGTTTATGGATCAATGAGGGATCGCTTGTGCATAGTTCTATCTCTATTTTGTTCCTTTAAATGCACATCAGGGGAGCACCTTGGAACACACTTAATTGGGGTTAAGCGAAAATCCTTTCTAGCGAGATCTTTGGCATAATCTCGCAGCCCAATCCCCGCACTTCTTTCCCATATTATTGTACAGGAATTTAATTTGCTTATTGCTTCATTAATTATGTCTGCCTCCACACCTATCCCCCCACCCCGAACCCATGCAATAACCCAGCGCGCACTTAATCACAAATTATTATTAATCCTGAAGCGCCATATTGTTTGAGTTTTATTCTTTTATTTTTTTCATTTTGCTGAGCACGAACCGCCCCCTTTTAGAGGGAGAAAGCGAACGGAAGAGAGATAGAGAGAGAGAGAGAGAACCAGCCAATTATCCATTTATATCATAATTTCAATAACTTTTCATACACTCGCCCTCAGAGTGGCGGCACACGCGGCGTCCAGGAATGGCACTGGTGGCTCTGATAGGTGGGTGGATCGGGTGGTTCGGGTGGTTCGGGTGGGTGATTCAGTTTTTATGTAACTGCCCGCCCGCACCATGTCATGTCCTTCCTGCCCCCGGGTTGCTCCTGGCTTCTGAATGACAATGATCATAATGAGGTTTCCGCTGGAGGATGATGACGTTGCCGTTGCCGTTGCTGTTGACGATGTTGTTATGCCGGAAGGCTGTAAGGGAGGGATGGGTGGTGAAAAGAGGCAAATCCAAGGCAGGATGAGCAGAAAAATCACAGAGAGAAAGAATCAGTTGCTGCGCTGCCAGCGTCAACGTCTGCTGTTGCTGCTGCTGCTTCTGCTGCTGCTAGTTCCGACGCTGCTGCTGCTGGCTGTCTGCTGGCTGGGGATATTGTAAAAATTTACAGCCACGAACTTTTCATTCGAGTTTGCAACACGTCCGCGTTCGCATGCGTCTCCAGCGAGCGCCTCTTTCAGCCCACAAAAGCTCTGATTCGATTCGATTCGAGTCGGTTTCGATTCCGTGTTACATCCGCCCCGGAAGGCGCCGCACTGTAGGCAACACTTTGTAGTGCCGTCGGCAAAACGGAAGTAGCGCAAAATCAACTACCGGATGTGCAAAGCGGAAGTGCCAGTGCATTAAGGGCAGCAGAAGAATTGAGGATTACGCGTTGAGCAGAAAACTATTGGCAACGAATTCGATGCACTGAGCAGCTCACAGATCAAGAGGTGGGTCTCGGGGGCTTTTGTTTTTGTTATTGGAAACTATTCAAAGAACACAGCCCATAACGTTTGTCTCCATCTCTGTTACCTGTGCGGGCCACGCTTCAGTGCGGTGGTAGCCTTTGGAGAGGTTCATTTTCCCAGAGATCTGTGCATAAACTAATATTGAGCGAACATTTCTTTTATTATGTGAAAGTATAAACAATTTGGGGACTATCCAGGAAGGGGGCAACACGCTTGAAGAGCAATCTTGAGAATACTTCTTGTTAAAGATGTTGCATTGAGTTCAGAACTTTAGCACTCTTGCCAGACCATTCATAAACGAGTAAAATGCACATGGAGCGAATAACCTCATTTAAAGTCATTGCTACAAGTTGTTTAACAAGGGGATTCAGTGATAAAAATAGACTATACATAGAAGGGAGACTCTCTTTAATGGTTAATCATAATGATAGGTATAAAATTTGGGCATTGAAAGTAACTTCCATTGAGTGAAAGTGCGAGATTCGTTTCTTAAAACAAAACCATCGCTTCAAATAATTTTACCTTAAAAAAACACAAGCTTCGAGCTTCCTACTATGATAAATACTTAGTCTTTAATTTGAATTTAGTCACTCCAAAGGTTTAGGGGAGTATAAGCCTGGCCCGTATGAGGAACACTTTGTACAAACAACTGGCTTAAAGGAGCCACAGCTGAAATCAGGCCAGCCAGATATATTTTCTATATTTGACAAATTAACAAAAATTCCTCTGATGGTGGGTACTTTATGGGCTGATTAGGCTGGGCTGGCAGAAGGTGTCACCAGAGAGATGGCGTCCAGGAATCCACTTGTTACACCAAAATTTGCATATTTCGAATGCTTCATTAGGGCAAGGGGGAATGAAAATGAAGCTCATTGGTGAGCTACGACAAAATGTCAGCAATTTAGTTAAATGTGTTTATAAGCAGCTAAAGATACTCGGACACTTGGACACTCGGATGCAAATTTAGCCAACAAGAGACGACCACAGAGAGAGTTGATTGTGTGTGTGTGTGTGTGTGCTGCCACACATGGGGGCAGCTGATAGTTCACGCACCTGGGACTGGGAGGGCAGCAGAGTGAGAGCTGCCACAATGAGGCAGGCAGGCTGGCAGGCAGGCAGGCAGCAGCTAACTGTGACAAAGTCTCAATTAGGCTATCACATTGCCTGCCACTGAGCGACAGAGATAGACAGAGAGATAGATGGCCCGGAGTGCATTGCGTTGCGTGTGAAAGAGAGGGAGTGCAATTAGCCGAGGAATGGCAGGAGAGTGCAGAGGGGCACGGGGCAGCAGCCTTAACCTGTTGTCGTCCCATGGTCCACTCAATTGCCTGCTCTGTCGAGCGCGTCACGGTAGAGCAACTGCACAGCTCGCAGGGATCGCATTTCACTTAATTGTGGGTATAATCAGGGAGTCGGGAGTCGTTGACACTTGGATTGTGGGGAGGAGCAGTGGCAGTAGCAGTAGCAGGAGCAGGAGGAGAGGCATGCGACAGACACAACAATTAAGCTCAAGCATTTCTCTCCTTTGCAGCAGCAGCAGCAGCAGCAACGACAACTCGGAGACAGCACAGCGTTGGCACAAATATCTCTAAGCATGTTGCAGAATCCTTCCAAATATCACGCAAATCCCTTGTCACACTTCCTGGCATTGCATAACACACAGGCAGGAGGTGCCGCTGCAGCAGCAGCAGCAGCCACTGCCGGTGCAGGAGTGGGCTTGGGTGTGGGTGTGGGAGGTGGCATCCCTGCACATGGTCAACCGCATCATGCATTGCCCACAGCAGCTTTGGCGGCGGCTGCTGCTGCGGCGGCCGCCGTCTCGGCAGGTCAGAGTTCGTACCAAATGGAGCAACAGCAACAGCAGCAGCAACACCATCATCAACATCATCAGCATCATCATCAGCAGCACCAGCAGCACCAGCAGCACCAGCAGCAAGTGCAACAGCAACACCAACTACCCCACCCAGACAGCCACCACCCACCGACAACAGGCAACAACAGCAGCAACAGCAACAGCAACAACCACCGGGAACAGTTGGCGGCAGCCACTGCGACGTCGCACGCGCAGCTCTTCGAGGCGGCAGCGGCGCATTCCTCCCTCGACGTGGGCAAGTCCTTTACAATAGCCGCCATTTTGGGGCTGCAGAGCCAGGGTCGCAAGGACTACAACAATGCCATCAATCTGTCTCTCAATGGCGCCGCACGCGATGCCATTGACCAGGACAACAGCCACAACCACAACAGCAACAACAGCAACAACAACAACAACAACAACAACAACAACAGCCAGAGTGTAAAGAACTTCAATTGTGATAGCAGCAGCGGCGGCAGCAGCATGGCAGTGGGTCGCTACCAGCCCCCCGCACCATCATCCACCTGGATTTGCGGCCGCTGCCGCCGTGGCAGCTGCCGTTGGGGCAGCAGCGCCCTCGGCCCTGCAGAGCCTGCAGCAGCTCCACCAGCAGCATCACGCCCAGCAGCAGGCCACGCTCAGCTTCCAGCGGGAGAAGCTCAAGTCGGGTAAGATCCCCAGATCCTGCTGCACTTCCTCCATTACAGCTAAGACAATCGAACCGAACCGAATCCCCTTTTCTCCGCCACACAGACTCCCACAAGAAGAGCTCGCTGAAGAACAAGCGCGTGCGAACGATTTTCACGCCGGAGCAGCTGGAGTGCCTGGAGGCGGAGTTCGAGCGGCAGCAGTACATGGTGGGACCGGAGCGGCTGTATCTCGCCCACACGCTCAAGCTGACGGAGGCGCAGGTGAAGGTGTGGTTCCAGAATCGTCGCATCAAGTGGCGCAAACACCACCTGGAGCTCACCCAGCAGCGACTGGCACTGATCCGGCAGACCCAGCTGCCGGGCACGGTAATGGGCCCCGGCTCCGTGTCAGTCGGCGGCAATGCCGGAAACTCTGGGTCCACGGATCTCACTGCCGGATGCAGTGCAACCTCGCCCAGTCTGCAGGAGGATGACAACGAGGACAGCAAGCAGTCGTTGTCGCTGACCATACCGCCGCTGAGTCGAGCCCAGTCCGAGTCCGATCTGTCCATTTGCAACGACTCTCTGGACGGCGACAGCCTCATGGATGGCAGCGAGGAGGCCTAAAGTATGCCTGTGCGCAGCAATTTTCTGTAAATATAGCCAAATAAATATGTACAATATGGGTTTTCTTTAGTTCTCTGCGTCTGTGTGTCCTGCGGATCGGCAATATATAGCATTTGAGAATTTTAAATGGCAGCGGTGTATAATAATATCTACATGATACATGCAGTGGCGTCATCTTTAAGAGTTTAACAACACTGCCAGCGGCTGCAAATGGTTGCCAGACCACATAAAAATCTGTTGCATTTAAAAATCAAATCAACAAACAAAATAATTAAAATCATATTTATTAAACTTTTGATTAGGTATATCACAAAATAGTACATATATATATATTATTGCTGGGCGGCTGCCCGCGCAATGCGATCGTGGCAGGAGAGATGCACAATCTGGCCGTTGGGATAGCGCACAAAGGCGGATTGGCTGGGAAATCGCTTCTTGCACTCGGGACACACGCTATTCTCGTTCAGCTCGAAGCTGATGGCTCGCTGCGCCTGCAGCGCGGCCTCCAGCCGATTGGACTCTGCCTCCAGCAGGCCGCACATTATTTGCATATGGTGTTTATCCGACAGCTTTTGGCGCACGGCCTTCTCCATGTACTTTTCCAGCTGGGACATGGGCATGTCATCGGGAAGGAACTGGAAGTAGACGAAAGATACTTAGCTTAAGGGGGTGCATGGAAAAAGGACTTCCGGCTCACCTCAAAGATTTCAATGGGATCGATTTTGACGGCGTAGGTGTTGAGCAGCTCCAGAAGCACCTCCCGATTGACTTCGGGACTGAAATCCGGATGCAGGGCCACACCCTCATAGATCGGCTCTGTGGGAGGCACCATTATGGTCTTGACCAGTGTTTGGAATATGGTTGTGTCGGTCTCGTAGTTGGCCTCTGCATAGGCCCTGGCCTTGGCCACATCCCCCAGCACTTGGATGTAGATGGCGAGGACCTTTTCGTGCTTCTTGAGACGGCCCAGGATGAGGGCACGCTCCTCCAGCAGCATATTGGTGGGAAACTCTTCCAGCACACGATCCGGCGAATAGACATTGGACTCCTCCAGCATCTTGTAGAGCTTGGCCCGCAGCGGCTTGAGTTCAGGCACTTCCTCGCTGCAAAGGGCAAGGCAAGGATTGTTTTTAAAGCCAAAGGAAAGACTTTGCTCACTCACCCCTTTTGTTGCTGGAGCAGGAGACGCTGCACCTGTTCGCGGTACTGCTTGATGAGGACATTGTGGCGCAGGGTGTTCGTATCTGACCACTCGGAGATCACGTGCTCCAGATACGGAATGATCAAGGACTTGTGCTTGGTTATGAGAAAGTCCAGGACCTTGGCGCGCGGCAAGGACTCCACCTCGATAAGTTCATCGGTGAAGATGGACAGGCCCTCCTCAGGGTGTTCCATGATCACCCAGTCGGCAAACTCAAAGATCAGCGGCAGATGATCCGTTCCCAGCTCTTGCAGATAGCGGATGGTTCGCTTGCGGCCCTGCAGCACGGATCCCTCGATGCCCGCCTGCTCCTGGAGCAGCTTCAGAGCCTCCTTGTGCTTACCCTTCATCTGGTACAGTATGATGAGCTCTGAGATCTTGTTGTGCTTCTTCAGAGTCTTCTCCGACTCCTCCAAGTGGCACTGGTTGAGACGCAGCAGCGGGGCCACCAGGGAATCATTCGTCTGCAGGTAGCACTTGAGCAGCGTGGTGTCTATGATCTCGAGCAGCGACTTGGAGCTGCTCTTGGTGTCGCGCAGCTTGACCACCTCCCGCTGCCGGGCCAGCGCCAGGAACTCAATCAGCGCCAGGTAGGCGTTTTCCAGGTCGTCATCGTCCAGCTGGGGGGCAGTGGACACAGGCACAGTGGTGTCCTCGGTGCCCGGCTTGGGCTCTGGCACCAGATTCGGAAACAGTCGGATCACATCGTATGGATCGATGGCCGCTCTCTCGAACTCTTTCATGGCCGCTGAGTACTCCTTGTTGGTGAAGAGCTCCTTGGCGTAGAGCATGTGTATTTGGCGTATGGTCTGGGCCTTGTCCTCTGCAGGTTCGTCGGAGATTTGCTGCCGGATAAGCACAGGTAAGAGAGTAGCAGGAGAGGAGGGGGAAGAGACTCTGCGAGACTCACCGTCACCTCGATGGCCAGTTGAAATTTCTTCAGTTGCAGCAGCTGCTGCCGCTGGATCGGGATCTCCACCTGCCGGATGCACCACAGCTCCGAGGTGGCGGCCGCAAAGATGGTTCCCTTGTCGGCGTGCACCAAGAACCTGGTCTTCTCCAGCTCTGGAATGCTCTGGACCAGCGTATCCTTGCCCACCAAGCTCCTCACTTCGATGGCATTGTTTACACGTCCCACGACAAAGGGATCGTCCCAGACTGCAATCAGAATGGCGATTAGCTGGGCAAAAGACTCGGAAGAGCTAACAAATTACCCAAATTCAGCAGGGGACTTGACCAGAGCAGCGGTGGCAGGGAGTTCTGGCTCTCCATGCCCCCAGGATGCACCTCGTCCACGGAGGTGGCGCCGCCATCATTGTCCTTCGACTTGTACTGGCCGGGATCCACAATCACCAAATACTTGTCCTTGGATATTCCCAGCATGTTATTGCGTATGAGACAGATGCAGGGATCCCTGCTGACGGAGGAGGAGGTGAGGAAAAGGTTGTGTTTCTTGGGCGTATTGCAGGATATCTAAAAGAATCCATGATCAGTAGAGCTAATGATACGCTACGCATATTCCAGTGTAGATCTCACATCGTAGACAACATATTCATCCTTGTAGCCCACACAGACGGCATGGCCCACCCAGCAGAGGGTCTTGGGCACGTCACTCAGCTCGATGCTCAGCTGGAGCGAGTCCAGCTTGTCTTTCTTCCAGAAGAAGAACACCAAACGACGCTTGATGGCGCAGCAAACTCGTATGAAGGTAGCCACCTCGCCCGTGGTAGACTTTTGCGAGTCCACGTCCATGGTGAACAAGGTGCAGCCCTTGGTGTCCGCCGAGCTGTGCAGAAATGCAAAGTTGCTCTCCAGCCGCCCGATGTCGCACACCTGTACCAAGTTGTCGGTGAGGACAAAGAGTAGGTTCTCCGCGGCAATCACCTCCATCTGCGTGATGGGCTTGCGGCTGAAGTTCTTGTTGAACATGCGCATGTCCACGCCGCGCTCGTCCACGGAGTACATGATGAGCTGTCCGCTCCGCGTGCCCAAGATGACATGGTTGCCTGGAACACATAGAACCTGCTTAGGACGGGACACAATGGAGGATCTATAGCCTTACCATATGCGGCTATCGACTCTATTTGCACGCCCTGCTTCAATATGGAGTGCACATTGTACGCCTGGTGCATCTTGGATGCTTAATTAGGACACAAATTGCGCTTTATGTTTGGATTGGCTGCTATAAAATACGAAGACACATCTTTTTTTAATAATTATTTCAGCCCGATACTATCATGATAGTATCGATTGTTTTTTTCAAAACATTCAAGGCTATCGATGGATCAACTAGGCTAGCAGCAAAGTATCGATACTATCGATAGTGCCCTCTTTGGTTTGACACCTCTATTAGCGAGGCAGAATTGTCACATTTTTTGACAAAATTGTAAGTTTTTGCTTAAATTGTTCCCTTGAAATGATTGCTGTTACTCTTAACGTTTAGTGCAGTTTGTGATTCACGCTAGAACATTTGAATTCGTGTGGCCCAGGCAGCGCCATAAGCAACAACACCCCAGACAGCAGCAGAGACTCGGCAAAGCAGCAGCAAAATGCCCAAGAATAAAGGTAAAGGTGGCAAAAATCGTCGTCGTGGAAAGAACGAGAATGAATTCGAGAAGCGCGAGCTGATCTTCAAGGAGGATCAACAGGAGTACGCACAGGTGACCAAAATGCTGGGCAATGGTCGGTTGGAGGCAATGTGCTTTGATGGCGTCAAACGCCTGTGTCACATTCGGGGGAAACTTCGCAAGAAGGTAAGTACAACGTTGAAAGTGCCTCTCTTTGTCTGGTTCTCTTAATCTCTTTTTTTTTTGGCATGTGTCATGTGTGTGTGCGCGCTCTCTTAAAAGTGCACGCTATTTAGCATTTGGCATTGATTGCCAACAAATGCGCTATATATGCTATTTAATTATTGTTGCTGTGCATCGTATTCGCAATATATATGTGACTTTAGGTGGCAAAAATGTGTTTATTATAAACATTTAAAGCCCATTTTGGTGGCGACCAAGTACAATGTGCCGTTATGATGGTCTTCTCTTTTGCCAGCTCGCAAGCAGTTCCATTGTGTGGGAGGGAGGTGGAATGCAGTGCATTCGTTGTCCTTGTCTAAGATAACAAAGGAAACGCGTGGGTCGGGGGCAGCCATTGATTAACTATGTATGTGCATGTACCAAGAGGTGTGTGCGCCCCTCAGCAGTTTACTCTTTCCTGATGCCAGCCATGCCTGTATTTCTTAATCATCCCGCGAGTATTCCGTCTTTAATCACAGCGGACCACTATCATATGATAGCCATAGACCATCAGATTTTAGTTCACATCTACATATATTCCAGGGTATTTTCCGTCTGCACCCCTGTGGATAGTCCTATTTTGCTTCCATCTTCCTGGAATTCAATGAAGTTTCTTGTACAGTCTTCTCAAAGCAGAATGTTAACGGGAATTGCCAGGATTTGCATTGCAGCTGCAGTACCGCAGTTCATAGCCACGATACTACCTGCCTTGGTTTGGCCTTTCCATGGCCTTGCGAATGGGATTGTCCATAAACCGATTAGATCTACCTATTCCTACTATACCTAGTCGTAGTATGAGCGGCAGGTTGTCTTGAATTGTGCTTCACACGGACAGCGAGAGGTCGTCATAAATAAGATTTCGAATCAGTAGCTACGTCAAGATTTCTGGAGTTAGTACGTCAGCACCAGTTCCGTCGTAGATGTCAGGGCAAAATACCCACAAGCACCCGAACAAGTATCCAATCAATGGGGACAAATCAGACAAGGTGCCATTTGCCATATAAATAGAGAGAGAGACAGCAACCTAACCGAAAAATAAACAGTCTAAAAAGTGGGGGGACGAAAGGGCGGGACTTGTCCACGTCTAATTGATTGATATGGAAAGTAAACCAAAAATGCAAATGTAAATCAAAAACAGAATCTGCCATTTCAATTCACATGAAATTCAAAGACATTCAAAGCACGTGCTCTGGTGCCCATAAATGGGCCAAATACTCCAGCAACATCCTGACTTGGCACTAATTTGCTTGTCCTCAATGCTCAGAGTGGGGGCGCCTATGGCATCCACATTTATCTAATCTACAATGGAAAATTGAAAGAAAGCGTTGCGTATATTTTGCAGGCTGGCTACGACGCAGTTTTCCTCATACCGAAATGCGTTTTAATCCCTGTAAATGGATTTGTAATACCACCCACCGCCCACTCCACACACGCGGCATGAACACAAGTTACACAAGGCCGTCTGGGGGATGCACTGCTTGAATGCGGAACCCTTTATCATTTACTTGAACTCTAATCTCTCAAGTAGTTTCCCTAAGGAATTTATATTCGATTGCACAGGTGGATCTATGGCGGGAGCGGAGAGTCTTGGAGTGCCTCCGTGTGGCCTAGACAATTGAGCATTTTTCACGGGACATTGCACGGGACCACAAATGCTTCAGTAGCGTACTAATAGCTCTTGGCACATCTTCATTTTACCATATAAAAAACCCCAAAAGTCCTTATCATATAATGGGCAACCCTCTGCCCAAATTTGAATGCCATCAGTGTTGGGGTTTCACCCTTCCTTCCTATCTGGGTCATCTGTTGTCACATGTTAGCGCAGTTCCTGGAAATTAGGAATTACATGCGAATTAGCTCCAGAGTTTGTTTTTGGAGGCAGCTCAAGGTGCAGACAATCGAGACTCAAAGTTCAACGAGTTCTGTTCTCTGATGTCTAGACCTAAATTCGCGAGGGCCGTAAAACACAGAGCTACAAATATTCTGCACAGACGACAGAGTCTGTCAGTCAGTTAACAAAAAAAAACTCTCTTGTCAATCATACGGCAGTCAGCTGATCCACGTAATCTGCGGCTCCTAATCGGCACGACGTGGACACGCCTCCCATGCTCCATCCGTGCTCCAGGCATACTTTCTATGCCCTTTGCTTTTGGCCAGACGTTGACTTTCTGGGCATGACTAATGCGTGTGGTTGGGCGCCAGCCCCAGGCCAAGGTGTGTGCCCGCCCGTTCGTTCCCCCCTTTCAGCCCGGCAACAGGCGCGCCGGAATATGGAGCGAATCTTATCTCCAGCTCAGCAGCTTATTTCACAATTAAAGACGGTAGTTGTTGGTTCTTTCTAATCACATTCGAATATTTTATTCATGTTCTCTCTTTTGTACTTAAAACTATAGCCTATATTGGAATGATCTGGGCAGTAGTATATTCTTTTTCTTATGCTTAATCCTAGTGAGATTTTATAGAGAATTTTTGATATATTTTTTCTTTGGAAATTGATGATTTTTTTTGGTCTGATTTTTGGGTATATTTGATTTTCGTTTTTCTTTCGATTTTTTCACATTCGAGCTCTTTGGTGGGGTAGTCCTCTCTCTCTCTGCGTGGCTGTGGCGTGGCCGGCCTCAGCTTACATGATGTGTGTGGCCGAACTGATGACCTGATGGATCCAGTCGGTGAAGGCCGAAACCCGCACAAAGACGGAGGGCGCGTTCTTCTGGCCGCAGGGCATCTTGCCCCAGGAGACGATGCCGATGACGATGTTGCCCTGCTCGAAGGACTCCTCGCAGCACTGCTGGATGAGCGGACCGCCAGAGTCGGCGGTGCAGATGCTGACGCCGCCGGTGAGCGGGCCCGTGCAGAGGTTCGTCTCGTGCAGCTGGAGGCCGGAGAGGGCGAGAATCTGTTCGCACAGTTCCATGTCCAGGATGGGCATGTTGGCCTCCTGCAGCTTGTGCGGATAGTTGGGCACGGCGGTCATCGAGACGTTGCCCCAGCCGTACAGAGTGCCGTAGCCCTCGGGCAGGGCATCCTGCTCGGGCAGCACGGCTGGCTGGACGTACTCGTCGAAGACCAGGGGCCTCTTCATGTAGATGAGCGCGATGTCGTAGGGATTGACGCCTCCGAGGTAGAGCTCGTGACGGACGTAGTGGTCGATGTGTCGCATCTGGATGTTGGCTGCCTCGCCGCGATGGTCGTGGATGTCGTGGCTGCCGGCAACAATCACCGAGCTCTCGACGGTCTGCGGCGAGTTGAGGCAGTGGGCGGCTGTGAGGATCCAGTGCTCGTTGATCACAGTGCCGGCACAGTAGTGGACCAGGCCCTGGTCGGGGGTCATCATCTGAATGCTGACCACGTAGGGCGCCGTGTGGGGCGTTGCCTCGCGCTTGGCCAGAAACTTCTTGCTCCAGTGCGTCTGTCGCGGTGCTTCCAGTGTGCTAATCCGATTCTCCAGCAGCCCGTAGGCCGCCAGATTCATGGCCATTGTGTGGGCCGATGATCCCATCACGCTGGTGGCACCTCCGCACTTGCGGACGGTGGGCAGCAGGGAACTCGGGGAGGCACTGCTGCTGAGCACGACCATAATGCTGGCTATGGTCGTCAGCAGCATCGAGTATATGCATCGGTAGGATAACAGCATAATGTCCTCGTTCTGGTAGCACGCGCCGCACGTATTCGTCGAGTAGTAGGTAGGAATTTTGACACTTGATGGGTCTGTGGACGGGACACGCGAATCGCGGCGTCTCGATTTGATTTTGATTTTGCTTTTGCTTTCGCCTTGGCTCTGGCTCTGCCTCTGGCGTATCTGTGGTAACACTTCACTTGTATTCCGTTTGGATCGTTCATGGAACACACGTTTATTTCTCAGCGGTTTCTCCGGGCTGGCTGTTGCTTGCTTGATTGCGATTTTAAATTTGCAGAATACGCCGGAATGTTGGCTGTATTTATAGGGAGAGAGAGAGAGAGGGAGAGTCGGTGCCAGTGCCTACCTTATCACAGACACAGAGAGAGAGAGAGAGCCCAATCTAATCAGTGACGAGTAACGAGATAAGGCCCGAATTTGGCGAGTGCCATTCCGATTGCCAAGGTTCTGGGCCCCACAGGGAATGCCCTTACTCTGTTGCTCCTATCCCTGTCACAGGAGGGGTAGGGTGGAGGAAGTTGTCCCTCTTTGCTGAAACATAATACCTGCCTACACCCGCCTGCCGTGTGTGATGTAATGTGCCCGATGATAACAGCTAACTGTCGTGGGAAGAAAGTTCTCCAGTACTCCGTCTCGCCTTTCATGGGACATATCTGGGGTGTCACGAACTGCCTGCAGCCTGAGGAATTTTTTGTGACGCATTGGCATTGGATTTATATTACAGCGAAATAAGTCAATCAGAAGCACTTTCTGTGATTCAGTTTATAAAAATGCAATGAATCAAACGCCTCAGAGAACCCCCAGGGAATTTCTGTATGCAGAAACTTCTCCTTTTTGGGCCACAACCAGAGCAAACCAGCGCCAACTGCTGTGCCATTAATGATGATGATATTGCGATAAGAATATCTGTTTTAGTTCGGTTCGGTTCAGTGATGCCTGTGGCTATATATAGTATTCCAAGAGACCTGCTGCCTCAAATACCAAACCTCTGACGGAGCGTACCAACTTACTCACCCGCACTCCTGGGGAGGAGCACCTCCCGCCTGCCCACGTACAGGTGCTCGCAATCAGTGGGTTGTGCGATCGATCGGGGGCTTCCCACTGGCCTCCAAGTAAAGGTGGCGGTGGCGTTGGAGTGTGCCGCCTGCCTGCCCCAGGGGTTCGTTCGCTCGCTTATCTCTCGTCTGCCTTGGGGTAATGGTAATAGCCAATTTCGATTCGATTTAGTCACAACTTTTGTGTATCTCTGCCTTCACGGTGTTTGCCTGCATGATCTATCGTGTTCGTTCGCGTTCCCTCAGGCAGGGAATCCAAGTGTGCGGCACCACGCCATCGCCATATTTGGGCCGTATGATAAATGCTCCAAAGTTCAGGGGAAGAGGGTTTATTTAAAGCGAAAGACGTAATGTGGCGCGTCTCTGATTTTTGTTTAATGCATTTTTAAGCCGAACCCCTGCTATCGGGTCTTATCGACGTGGCGACGTGGCTGGTCAAGCACTAAGCATACGTACATACGTATACGTATGTATGATATATGTACATATGTGTCATCTGAAATCGGAAGGGGAATGGAATTTATATTGCAGCTAGTACAACCGACAGGAAATAGAGTTCTGCTGCTGCTGCTGCCATCGAGGGAAATAAATTTATGAATGGGCTTTGAATCATTCATCGAATTGGAATCAAGTGCAGCTTGTCCTAGGTCGTTGACTCTCTCCCTCTCTCTCGGTTGAGTAATAAAACAAACACCTATGGGGGCCTATGGGGGGTTTCTCTCTCTCTGTAGTTTTACTGCATTCATATCGTTTCGTATCGTATCGTAGCGTATAGTACATAATACATTCCACATAATCTTCCTATGTTTCCGTTGACGTCATGGGGGGTGTGTAGAAATCTCTCAATCTGTAGTCAGGCATTCGCTGCTGCTGCTCCTCCTGGAATCTGAAATCTGGCATCTGATTAGGCAAATATTTGCTCAAGAGCATTGTTATTGCTCGTTTGCGGTTGTGAGATATCTCGATATAGCAGCCTTGCCTTATCGCAGCCTAAACGCGCATTATTTCCTGGAACTAAGAGCTCAGGTTTACCCAATTTTTGGCTTGCACATTATCACTGATACGAGTATGTGACTCGCGACAAGTTTGTGCCTGTTCTCCTCTGCTGCTGCTGCTGCTTCTGCTGCTGCTGCCCAGCTCTAATCTACATTCCTTTGGCTGCTCTACGCGCTGGCTATCAATGTTTTGTGATGACAGTTCAAGTGCTTTCGAACTGATTGCGATCCATGAGAAGTTAATTACGATAAAGCCCTCACGTGAGTAAGTTTGAGGAGCTGCTGGCTTGCTGGCTGCTCCTCCTACTCCACAGATAGGCAATTCCTATGGGCTCCTTGTGAAATGGTGTGCCCAAAAGTTAGCCAAGAATGGAACCTTCTTGTTGTAGGCAATCCCTGCCTTCTGTTGCGCGTGTTTGTGAAATACCCAAGAAATTTTAGAGAGGCACGGGGCCTGCCCCAAAAGATCAGTTATCTTTTATCTCTTACACGGAATACAAGACTGCAAATTGTGTTTGCTGTTTGCTATTTCTGCCGCAAGAATTACTCATAGCACAAAGAGAGAGAGTAGACAGACAAGGAGAAGGAGAAGGAGATTGTGTTTTGGGCTTTTCCCAATTGAATGATGAGATAAATGATTAAATGTGTTGCTTTCTTTTACAGGTCTGGATCAATCAGGGCGATATTATATTGGTCGGCTTGCGCGACTATCAGGACTCGAAGGCCGATGTCATTCTGAAGTACACGCCCGATGAGGCCAGGAATCTGAAGACATACGGCGAGTTCCCCGAGTCGGTGCGCATCAACGAGACAGTCACATTCGTGGAGGATGGCTTCGACGAGGACATTGAGTTCGGCGATGAGATCAGCTCAGAGGACGATGCTGATTCCGTGGACAACATCTGATTGACAAGAAAACAAAGGAAGATGTTATCTGGAGCAGCAGCAGCAGCTGCAGCATCAGGAGGGGGAGGGACGGCGGGTGCGGCAGGAACGTCCGGCGGAGCAAAGTCAGTTAAAAAGTTAGGGAATTAAACAAATTGTAAAAAGCAAAGCAAACCCCGCCCACAGATACACAGATCCACATTCAGCAATCAGCAATCAGCAACCAATCCAGCATGCTCCCCCAACCATTCACAGAGCGCGCGACGGGCCAACACTAGCAACAACAACAACAAACAACCGACAGACAGCCAACAAAAACAACAATTACAGAAATAGCCCACAGTTTATCAACAACTTCCAATGTTCAACAATATTCTTCGCTGTAACCTTTTCTATCTAACCTTTTGGTAATTTTCTTCGACTAGGTTCCAAATTCAAATTGTCTAATTTAATGCTCGCGTCTCAAGCGGCACAACAAAACTAAATATGATCTATGTATGTAATAGCTACAGTTAGTAGAAACTATTGCGCTGAGCAGCAAGTAACATGCCACACAGTGAAGCAAAGTGAACACTAAACACTCTTTATGCAATTAAACGAAACAACAGAAAACAACAACAAAAGAAATCCCACAACCAATGGATACTAGTTATTATTCCAACCCAACAAATTCACCCCAAAAACTAAATGAGAAAATCGCAAAAAAAAAAAAGAAAAAAAAAGCAAAGAGAATAATAAAGTAAATTCATAAATCATAAATAATAGAATAGGAGTTTAGCAAAACATTTATGTGTAAATGAGAAAGCGGACCGTAGACGGACGGTATAGCAGAGGAGTTTCCATTGTAGCTAGCGAGTAAGCCAAAAATCCAAAACAAATTCTACAGTTTTTGCCCATCCCCATCCCCCCCAAATGTGTTCCTTTCCCGTCTCTATCTCTATCTATATACTTGATACTTGTGTGTTATTTTTGATGGTCTTCATAGCGATATATCATATACTCTATACCCAACGCCCCTTTTGTTTTTGCTGTCGATGCATTCAGCTCCCTTCGTTACCCATTTAGTTGTAATTTAATTCGAGCCTAACGAACGTGTAAAAACTAAAGATTGATCATTGATTCTTTGTACTGAGTTGAACTCCAATAAATGGCGTTGATTAACCCGAATGCAAAACAGCAAATCCATCCCCCCACCAAGGCGTTTCTTCTCGTCCTTTTTGCAATTCAAACTACGTATTTTTTGTATTATTAAATGCATAATTGTAATACACTGTTTAGATGGATAGAGAGCATTGCCGTGCCATGGCAGCTTACAGCTCCTCGTGCTTTGAGGGGAACTTCTTGAGTATGGCATGGTAGAGATTGTAGAAGGCGTACACCGAAACCGTGATGATCACCAGCAGGGCACCGCCAAAGGCGATGCTCAGGAAGTTGCCATCGATAATGCCCTCGGAGCGTTGTCGCTTGGTGGAGAAGATTTCCTCGGTGGATGCAGGATTATTCTGCTGCTGGGCCGTGCGCTCGGCCATCAGGCGCTTCATGGTGCTCAGCCGCTCCCGCAGTACTTCTACGGATTCTGTGTCCAAGTCCGATGCTCCTGTTCCTGTCAGGTGCAATAAATCGTTATTTTTTTCACTGAGAATTCAAATGAATTGAAAGCATCTCTTTTACCAGTGGGCTGGCTGGTGGAAGTACTTGAGTAGGCGGACATTGTTTGTTGTTTAATACACTATTAATTGAGCAGAAAATGCAGCAGGAGCTAGTTTAAGTGTATATTCTATTCCTGTGTGGGGTGGTATAATAAATACACCGAGCAGCGCCTGCGCAGAACCGCCATCAAGTAGCCCTGCCAGAGTGACCGCTTACGGTATATTTTGAAATTGTGACGGTATATTTCTGCGGGTCAGGCGGGGTATATTTTATCGACAAGTCCGCGGTCACACTGGGCTAACACGTGAAACGCGCTCTTTGATTTTGTTGATTTTTAAATGTTAGAATGGGTTTAACTAAACAATATTTAGCGTATCGGGCTATAGACAGCTTTAATATAATCACATCGGGTCGCGCCAATGTGAACTTTGCCATCGTTGACAAAACCGAGGGGCGGTACGTGGCCGCACCTGCTGCCGAGAATGTCATCATCTGGGATTTGCGGTGAGTTTTGACCGCTCTGGGCTCTGGACACCAAAACAGAGTTTAACTAATGTTTATCCTTCAGCATGGGCGATCGCAAGCTGACGCTGCGCCGGGAGAAGTTCGAGGTGACCTGCCTGCGTGTGTCGCCGGATCATCTACACATTGCCGTGGGCTACACCGATGGCATGGTCCAGATCTTTGATCTCAGCTCGGAGAGGTACTACGAGGCCATCTGCACGTTGGCCCTGCACAAGAATGCCGTGAGCATTCTGCGGTACGACCAGCAGGGCATGCGCCTGGTCAGTGGAGGCTTGGACACAGAGCTGGTGGTCGTGGATGTGGTGGAGCAGGCGGGTCGGGCGAGGCTGAGCGGACACAATGCTGCCATCACGGATGCCCACTTTCTGCAGCGTGTGGTGGACCAGAGCATTGTGGTGAGCTGCTCGAAGGACACACAGATCAAATTCTGGAACCTGGAGACGCAATTCTGCTTCAAAACCGTCGTGGACAATCGCACAGAGGTTTGGGCACTGGCCTTCATCGGCGACCTGATGGTGGCGGGAGCCAGCGAGAGTGGCATGAATGTCTATCGCTTGAAGAAACACGACGGCGCTGCCAGCGAGCCCCTGGAGTCGGCCGTTGAGGGCCTAAGCATAGATGATGAGGATACGATAAGTCCCATAAGCGTCAGCAATTGTGGGATTATCCAGCGAGCCGGCAAGGGCCGCACTGTCAACCTGGTCACGGACAGCAGCGAGCGCGTCTTGAGCTGCCACGGCACCAACGATCTGATTGAGAACTTTTACATATGCACGGCCGAGGAGGTAAAGCAGCGCCTGGCCAAGCGCCTGAAGAAGGAGAAAAAGGCGGCCGGCGAGGATGACAGCGCGGAGGCGCAACTGTCCAAGCAGCAATCGCTGAGCGATGAAATCAAGCGACTAGAGAGCATCCGAACCAAGCAGAAAATCAAGTCCATCGATGTGGTCCTGGGCCAGAGCAAGGAGATGCGTGTGCTGGTCAGTCTGGCTAACAACAGTCTTGTGCTGCACTCCCTCGAGGCCTCGCCCAAGACCCGCAAAGCAGCCGATCCTAGTGTGAAAGTTCTTCGTTCCCTTACGCGCCTGGGCCACCAGTCCGAGGTGCGTTCCGTATGCTTCAGCAATGACTCGCTGGCGGTTGGCTCCGGCGCTGGCGAATCCTTCAAGTTCTGGGACCGCGACGCCATGCAGTGCCTGCGCACAGTCCCAACGGACTACATTCTGTGCTCCAAGTTCGTGCCCGGCGATCACTATGTGCTGCTGGGCATGAAGAGCGGCAAGCTGCTCATTGTGGACGTGGGCGCAGCGGACATTGTCGAGGAGATTCCAGCCCACGAGAGCGAGCTCTGGTCCATTGCCATGCTGCCGGATCAGAAGGGATGCATCACGGGCAGCGGTGATCAGACTCTCAAGATCTGGACCTTCGAGCTGATCGATGCCGCGGAGGGAGCGGGCGAGACCAAGGTGCTGTCCCTGCTGCACAAGAACACCCTGAAGCTGGAGGAGACTGTACTCTGTGTGGGCGTCAGTCCGGACATGAAGTATCTGGCCGTGGGCCTGCTGGATGCCACCGTCAAGGTCTTCTTCCTGGACACCTTCAAGTTCTACCTGTCGCTGTACGGCCACAAGCTGCCCGTGCTCTGCCTGGACATCTCGTACGACTCGAATTTGATCGTCACTGGGTCGGCAGACCGCAACATCAAGGTCTGGGGCCTCAACTTTGGCGACTGTCATCGCTCAATCTTCGCCCACGACGACTCGGTGATGTCCGTGCAGTTCATACCCAAGACGCACATGTTCTTCAGCTGCGGCAAGGACGGCAAGGTGAAGCAGTGGGACGGCGACTCCTTCGAGAAGATCCTCACATTGCCGGGGCACATAGGCGAGGCCTATTGCCTGGCAGTGTCGCCCAATGGCCGCTTCCTGGTCACCTGCGGCTCGGATCGCACACTGCGAATGTACGAGCGCACGGACGAGACAATCGTGCTGAAGGACGTCCAGGAGGAGGAGCGCGAACAGATGGAGAATGAGCAGCTGGCCACGGGGGAAGACAACAGCGTGCCGCTGCTGCCCAGCCTGAAGATGGCCTCGCGCAAGACGGTGGGCTCGGAGAAGGCGGCCGAGTCCATTCTGGAGTGCCTGGAGATATCGAAGCAGTTCGAGCTGGAGGCCGAGGAGAAACCGGAACTCCACCCCCTTATGCACGCGCTGCAGGTGAAGAATCCCGTTGACTTTCTGGTCAACACATTCATGCGGATACGCGCATCCGATCTGGAGGAGGCGCTGCTCCTGCTGCCCTTTTCCGTTGTCTGCGAGCTGCTCGAACGCCTGCCCATCCTGCTCACCCAGCGACCCGATCAACTGGAGCTGCTCTGCCGCGTCACCATATTCCTCTTCAAGGTGCACATGAAGCCCATTTCGTCGACCAAGAGCATGAAGCCTCTGCTGCTGAAACTGCTCACAATGCTCAAGCGGGATGTCGGCCAGCTGCGGGACATTCTCGGCTGGAACCTGCACGGCCTGGCGCTGCTGCAAACCGAAGTGGAGCAACGCGAGGGCGTCCAGCTGTTCAGGGACGCGACACAGGCTCGTCGCAAACGCGACAAGAAGCGACGGGAGGCGAGCAAGCGGCGACTACAGATCCAAATGGTCTGAGACGTCGCCCCCTGCATGGAATCCTTTAGGCTTAGGTGTATGACTCCAAATAAACAATTTTAGTTATTTTATGATACTAAGTACAAGGAAGGCCGATCCTTTCTATGTATCTTGGGGGATCGGGGAGAGTCCTGCCCATCGATTGGCAGCCGACAAGCAGCAGGCATGTACCCACATCCCATTGAAACGAGAAAGATGTCTCTTTGGCTGCACCCATGGCATTTATTCTACAACTCTTCAGATCCGCCACGTGGCTCTATCTTGACCATTTCCACATCGAAGACCAGCACGGAGTTTGGCGGTATCTTTCCGCCACCGGCACCACTTGCTCCATAGCCCAGCTCGGGGGGAATGGTCAACGTGCGCTTCTCACTCTCGCACATGCCCAACAGTCCTTGGTCCCAGCCCTTGATCACTTGCCGGGCACCCAGTGTAAACGAAAATGGAGTGGAGCGGGTGTAGCTGCTGTCGAACTCTGTGCCATCCTGCAGCGAACCCTAAATGCAGACATTTTATGGGTTAGATCAAGCCGGCCGACAAGCAAGATGCGATGCTTGTTCCTACCTTGTAGTGCACCTGGACCAGATCGCCACTTTTGGCCTTTCTGGTGCAATTCTCGACGCGCTTCTTGATGCCGATTTTCACCTTGGCCGAATCGTTGGCCACTGCTGTGGCCAGAAAAGCGAACAACACAAAATAAGCTAATTTCATCTTTAAAAAATCAATTCGAGTTGTAGAGGTGTCAACCGGGGGCACTATCGATAGTATCGATATTTTACTGCTAGCTTCTACTATCGCGGGTTTTGCGACTATCATGATAGTATCGAGCTACAGTCGTTGCGCTTTTGATATGTTTGGATTGGCTGCTTTAAAATACGAAGACAAATTTGTAAGAAAATAGACAGGTGGCATCTAATTTTTACAGTAGACAAGTTCTTAAAAGGTTTCAATGGTTTTTTAATAATTATTTGAGCCCGATACTATTACGATAGTATCGATTGTTTTTTTCAAAATATTCAACGTAGATATTCCTCGAATTTGGTATTCCGTTTAATATTACTAGCTAGTTGGCCCTCTCAGCCCTAACCAAATAATGTTATCCAATTTCTCAATGAGTTTTTTTCAGGATTTGGCTAGTTTTCAGTACTATTTTTTATTGGATTGTTTACATAAGGTTCAAACAAAAAAAACATAAAACGAATGTGACGTCGTTTTTGTGGCGCTGCCAGACTCGTGCAATTCGTAGTTTCGGGCTGCCACCATGATATTTTTCTATCGGTTTCATTACCGATTCGCTTTGAACCGTTGAACCGAAAAGGCCCGCGCACATTTAAAAGATTTTGATGCTTCGATCGATTGGTTCTTTTTCTTTGTATTTCGCAATAATATGAGTGTTCAATACAGGTTTTCGCTTACTTAAGTTATAACTTATGTACATTAAAGCTCGTTTAAAATAGATACATACAATAGATTGATTACATAATGACTTTCTACAAATAAAATATGGAAAAATTCCAATTACAAATTTGCCTGCATCGCATATACACATACACACGATCCAGTGCAAAAACAAACAAAATGTACATTATAAATATGCAACAGATTATCAAGAGATATACGAAAATGTACGATTATATCACAATAATAAAGGAATACATACATTTTTTTTTGAAATGATATTCAAAGCCCGACAAAATAGCTACGACGACGATAAATCAGGTGCAAAAACATTCAACGTACGATACGGTAGATACGATACGATAGATACGAGAGTAATACTAAACTAGAATCATATTTCTGCATACATATATGTATATATATATATACTCTATAGATAAAGTTGTGTTTTGCTCCTCAATTATCATTGGATAAATTTGTGATCTTTGTGGCGTACATGTTGGCCACCTTGTAGATAAATTCATACTGCTCCTTGGTCTGAACGGCGCTGGCACGTCCCCGTCGCACATAGTACACCAGCTGTGGTATGTCCACGGACCGCTTGGGCGTCTCCAGGCTGCGAATGGCCATGTCCGAGGCGATGATGGTGCCGGTACGTCCCGTACCTGGAGAACAATGAACGGTTAGCGGTCTAAAGGGGGGATGGGACAAAGAAACGAAACAATTAACAAGCCATGCAAGACGCCACATCCCACACTTACCCCTGCTGGCTGCGTGTGCCTGTGCCTGTGCCGCTGTTGCCCCTGCTGTTGCCCACATTGCCATTAATCTGCTCCGCCTTGGCTGCCGATGCAGCTGCCTCCGCATCCACCGATGACTCCACCGTTGAGGATTTCTCCTTCAGATCGCTGGCCTGCTGCTCCAGGCAATACGACTTGAGGGAGGAGCGCGCCTCCAGCAGCATGGCAATGATGGGCGCCTCCTCGGCGGGCACGCCCGCCTCTGGCCACTTGTACCAGTAGTGCGTCAGCTCGCGGCACTCCTCGCCATCGACACGCTTCAGCATGAGCGTGGAAATGGCATACTTGTCCTTGACCTCGCGGTTCTTGAGCGTCACCTGGTAGTCGCCATAGCTGCTGTGATTGTCCAGCGTGGCCGAGGGCGGCAGATACTCGGCACACTTTTCGATGCCGTTCTCGCTGAGATCCGTGGCCTGGATGATCACACGCGACTGCTGCTCCCAGATCATGCGCCAAAAGTCGCTCGTTGTGCTCTCCATGGGTGCCTGGCAGGCTATGTAGTAGTTGGGTGCGTCTCGTGGGCCCTGTGTGGTGTAGAAGGGGGTGAAATGACATAACCATTGATTAAAACGTATTCCCCCTACTACTCCACCTCACACACACACACACACAAGCAGCTAGCAGCTGCTGTGCTCGCGCATTTCTGATAAAAGGCGGCTATAAAATCGCACAACTGCCGCCGACTGGCTGGCCATATAAATCTCGACTGTGGCCATTGCCAGGTGCATTAGGTGTCGCCTCATTGCACTTCAGCTGGTCGCGCGTGAGTGCGATTAAAAAGCGATTCCCAAGAGCAATTCAATTCACTCCCCCTTGGACAGCAGCATCTAAGTGTGGTGTGTGTCCTGCCCTCAACGGCTGAGAGCTTCGAGCTTCGAGCCTCGAGGTTTCGTGATGTAAGGGCATTTTACTGTACACTTCGCTGGCACAACTTTCGCTTCTTTTCTTGCAATTATCGCTCATGATCATTACCTTTCGCTTCAAAGCCCAAGCCAGAGCCCAAGCCAGAGCCCAAGCCAAAGCCCAAGCCAGAGCCCAAGCACAGAGCCCAAGCCAAAGCCCAAGCCAGAGCCAAAGCCTATTTGCTTGCACCCAGAGTGGCAAAGCGGCAGAGCGGCAGACTGGAGTGGTGGCCTCTTGCAACAAAAGAAAGACTTGCTGGCTTGCTTGCCTGGCTGCTTGGCTGCTAAATCTACGAATATTTCACAGTCATGGCCAGGTCTCTCGCTGCAGTCTCATGAGGCGTGTAATTATTGGGGGGTGGGGTGGGTGGCGCCATGTTTAATAGGCCCTCCGCGAGAGTCAGAGGCATCCGAGGCACTCGTCATGCAAGGCTCGTTCCCGTAGCGTAGCAGAAACATTGCAAGATGACAAGCCACCCACCCAACCCCAACTTCAGCCCCAGCCTCATGTGTGTTGTGTGTGGAAGAAAGGGCATGGCCTGCTCCCCCCCACTCGCGAGCTGATTGTTTTGGCGACGCCTTCGCTTTGTGTGTTGCGTTACTTACCCGCACATAATTGGCATTAATGTATTCCGTTTTGTCATCATCGCTGCGACGCTGAAGCACCACACGCGTCTCAGGAAGCGGAATCACGTTGGCGTAGCTGCGGTGCGAACAGTTGCCCAGTTGAGTCACCCATTTCGAGTTTATATGTATTATATGTATGGAAAAGATATGTCAGATCAGTAATTAATCCAACAATGATGGGAACCGAAGCCAAAGTCAATTAATTATGAACTTTGTTGGGTACTCACCGATTCCTATCCTCACAGCCCGCTGGCACCTCGTCCGCCCGTGCTATGATCTGCGGCACATCCCTGAATTCCTCGAATATGCTGGAACGTCGCTCCACAAACCTGCCCAGCTCCGCGGCGGACAGCAGGTTGTGCCGCAGCGAGGGATCGTCGAAGGCCGCGTTCCCGTAGGTGCGCTTCGAGGCGCGCAAATCCCTGCCCTTGCGCCGCACACTGCCCAGCACCGAGACATTGTCCAGGGAGTAGGCATCGAGGCTGACGGGCCGACACCGCTGGCCATAGGACATCTGCTTCTGACGCTTCCGCATCAGGTAGAGGAACGCCACCAGCAGTATCAGGGCCACCACCCCAATGACGCTCACTGTGATGGCAATGATCACGTTGACGTCCGTGCCACCGCCCTGGGCTGGCAGATCGTTGGGAAACGCAGCCATAATGATGGGCGGAGGAGCAGTGGCTGCTGGTTCACTGGGCAGGATCGAAGGCAGAAAAGAGTCTTCGGTGGTGCTGCTGCTGCTGGCGCCCGGTGGAGCATAGGCCAGGGTTGTGTTCTCTGGCAGCATGCTGCTGCTGCTGCTGCTGCTGCTGACTTCTGTTGGCGTGGGGAGAGTCGTGGTTTTGGTTGTTGATATTGTTGTGGTATCATCCAGCAGGGATATCAGTGGAGGTTGCATTTCAGTCGTTGTTTTTGCCGTTGTGCTGCTGCTGCTGCTGCTGCTCCTGGTGGCTGCTTCTTCTGTTGTGCTGCTTGTGCCGTTTCCTGCCATATTTTTGGCTAACGTTTGCTTTGGCTGTGGCTGCTGCTCCTCAATAATAACTTGTTTTCCATGCACTTCATCCACCTGTTGTTGGCCTTTGCCCGTGTCGTTCTCCTCATCGTAATGCTCATCCGATGACGCAGAGGACGACGACAGTGGCGGTCCCTTTGCACCTGTTGCTGTTTTTCCTGTTTCCCTCTCGTCCAAAGCATTTAGGGCAGGAGCTTCTGGCCCTGCTGCTGGCCCTGCTGCTGCTGTTGTTGCTGTTGTTGCTGTTGCTGTTGCCAGTCCCTGGCTTGTGGTTGTGGCCGCCGTCGCTTCCTCTGCTGCCTCCCCAATGTTATTCGTTTCCAGCGACGATTCGTGTTCGTTATTTTCCTGCTTCGTGCCGAGGTCACTGAACAGCGGTGTAGCCTGTGTGCTGTCCTCTTTAACCTCCGGCTGCCTGCTAGCTGTGGCAGGTCTAGAGCTGGAGCTGGAGGTGGCAGCGTCTGCCTCTGTGGCCGCCTCTGTTATGCTTTGGGCCACACTATTATTCACAAAGTTGTTCCCACTCGTATCGGTTTTCGTTTTAATTCTGGCACTGCTGTCATCAGTCGTTCCAGTGGCCTCCTCCTTCTCCTTCTCCTCCTTCTGCTCCTCCTTTGATTTGCTCACTGGCTCTGCTGTTGCTCCCGCTGGAGCTGGAGGAGCTGGCACTGTGGCCGTTTCTAAGTTCACTTCATTGCTAATTTGGACAATTTCCGTTGGGTTTTGCGTTGGCGTTGCCCCCTCAGTTGTTGCCCCCTCAGTTGTTGCCTCCTCAGCTGCTGCTGCTGCTGCTGCTGTGCTGTTGTTGTTGCCAATGTTGTTGTACTCGTACTCGTAGTTGTTGTTGCTGCCGCTTCTGTTGTTGTTGTTGTTGTGGCAATAACAATTTCGGTTTTCTGTTCACTTAACTTTGACTGCTGCGGCACCGTCGCCGTCGCCGTTGTTGCTGTGCTTGCGCTCTCCTCGACAGTCGCTCGAATACTAACTGCCGTTGTCGTGGGGTTCGTCGCTTGCTGCTGTTGCTGTTGCTGCTGCTCCCTCTCTGGAGGCCTCTCTGACTGGGGGGCGCCTGGGGAGACCACATTGATGACGTCGTCGCTTTCGTTCGCTGCTTTCATTGCCATTTCAGTTGTGTTGGGGCTGGGACTGGGGCTGGAATTGGCTTCGTTCCGAGCACTTAAAACCCCATCGATGCTGCTCGTTATTGCAGTCGTAGTCATCTCTGGATCTGGATCTGGCTGTGGATCTGGCTGTGGATCTGCCGCCCCCACAGGTGACACATGTTGAACGGCTGACGACTCTGTTGTTGCTGCAGTGGCAGCTGCAGCTGCAATTGCCATTGCAGCTGTTGTTAGCTCCAGTTCTTCCCCTGGCTCTCCTGCTGTTGTCTTCGGAATGGCGGCGACTGTTGCAGGGGCTTCTGTCTTCTGTTCCTGTCTTAAGTTCGCTTCGGTTGTTGACTCTGCCTCAAGCTCCGCTGAACGGACACTGGTTGAGGTCTGCGCCCTGGCAGTGGATGTGAGCACCTCACCTCCTGCTCCATGGATTCCCTGGCCACAGTTGTGGTTTCCATGACACGAGCAGGCGCTGCTGACGTTGTCAGATTGAGTCCTCCCCCGCCCCCTCCAGCAGCCACTGTCGTCGTCTCCTTTTTCTCAGGAGTCGCAGACGACTCCTCCAAGGACTCTGTGGTGCCCTGCATGGCCTCTTCGGTGGCGTCCAGTGTGGTGCTGACTGCAAATTCTGGTTCGATTCTCGGCTGCTTGCGTTGCGGCTGGAGCTGGGGCTGCAGCTGGGGCTGGGGCTTGCATCAGTGCAATCTGCTGCCAGTCCAGCAGATTCTTCTCCTGGTGCAGCTCCGTTTGGTTCTGTGGCGGCTCCTCGATGTCGTTGGTGAGCTCTGCAGCCGAGCTGTTTGCGTGCAGAAAGGGTGCAACAAATATCGTTGTTGAATTCTCCGTGGCTGTGGCTCTGGCTGTGGCATGCTCTGGGCTGGGAGTAGCGATGTCCAGGGCTAGCGTAGGACTCTTTGGCACCGACTTCATGCCCGCCAGACTCCACACCTCCGCCGTGTTGGGCAGCAGCAGCTGCTGCGCATTGGTGGAGTTTTCGCTGATGAATTTTGCTCGCTTCTCCGGCATTTGGCGGATCGTCGAAGTGGACTCTTCAATGGCATTCTCGTTGGAGGCGAAGGGCAGTGGCGTCGTGCTCTTGGCCAGTGCTCGCAGCTTCATGGGCGTCACCGAAGGGGGCGGCTGTGCTTCTGTGCTGGATGCCAACTGCATGGCCCGTCCATGCTCCGTGGATCGACTGGCATTAGCGACTGCTTCTGCTGCCGCTGCTGCTGCTCCTTCCTCTGTGCCTTCTGTTGTTGCGGCAGGATTTTCCTTGGCTGGAGGTTCTTCTTCATGCTTCAGCGCCTCCACAGCTTGTGTCTCTGGCGCCGCTGCTGCTGCTGCTGTTGCTTCCTCGCTAACAATGTCAGGGTCACGGGAAGCAGCTGTGGCACTGCCAATCGAAATATTGGCAGTCGCAGTGGTCGCCTCTATGCCACCCGCCAGGCGTTTCTCTTTTCGCAATGAAACGTGCCTGCGTTACGGCCAAAAGCAAGACGGCGACCAGCACTAAGCCATCGTTTAGCCAACGGCCCGCACGCATTTTGTCTCTGTCTCTAGCTCTGTCTCTGTTGCACTCTCACTCGCGCTGTTGCTTGGCCCCTTCTGTCGTGTCTGTCTGTCTGTGTCTGTGGGTCAAGTGAACAATTCTAATTTGGGCCCTTAAACGCGCTCTTTCTGTTTCTCTTTCTGTGTTGTGAGTTCAGTGGCTTAAAAGTCCATTTTCATTGCCATTCCTTGGGGTTTTCCTCGCTGCCATGTTGTGCAACCTGCAAGAAAAGAGAGCAAAGAGCGAATTCTATTTAGTTTATTTGTGTGAAATGGAATCTACATGGAATATCGATGGATATCGATTCCCATATATTGCTATATATATGTATATTCCCCATATATTCCATTCCTACGTTGAATTATTTCCCATGTGGCAGGAAAGTTTCCCTTTCTATAATGGGCGATGGGTTTCCGTATCTGTTTTCTGTTTCTGTTTCTGTGTCTGTAATTATTGTCGCATTGAGACACGTTCGTTGACATTCCCCTCAGCGGCTCGGGCTGCACCCCTCCCTCCATCAAGTTCAAGGTCGAGTATTGGTTCAGATTGTTCCAGAGGGGGAGGTGATTATATATAGACTCAATGACGTTCAAATATAGATTCTGAAGTTGCAGGCTGTGGCTCTTCTCGCCCGCCGCCCACCGCATAAACTTCATTGAAGCGGAGCCCAAGCAAAAGTTCATTCCACTCGAGTGTCAAAAATATATCAGAGTAACGGCGTGTCAGAGTGTTTTCGCCCGCCCACAGCGGAGAGGCGATGCCATGGCCCCCACCACATCGATGTCAGGGGAGGGGAACGACGAAGCGCAGCGCAGCGCCGTGTTGGGGTTCATTCAACTGCGGGGCTCAGTTCATGGCATTTGGCATTGTACTGCACCATGGCCGCCACAGAGCGACTCCCAATAATAACTATTATGCCACGAGCACACACACAAAAATACACCGAATATAAATAGGTGCGGGCATGTACATACGAGTGGGAGGTGTGTGGCAGGGTGTGTGGCAGTGGGAGTGGGAGTGGGACTCCCGTCCATTCACCATGGTTATCTGGGCTGTTGGTGGGGTTGAGTTGCTGAGTTGCTGAGTTGTTATCTACCGATTCGCCCGATGCCATGTCAATAATGCATGCAAGCCCCTCCACCCAACCACCCAACCCTCCCCTCGCTCCCTTGTGGCACCTTCTTCCAGCCCCATGATGGCAATTAACGCTAAAAGCCTCCCGTTTTGGTGGTTGCTGCCTGCCTGCCTGCCCGCCCTCCTGCCTGCCATTAATGACATTTCCCTTTTTGGGTGTCAGGGAGGAGTGTGTGGGGGCTGGGCCGGTGCAGGTGTGGCGCCTCCATCCCTAGGGGCGGCAGGGGGTTATTTTTGCTCAATGAAGTTTTCGTTTGGGGCCAGAAATATGAACAGAATCTTAGCGCTCAGGTTCTTCGCGTTCAGGTGACTAATAAATTCTGATAAATATACCAGACAATACTCTCTGTGTGTGTGTGTGTGTGTGCGTGCCACTGATAAGATTTGTTTAAGCAACAAAACAGAGCACACAAAAGGAGCAAAGCAGAGAAGAACAGAGCGGGGGGCAGAGCGGGTTGGAGTGGAGGGCAAAATCAACGCAGCAAGTAAAATATTTTGTAATTCTTTTTTTTTTTTTTTTTTGAATGTCAACGTTGCTGCCGCTGCTTCTGCTGCTGCTGCTGATAAGAGGCAAAACGTTAAAGGTAAATCGTTGTCAGGTGGAGGCCAGAAGTAAGTCATAAATTGTGCCATAATAATTATTGCCCCTCGACCACCACTGAAGCAGATGCGGCTGCGGAATGAGCATAAGCGTCAGAACATGTGCTGCAGACTACCGCCCCCAGCTACCCCCTGCAGCAGAGCAGTCAGCATCAAATTAAAAAATATCGCAGCTTTTCCGCGTCTTTTCCCTATGATATTTTGCTAAAATGAATGCCAATCGATTGAGAAGCTTTAAGTTTTGAGTTTAACCGTTCAAGGGCATGGCCCTTTCATGCCCATGGACAGATCAGGAATATCTATGGGTCCGAATGCTCTACATGTCACAGAAATGTCAATTATACATGCATTTCTACATGCTACAGCTGAGACACCCTGAAAAGTAGGCAATGAAGTGGGCACCAAGAGATTTGCGATCCCAAAAAGTATGCTATGGAATATTTAAATTAAATAAAAAGTTAAATTAAATAATTAATATTAATTTAAATCATAGATCATAAATATAGATGTAAATATAAATTATTAATAATAAATATTAATTTACATTGATATTGGAGGAGTGAAGAGGTTCTCCTCCACACCTGTGCTTCTGCCATTAATGAAAAAAACTGCAGACGGGAAACTCGTAACCAATATCGTGTGCTACAGCCAGCGGCAGGGGAGGGTTGGGGAGCACCTTGGATAAGCTGAACCCTCCACTTAACCCAAATGAAGCCCGCAGTAGTGCCCGCAGGTTGTGCTGTGGGTTTGGGGCTGGAAACGTGACTCTCCTCAGAGATGGAGAGAGAGAGAGAGAGGCAGCCATGGCAAGTGCAACATTTCATAGCCATGCAAAGGGAGGGGTGGGGCTAATGGGAGAAGATGCAGGCGGTGTAGAAACCAGGCAATAGGCTGCTGAGGGGCAGTGTGGCAGCAGAGTTGTGGCTGCAGAGCAGTAGAATCATTTCCGCTTCAGCAGCACGCACTGAGGATGAACGAATGGCTCAGAATGGAGAATGGAGAATGCAGAACGGAGAATGGAATGGTCTGTTGGTCTGTTGCTCTGTTGAATGGGCGCTTAGCAAAGACCCCCAAAGAATGATGACGATGACGATGACGAGTCGATGATCGTCTGCTGGGAATCGCCGAGGATTATGGCAGATCGGCATCAGAATGTTGAACCAGTTGCTGCGGCCCAATAAAGTTGCAAGCGGAGCGGAGCGGAGAGCCTCGCTTCGAATTCGATTTGCAATTATGATTTGCACTTGCCGTGCAATTGCCGCAAAAAGTGGCCTGCAAACGGCAGATGGGCGTAGCTGTGGGGCAGCTTAATGGTTCTGTGATAATCACAGTAATCTGCACAGTGGCGGGGGGCGTTCACCTCTCCTCGTTTGATGGATGAGTGAAAAGATGCTGGACCCTCATCAGATGAGGGGGTGTGTCTCCTCTCCCCCCACCCCCAATTAAAAGCCAATTCCGATTCCAACTTAACCCAAATCTGTGGATTACACACGCAGCTTGCCAGCAGATTACCAGCAATGGAATTTCAGAGAATTCTAATTGGAAGTCTCTTCTGGGATGTTGGAGATTCGCGCTACGTTGCGTACACAGTGCCAGGGGAAGAGTACTTGGAGGAGGAGTAGCAGCAGCTGATGAGATGCTTATCAATAATAAATAGCAAGCGGCTCTTGTGGTGCTCCAGAATCAACCAAGTGGAAGAGCAAAGACACGAGACGCCTGCCACTGCCTCTGCTTGTGGCACTCCGTTTTTGTGTGTGATTTACCGCAAGAGACACACACATAAACTGTCTGCCTGCTCGCCTCTCCTCTTCTCTCTATAAATGAAGACCCATCCCACCAACTCCATGAAGTGCCAGCCGAATGGCAGTTGCGAATTTGATCTTCATTATTTTTCTATTTATGGCACATACAGCCTCCCTCCGCCCCCCTGCCATGCTCCTCCTTTCACTGATCTCTCCCTGCACTCCACTCCACTCCATTCGAAATTCTTTTGTGATTTGAAATTCCCTGCCATCGAAGGCCTTTTGTTGGGTGGCGGTTGCTTATATCATGTTCATGTGTGTGTGTTTCTTATGTACTGCCCATCCACAAATATTTATACAAATTTCTTTCATTTCTTTTGGGCCAAAAATCGATTTAAGATCCGTTACTTTGCCCCGCAGCTGAACTTTCGGTGCTGCGGCAGCGGATCGGATCGGATCGGATCGCAAAAGAAATCGAAATTTCCAGCTCAAAATCGAAGTTCAGTCAGCAGTTTGAAGTCCCAAAAATTAATCAATCGGAAACTACATTCAGCGGCTATGGCTGTTGCGTACCACTTGAAAACACTGCCAAATGCCGCAGCTACAGATACAGATACATTTACAGATTCATCATCATTCATCGATTGCTGACCTTGCTGGGGCCATTGCTTTTGGCGTTTATTGAACCGAACAGCAGCAGCAGCAGCAGCAGCAGCCCCTCCGTATGTATGTATGTACATGTTGATATTCCGCTGGATGTTGCCTAATGAAATCCCAAAAGTAGTTTTTGGCTTCATTAATTTTCTGTGGGAAAATAAAACATCATTTTGGCTCTTTCTTTGCTGTTTCAACTGCTGCCCTGCCTGCCTTCCCCTTCTTAGCTGCCACCCCAAAGAGCCACCCACTCCCATCCCACACCCCCTAGGCTGGTGGTCATTAGATTCCGCGCTCATAAATCGTTCAGATATGTATGTCCAGATAGCAGTCCTGGCCACGCAACCCGCAAGTTAGCCCAAATAAATCCACCAACTGGCCAAACAATTTGTGTGCGTTGTCTCCGTCGCTTAACTGCCTGCAATTACCTGCAGGGCAGATACCTTAGGCTATGCAGCAGACTTGTGCTGCATAATTGCTGCCTGGCTAATGCAATTGAACGAACAATTAAGGAGGAGGCAGGCAGGCAGGCAAGCAGGCAGGCAGTGAATGCCACACGACACACGGCACATGTTGTTGTAGCAGATGCAAATGGACAGATAGTTATCCCCATCTAATGTTGTGGCCATATTTTATGCTCCCATTCTGTCTCTGTGTGTGTGTCTGTGTGCGCCCCCTTTTTGGGTCGCGCTTTGTGCCTCAATTCGTTTCCCTGCAGTTGTGAAATTTGTCAGCTTTGAGCGTGCCACAGCCCCAACAGCCAGCCCCAGACCCAACCCCAGCATGTCTCGGAGCTGACAAATTTGCTTGGTTTACTTTTAATTTGTGCTCCTTTGTTGGAGAAAATTGCAATCGCGATCTCGGGCGTTGGATAGGCGGGGTAAGAGCAATAAGCAATAAGAAATAAGCGAGTAAGCGGTAAGCGGTTTATGGATGTGTCTCTCTCCAATTCGTTTCCATTTCTATGGCTCGATTTGATTGCTTGAGGCAGCGGCAGGTGGGGGGTGCAGGAGCAGACAAATCTGGAGCATGGTAAATCCATTTGGGGAAATTCCTCGCTGCTCTGTCTGCGGCCTGCCCTTTCGCCATC